TTGTTTCAGCAGAGACGTGGTCAGTCGCCCCCTTGCCTACTTGGCAGCCTTTAAAGTACAGAGTTGACCAGATGTTTAAACCGTATTTTAGTTGTCTCGTTGCCAAAGCAAACAATTGGCCTTTTGCCATGCAAGTGAAGTCCTTTTCATTTCAAATGTCATTGAATTGACCTGGTCAGCAATGGGGCCTGATGAGGAAGCGCTCATCAGCTGATAGGCCAATCTGCTTCTTGTTTTCCACCAACAAGTCTTGATAACTCTCTTCATCATGCTAAAATGTCATTCCACCTAATTACCCTGAATTACCCTGAAGAGATGTAAACTACACACATGCTAGAAAGTAACCCTTTGCATTTTACTCTTTCACAGTCCTCTCTGTAAAGGCCTGTTATAGGAGTCTATTTTAAGTGGTCCTCTGTAGCTCAGTTGGTAGAGCATGGCGCTTGCAACGTTAGGATAGTGGGTTTGATTACCGGGACCACCCTTATGTAAAATGTATGCACGCATGACTAAGTCGCTTTGGATAAAAGCATCTGATAAATGTCATATATGTATGTGTGTGTGGATTTACTGTAAAGGGCTAATTTTAAGACTGCTGTCCATTATGTTGTGGAATCTGTCTGTCCGGGAGGTGCTAAGCAGTCTTGGGTCAGACTGACGGTTAAAGGGAAAGTGAGAGATGTAGGCCCTTTTTTTTTTCTACTTAGGCCGGACAAAGTTGAATTACTGTTTAACGGATGCCCAGCCTTACTTTTCTCCACACCCCACAAAAAAATCAAAAACAAATACATCTGATGTGGGTTTTTTTTTTTTTGGGGGGGGGGGGCAATATATGCGGTGCTTTGTTTATAATGCCTTTTCTCCCTTGAGGCTTTCCCAAGTTAATGCGCAAGAGACCAAACAGCCTTGGATCACGCGCTCAGATCACGTTCGAAACACACACGCTCGCACCTGCAGGCAACGTGCAGATGTTTCATTTCTCTCTCATGCGGTCATGGCTGAAGCCAGCGCAAATTCCTACTATTTATGTGGCCAGGTTGAACGTGGGACATCCCTCATTATAAACACAGTCAGTTATATTCATGGTTAATGCACCATTTTCAGCTCTATTAGAAGCAATTACATAGACGAAACAACGTCATTGAACCAATTGACTGGCCAGAGATCAGGGCATTCATCAGCAAAGACTCAGTGCAAGCGGATATTATTTTGGGCAACCAAAAATTGAAGTCAAAATGATTTATGAAATCGAAGTGCTGTATGGTGATTTGCGATTCATAATTGACATTTTACCGGTACTACCAGAAGTAGTAGGCCAACCGATAACGCCAAGACGGAATGCGTTTGAAGTGATGATGCGCCGCCGAAAACAGCTAGCATGTCTAGCAAAGTACATCGCCAGTGGCACGCGCACACTTCGTGCAGATCAGCGAAACCACAATGATGTGATCGACTGTCTCCAAGGTGGGGGGCTTTTCGTGGCATCCAGACGAGACAATCGAAGGAGAATGCGGTGAGCGAAGTGAAATGAAATGTTTCTCCTATTCTTCATGTCCATATAGCCTGGACATTCGTTACCAGATTATCAAAAGCACTCTGATGTACGGACCCCCATCTAGAGAAGTTGAAAGAGAGAGGCTTAGTCATACCAGACAGATTGCTGCAATTACCACAAGGCCTTGGATCCTACAACAGATACCAGGAAACACGACACAAGGCAGCAACACTACGTCAAGATCAGCTTCGGGGTCATTGCAGTCAGCTCTCTATCTCAATATCCCAGCCCTGGGCACACCGGAATCACTTCACAGGTATTTTAATGAATGTCTTGTCATTTTTCTATATCAGTTAAGTTTGTGGCTCACTGCTAGTCCTTGTAGATTCATGTCAAACATACTGTGTCTAATATTGTAAAATGTCACCATTTTATTCAGGAAATTTTAAAACGTTTTAAACCTCTCAACTGAAACTGCCTGTATTGCTTGTTCACATTAGATCTCAGAGAAGATGTGGTGTGTCTAACATAGTCCATAGTAGCTTATGCATCCCACTTGAAGAAGGTGAATCAAGCAAGATGTCACAATACATGGTACAGATCAAGAAAGGATAGAAGAAGATCCATGCTGGTACTGCTTAATGAATCCTCCACGCTTGCCAGAAGAACCGTTTAAGAAATTAAGGTTTGTGCCTGATCCAGCATTGACAGCAGACAGACGTGAGTACCAGAAATGTGATGATCTGTACAGCTTGGACACTATTGACAAGGATAGGCCTTCTCTGACACCAAATCTAGAACATGTAGAGAGGAGTGCTGCCATGGTCAGTGCAAAGGTGAGAGCGACCATCAACTGTGTTGAATGTGAGAAACCAAGGTGCTTGTATGCCAAAAGCAAGCTGTCCTAAAGAACAACAGAAAGCAGTCCAACGCATTCTGGATGAGAACATTTTTACATGTGGTTCAGAATTAGGAATAAAGAAACTTTCACAAGTTATACTTCCCATTGTTTTATTTCTCATGGTTATAACAACATTGTAACATCTGCATTCTTTTTAAGAAAAATAGTGTAGGTTTTCGAATAATACAACTCTTGCACTAGGACAATGTGGTAAAGTACTGTTATTCCTTATCCATGTATTTCTTTTTTTATCGCTCGCCTCACTTTTCTGGGGGGAAAATCCGTTAAACAGTGAATCAATTTTGTCTGGCCTTACCCAGAGTCCGATAACTCATGGATACAATTTATGTCTCTGTGTGCATTTTTCAAGGTCTTTTCTGGACCGATTTGCTAACTAGCATTGGCGCAATGACTGGAAGTCTCTGGGATCAGCTAGCGTTAGTGCAGACTGGAAGTCTCTGTGATGAGTTGGTAAGTCATAGCCATGGCCCACAGCCTCAATCCAAAGTGGCTACCTCTCCTTGTGTCCTCCTGAAAACACAGCTGCCGTATGGGAGACGCCAATGTGTTTTTTTTCTTTCCCCCACCAACGTTACAGTTGTGACCCCAAAAATGCATTCAACCTGAAGGCCTACTCAAATTGGATGAACATATGGACTGAATTTGAACTCATGCCTCTGAAAGGTGTCCTTTTTAACCTCTACGGGATCGGTGTCCCGTATATGGGACTGTTGAGCTAACGTTCGCTAATGTGATTAGCATGACTGTTGTAAGTAACAGCAAACTTTCCAGGACATAGACATGTCTTTATATGGGCAGAAAGCTTAAATTCTTGTTAATGTAACTGCACTGTCCAATTTACAGTAGCTATTACAGTGAAAAAATACCATGCTATTGTTTGAGGAGAGTGCACAACAACAGAACTTATCATGGCAACTGGTTTGATACATTCACCTCTGAAGGTAAATAATGCACTTACATTCAGTAATCTTGCTCTGATTTGTCATCCTGAGGGTCCCAGAGATAAAATGTAGCATAGTTTTGTTTGATCAAATCCATTTTTATATTCAAATGTAGGAACTGGGTTCTACAGTTTGAACCCCTGCTGTCTCTGGCTCCACACCCACCCCGCCCGGCCATCTAGATGTGTGAAAGTTAGTGTATAAGCTAATGATCCATCATGTATGACATTCTTGGGAGTGTGTAAACTTACATTTTGTATTACCATATAATTTTTGTATGTTCTCTATAGTTATGTATCAATTGACCAATTCGGCACATTTGGGCAGACTTTATACAAAATAGTCCAGTATTGCAATGCTTCACTGGATCAATCTGAAACTTTGCACCCACTGCTGCCAGCTAGTGGCCAAAATGTAAATTGCAATTTTATATTGTGACCTTTCTCTTGCATGTTCAAAGACTATGGGGGAAAAAAATAGCAAACGCATGTTTTTTTGTTTGTATTATCTTTTACCAGATCTATTGTGTTATAGTCTCGTACATTAATTTCAAATTTCCACAAAATTCAAAAGTGTTTCCTTTCAAATGGTATCAAGAATATTCATATCCTTGCTTCAGGTCCTGAGCTACAGGCAGTTAGATTTGGGTATGTCATTTTAGGTGAAAATTGAAAAAGAGGGTCCAATCCTTAAGAGGTTAACAGGCACCATTGTCCATGTGTATTTTGATTCCCTTAACTTGCTCATTGTACTGGTTGCTTTGAGCACCATCCCTTGAGTCATTTTGAATTTGACTGCTGTTCAGTGACGCACAGTGTCATTTGAAGCCATTTCATGCTGGGGCGAGCCTAGAGGCTGGTGGTGTTCCTGGGGCGAGCCTAGAGGCTGGTGGTGTTCCTGGGGCGAGCCTAGAGGCTGGTGTTGTTCCTGGGGCGAGCCTAGAGGCTGGTGTTGTTCCTGGGGCGAGCCTAGAGGCTGGTGTTGTTCCTGGGGCGAGCCTAGAGGCTGGTGTTGTTCCTGGGGCGAGCCTAGAGGCTGGTGGTGTTCCTGGGGCGACCCTAGAGGCTGGTGGTGTTCCTGGGGCGAGCCTAGAGGCTGGTGGTGTTCCTGGGGCGAGCCTAGAGGCTGGTGGTGTTCCTGGGGCGAGCCTAGAGGCTGGTGGTGTTCCTGGGGCGAGCCTAGCGGCTGGTGGTGTTCCTGGGGCGAGCCTAGCGGCTGGTGGTGTTCCTGGGGCGGGCCTAGAGGCTGGTGGTGTTCCTGGGGCGAGGCTGGTGGTGTTCCTGGGGCGAGCCTAGAGGCTGGTGTTATTTCCCCACCTCCCACTCTTCCCTTCCCAATGTCAGCTGTTTCCAAGGTAACTCCAGCTGACACAATCTCAGAGCGGGACAGTGTGGTTTGGAACCCAGCCCTCTTGTTTGTTTTTTTTCATCCCCCACACTCTCCTTCTCTCTGTGCGTGCTGCTACTCTTCCAACCCTTCCGTGTTGTTTTGAAATGCAGCCGTAAAAGAGAAAGACCTTTACACCCTTTTGACTGCCTCAGCTGCTGCCGGGTCCAGACCGAAGGGCAAAAAGCTCTCCTTTTCTCACACGCTGCTTGTGCTCGGACCAGTGGGCGCTCTCTCTCTCTCTCTGTAGCAACAGAAGAAGAGTTGGTTTAGGACAAGCTTGGCTGGTCATGGAGAGAGGAAACAGCCAGTGGTACGACCAGGATGCTGCAGACCGTCGTCGTGCAGGGGACGGGGCGAGGTAGGGCATTTACTTGAGTATGACTTTTCTCCCTCTGTGGACTGTGGATTTAGCCACACGGCTTCCTTGACTCCAACCAGCGGTGCGTTCAGCAGGACGCGACGTTATGGAAAGTTCAGATAGAAATAGGCTATGTAGAACAAACATGCCTCTGATTTGTAGAATAAGGAATCACATCAGCTCTAGTCATTGCATTTCTATCTGCAACATTCAACAACGTTTGGTTGCTGAACGTGGCCCAGGATTAGTCATGGCCTCCATGTCTAACTCCATTACCAGAGGGAGTGGAACCATCTCCAGATCATGGCCTATTGGCCTTGAGTCTTCCTGGTTCATACAGCTATACATCTATTAATAGGGTTGGCTACACTTCCAGGATTACACGCTAGTTTACTTGCTAGCTAGTTACATTGGAGGTTGTCATCTGGGCGGTGTGCTGCAGCTAAACGAATATAAGGGACATCATATAAATATTTCTGTGGGGGGAAACGCTGTTGTATGACAATGTGAATTACTTTAGTGGACTACAATTTCCCTTATACAACTTCTAGCATGCAAGAAATCGGTTGCTTGACTTTGTGTTAATCCCTTGCATTTCATTGGCTGTTGCATTTCGAAAAATTGTATTCTGTGATTTGGGCCTCACTTGCTCCATGTCACGTTTGGCTGCAGTACAGTGGATTCATTGAGACACTCCAGAATTCTCGTCTCAAACCTGGCAGACAGGCAGCAAACCTCTCTCTCTCTCTTTTTTGGAAGGCCTCCACAACAAACAGTGTAGTCAGCAGTCCTGTATGACTGGCTGCCAGCCAACGCTCAAAAAGCACATGCTACAAAATGTGTTACGTGGCAGGGCCTGCGAGTTCAACCGTCACCATCTAAGCGTACACATTCCGTACCACAGACAGGACCTGTTCGATCAGATTCTATTGGCTTCCTCCTTTTCATGATCGGAAAAACACAATGACAGGCACGATCTAATTGTCAGAGATTCTTCAATGAGGTGGAAAGGTTGAAATGTATGTTTTTACTGTAATGGCTATACATAACATGCTCTATACCAGGGATCATCAACTAGATTGAGCCGCTGGCTATTTTATTTTCTTGAGCAGATGGTCGGGGAGCCCAAACAAATATATTTGACTAAAACATAATCACTTCAAACCTTGCTTACATTTGTATACGATCACATGTCTATTATACGTGAGAATAATTGAACAGATTTCCAAAAATTCACTTGTAGCTGATTTCCTAGTGTTTTTAGTCTTATGTTCAAGAATGAAAATTCAACACTGTGCTACTAGTGCTGCTAGTTGGGGAACCCTGCTCTATATTTTATAACTAGATTATCGGCAGCCTAAAGGGAAACCATAAAGCGTTTTACCCTGTGCTCCTGGAACAGGGAGAAGCGTTTAACTATTGGGAAGTTGTGCAGGTTATTGTTTGCCAACTAGGTGATTTGTCAGCCGGTGACGTAGCTGTCACAGGTTGTGTGATGTAAGTAGTTTTCCAGTCAACTCATTGTTTTATTGCCCATGACTTTTTATTTATTTATTTATTTATACAACATCTGATATAGCCTAGACCTAATGGTTTTTGAAAGCACTGTGTGCCTGTGGTATAATTGGAAGTTCATACATTTAGTGAGTGGCATATTGGCAATTGGTGACCGCTCATGTAGCTAAGCCTAAGGATATATGTCCTGAAGGAACCAATGCAGGTAAAGTCTAGAGTAGACGGTGGTAGATAGACAATGCTGGTATGCTGTGTCTGTCACCAACGGTTCTTTTTTGATACCGGTTTTCTAAACAGGACTCACTTGGCAGGAATAAGAGTTGCGTGTGTATCAAGCGTGGGCGGCCGTCGAACATATTTTATTAAATCCCTTTTCGAGGAAATGACATCTAGTGTAATGGGGGGTGGGGCGATGAGAGTAAACCCATCAGACCAATTATTTTGAATGGTCAACTCTTGAACTATTGCTCAACATATTTATTTCCTCTTAATGGTGTGTACATTACTGTATTTATACTCGGCATGTTGTTTTTCAACAGGAAAAGTTCCAAAATAGCTGGAGTGTGTCTTTTTTACAAAGAACAGTGGAGGGTAAACATTGAGTCAGTCGTTCACCTCGAGTCTGTTCTTCTGCCCAAACTTCTCTATGGACAGCTACTAGTGAGTCTGACTGGGGTTCTCTTTTTGAGAACTTTTGAATGAGTATATTCATGTGCTACACATCACGTGGTACTGTACTGTACTGTAGTAGACCCATAGCCTAGGGAGTTGAAGCTCCACACTCGCTAGTCAAAGAGAAGGGCTTGATGAGGTGCTTTTGAGCAGCTCTCTGACATCACCACACACTTGAGGCCTTCGTGGACCCCTTCCGAAATTGACCTGGGGCTTTCCCACCCGGTCCCGATATGCATAAATTAATTTTCAAAATATAGAGACCCGTTTCAAACGGACCCGAGGACAACTAGACCCGTTCCGTATAGAACTGGTTGGATCCAGGTCTGATCCGAGTGAGAGAAGTCCATTTTTAAGCTACTTTATTAATCGGAGCTGATAAAGCGTGAGGGAGAGGTAGAGAGAGGTGATGCTTTAGCAGGGGCCATGCTGTGTGTGTAGGCTACTGTGAGTGACACAAACCGGGAGATCTAGACGAGGGACAACCACCAACCAAGCAGACCCTCTATAGTAGACTAATAGCTGCCATAGCTAGGTTATTTATCACCAATATGATTACGTAGTAAGTCTTGACAGCATCAAACCAGGAGAAGCTAGCTAGGCTAATCGAGGTATGCACTTTCTCGTCTTACACAGTTACAAACAACAACCCATTTTTAATTCCATCTTCCATTGATTTAGATATCTCCTAACTTTTGCCCCACACGGATGCTCTATGACTGGAGCTTATTGCTGCTTTGACTTCTGATTGGCCAACGACAAACTACACGCACCTTTCTCATGAAAAGCAAGCGCAGCCGCATAAACTATTACATTTCTCGCTCTACTGCAGCAGTAGTGTTTGGATCTGTACCAGTCCTTCCGGACAAGTCCGTTAAAATTACACACACCCGAGAACCGTGACAATCAGATCTGACCCAGATCCGTGACATTATTAGATGTCTTGATCCGGACCTGCTCGGGTCTGGTTCGAGTCTCTGGTATTCGGGTACGGGTGGATCCGTAAAGACCTCTCACACACCTCCCTATGGTTTCTCATACTTTCCCTGAACTGGATGTTTTCAAGCTAAACAAGATCCACAGGCTAGCCTATATAAAAAGGATCCATAGGTCATTCATTTCCACTCTGAGCTAGTGGAACCTTTTTTTAAAGTACGGGAAGGGCTTGTTTTACATGTCCCCACCTGTGCATTACGCCACTAAGAGCAGGAGGCGTGGGCCCTTAGGCTGACGTCACCCACTGCGAAGTGTCACACCATTTTCAACACAAAGCCACTTCCTTTAGGTAATAGAAAAAATGCTTTCACTTGAAGGAGGTGGCCAGACTGAACTGGTTCAGAAGTCACTCAGAAAAACCATTCCATCATAGCAGGAAGACTTTTTTTATTTTCTTTTACCATTTGTTTTAGTTGTGTGTGTTGTTTTTGACTGACGGCAAATGATGGATTGAAGTCAGTGGATCTACAGTGCGTTTCTATTCTGATAAGGAGGTCTTGCTATGAATAGGTATATGAGTTTTCGGTCATCTGGGAGACTGCGTCTGAACGGGTAAGACTTTAGACGGCAGTTTGTGCTAATTTGGTTGTAAAATACTCTTCAGGCAAATTATTTGGACTGCTGCATAGACATTCACGTTTCAGGTTGAGACCTGTTTTGTCATGTTGCGTAGAGCTTTGTCTAGTGTGTTGTAGCCTAAATTCATTCATTTCAATTTTATGTTCCATTTCTGTCCTGTGAAAAGAATATCAACTCTGTCTATGATATACTTTTGTATCTCCTTCATTGGATTAGACTTGAGCTAGCGTACATTTTGAAATGGAATTGATTGGAGATGTTTACTGCACTCATATGGCCTATATGGGTGATTTTCACAACTGGCACTTGACAAAAAGTTGACAAAGAAATATATATAATTCCTTTTGGGTCACTAAGATTAGGATCTGTATTTGTCTATTTAATAATGTTTATTGATTAGATATTAGGCATTTTACCACAATTTCCACAACTACCAACGCAAAAGTTTTCATTCTCATATTTTACATTGCTCACCTAATGAAAAGACTGAAAACTAATAGATTTAAAATTAAATTATTAATGTAGTTATTACCATAAGGTTTTGCATTTAGGCCAAAAATGTTATTCCTTTTGGCGTGTTTTCTTGCAATATAACTTTAGTGCCTTGTTGCATACAGGATGCGTGTTTTAGAATATTAGTATTCTTTGTTCTTCTTTTCACGCTGTCATTTAGGTCATTATTGTGGAGAAACTACAATTTGTTCCATCTTCAGTTTTCTCACGTCACAGCCAATGAACTCTGTAGCTGTTTTAAAATGACTAATGACCTTATGGTGACATCTCTGAGCAATTTCCTTCCTGTCCTGCAGAACAGTTCAGAAGACTGTCTGGGTGGGTTAATAAATCATCCACAGCTTGACCATGCTTAGAGATATTCAATGTCTGATTTTTGTTATTCTTACAAATCACTGCCCTTCTTTGAGGCTTTTGAAAAGCTTCCTGGTCTTTTGTAGTTGAATCTGTGCTTCAATACTTGACTGAGGGACCGTATGTATGTATGTATGTGTGTGTGTGTGTGTGTGTGTGTGTGTGTGTGTGTACTCATTAAAAATCATGTTAACCCCTATTATTTCACACAGTGATTCCATGTAACTTATTATGTGATTTGTTAAACCACATTTTACTCCTCAACTAATTTAGGCTTGCCTAAACGAAGGATGTGAATACTTATGCAATTACTATTTTAGTTAATTTTTATTAATTTGTAAACATTAAATCCATTTCAATCCCACTTCGTAACGCAACAAAATGTGAAAAAAATCCAAAGGAGGTGAATACTTATGGTACCCACTGTACATGGTGTTCATACAGTGAATACTTGATACCCACTGTAAATGGGGTTTATACAGTGAATACTTGATACCCACTGTAAATGGGGTTTATACACCCATATTTCTTGACAACCCCTACTTTATCAAATAACAGATTTTTTTTAAACAAAAACTCTATAAAGAAAATTGTATTTATTAGGGATCCCCATTAGCTGTTGCCAAGGCAGCAGCTACTCTTCCTGGGGACCAAACATATTAAAGCACTTACATTACATATAAAACAAAATATAACATTATTACACCACTACATATCTACAATACAAATGTTTTAATACCACCATACAACAATATGCATGTGTCTGTACGTTTTTGTGTGTCTCTTCACAGTCCCCGTTGTTCCATAAGGTGTATTTTATGTATTTATTTTTAATCTGATTCTACTGCTTGCATCAGTTACCTGATGTGGAATAGAGCTCCATGTAGTCATGGCTCTATGTAGTACTGTGCGCCTCCCATAGTCTGTTCTGAAATTGGGGACTGTGAAGAGACCTCTGGTGGCATGTCTTGTGGGGTATGCATGGGTGTCGGAGCTGTGTGCTAGTATTTTAAACAGACAGCTCGGTACATTCAGCTTGTCAACACCTCTTACAAAAACAAGTAGTGATGAAGTCAATCTCTCTTCCACTTTGAGCCATGAGAGATTGACATGCCTGTCATTAATGTTAGCTCTCCGTGTACATTTAAGGGCCAGCCATGCTACCCTGTTCTGGACCCTCTTTGTGGCACCTGACCACACTACTGAACAGTAGTCTAGGCGTGACAAAACTAGGGCCTGTAGGACCTGCCTTGTTGATAGTGTTGTTAAGAAGGCAGATTTATGGACAGACTTCTCCCCATCTTAGTTACTGTTGAGCTAAACCACTTCTATGCTCGCTTCGAGGCAAGCAACACTGAAGCATGCATGAGAGCACCAGCTGTTCCGGATGACTATGTGATCACGCTCTCCGTAGCCGATGTGAGTAAGACTTTTAAGCAGGTCAACATTCACAAGGCCGCAGGGCCAGACGGATTACCAGGACGTGTACTCCGAGCATGTGCTGACCAACGGGCAAGTGTCTTCACTGACATTTTCAACATGTCCCTGACTGAGTCTGTAATACCAACATGTTTCAAGCAGACCACCATAGTCCCCGTGCCCAAGGACTCTAAGATAACCTGCCTAAATGACTACCGACCCGTAGCACTGACGTCTGTAGCCATGAAGTGCTTTGAAAGGCTGGTCATGGCTCACATCAACATCATTATCCCAGAAACCCTAGACCCACTCCAATTTGCATACCGCCCCAACAGATCCACAGATGATGCAATCTCTATTGCTCTCCACACTGCCCTTTCCCACCTGGACAAGAGGAACACCTACGTGAGAATGCTATTCATTGACTACAGCTCAGCATTCAACACAGCTCAGCATTCAACACCATAGTGCCCTCTAAGCTCATCACTAAGCTAAGGATCCTGGGACTAAACACCTCCCTCTGCAACTGGATCCTGGACTTCCTGATGGGCCGCCCCCAGGTGGTAAGGGTAGGTAACAACACATCTGCCACACTGATCCTCAACACGGGGGCCCCTCAGGGGTGCGTGCTCAGTCCCTTCCTGTACTCTCTGTTCACCCATGACTGCATGGCCAGGCACGACTCCAACACCATCATTAAGTTTGCCGACGACACAACAGTGGTAGGCCTGATCACCGACAACGATGAGACAGCCTATAGGGAGGAGGTCAGAGACCTGGCCGTGTGGTGCCAGGACAACAACCTCTCCCTCAACATGACCAAGACAAAGGAGATGATTGTGGACTACAGGAAAAAAAAGAGGACTGAGCACGCCCCCATTCTCATCGACGGGGCTGTAGTGGAACAGGTTGAGAGCTTCAAGTTCCTTGGTGTCCACATCACCAACGAACTATCATGGTCCAAACACACCAAGACAGTCGTGAAGAGGGCACGACAAAGCCTATTCCCCCTCAGGAGACTGAAAAGATTTGGCATGGGTCCTCAGATTCCTCAAAAAATTATACAGCTGCACCATCGAGAGCATCCTGACTGGTTGCATCACCGCCTGGTATGGCAACTGCTTGGCCTCCGACCGCAAGGCACTACAGAGGGTAGTGCGTACGGCCCAGTACATCACTGGGGCCAAGCTTCCTGCCATCCAGGACCTCTATACCAGGCGGTGTCAGAGGAAGGCCCTCAAAATTGTCAAAGGCTCCAGCCACCCTAGTCATAGACTGTTCTCCCTGCTACCGCACTGCAAGCGGTACCGGAGTGCCAAGTCTAGGTCCAAAAGACTTCTCAACAGCTTCTACCCCCAAGCCATAAGACTCCTGAACAGCTAATCATGGCTACCCGGACTATTTGCACTGCCCCCCCACCCCATCCTTTTTACGCTGCTGCTACTCTGTTAATTATTTATGCATAGTCACTTTAACTCTACCCACATGTACATATTACTTCAACTATCTCAACTAGCCGGTGCCCCCGCACATTGACTCTGCACCGGTACCCCCCTGTATATATAGCCTCCCTACTGTTATTTTATTTTACTTCTGCTCTTTTTTTCTCAACACTTTTTTAGTTGTTTTATTTTTACTTTTTTTGTTAAAAATAAATGCACTGTTGGTTAAGGGCTGTAAGTAAGCATTTCACTGTAATGTCTGCACCTGTTGTATTCGGCGCATGTGACCAATATAATTTGATTTGTTGTATCAAAATGTTTTGACCATGACAGTTTACAATCCATGTTTGCTCCAAGCAGTTTAGTCACCTCTACTTGCTCAATTTCCACATTATTCACTACGAGATGTAGTTGAGGTTTAGGGTTTAGTGAATGATTTGTCCCAAATACAATGCTTTTAGTTTTGGAAATATTTAGGACTAACTTATTTTTTGCTACCCATCCCGAAACTAACTGCAGCTCTTTAAGTGTTGCAGTTATTTCAGTTGCTGTAGTAGCTGACGTGTATAGTGTTGAGTCATCTGCATACATACACACTGGCTTTACTCAAAGCATGTCGTTAGTAATGATGGGAAAAAAGTAAGGGGCCTAGACAGCTACCCTGGGGAATTCCTGATTCTACCTGGATTATGTTGGAAAGGCTTCCATTAAAGAACACCCTCTGTGTTCTGTTAGACAAATAACTCTTTATCCACAATATAGCAGGGGCTGTAAAGCCATAACACATACGTTTTTCCAGCAGCAGACTATGATCGATAATGTCAAAAGTTGCACTGAAGTCTAACAAGACAGCCCCCACAATAATCATCATCAATTTATCTCAGCCAATCATCAGTCATTTGTGTAAGTGCTGTGCTTGTTGAATGTCCTTCCTTTATAAGCATGCTGAAAGTATGTAAGTTTGTTTACTGTGACATAGCATTGTCTCTGGTCAAACACCATTTTTTCCAGAAGTTTACTAAGGGTTGGTAACGGGCTGATTGGTCGACTATTTGAGCCAGTAAAGGGGGCTTTACTATTCTTCGGTAGTGGAATGACTTTAGCTTCCCTCCAAGCCTGAGGGCACACACTTTCTAGTAGGATTAAATTGAAGATGTGGCAAATAGGAGTGGCAATATCGTCCGCTATTATCCTCAGTAATTTTCCATCCAGATTGTCAGACCCCGGTGGCTTGTCATTGTTGATAGACAACAATTTTTTTCACCTCTTCCAAACTGATTTTACGGAATTCAAAAGTACAATTCTTGTCTTTTCATAATTTGGTCAGATATACTTGGATGTGTAGTGTCAACGTTTGTTGCTGGCATGCCTATCCTAAGTTTGCTAATCTTGCCAATGAAAAAATAATTAAAGTAGTTGGCATTATCAGTTGGTTTTGTGATGAATGAGCCATCTGATTCAATGAATGATGGAGCTGAGTTGTCGTTTTTTCCCCCAAAATGTCATTTAAGGTGCTCTAAAGCTTTTACTATCATTCTTTATATAATTTATTTTTAGTTTAGTCACATGATTTCTTAATTTGCAGTACATTTGCCAATCAGTTGGGCTGCCAGACTTATTTGCCATACCTTTTGCCTCATCCCTATCAACCATAAACATTTTCAACTCCTCATCAATCCAAGGGGATTTAACAGTTTTTAGTGATTTTCTTAATGGGTGCATGCTTATTAGTAACTGGAATAAATGTGTCTGGTTGCTCCTCATTACACACCACAGACCAGCAAATATGATTTACTTCATCAACAAATGAATCACTACAAAACTTATTGTATGACCTCTTATACACTATATTAGGCCCAGCCTTTGGAACTTTGGTTTTCCTAGATATGGCTGCTATATTGTGATCACTACATCCTATTGATTTGGATACTGCTTTAAAGCACATTTCTGCAGCATTAGTAAAGAGGTGCTCAATACATGTTGATTTAATTCCTGTGCTTTTTGTAAATACCCTGGTAGGTTGACTGACAACCTGAACCAGGTTGCAGGCACTGGTTACAGTTTGAAGTTTTTTCTTGAGTGGGCAGCTTGAGAGCCAGTCCAATATTTAAATCACCCAGGAAATATACTTCTCTGTTGATATCACATACATTTATCATGCATTTTCACAGATGTTATCCAGTTACTGACTGTTAGCACTTGGTGGTCTATAGCAGCTTCCCACCAGAATGGGCTTTAGGTGAGGCAGATGAACCTGTAGCCATATTACTTCAACAGTATTTAACATGAGATCCTCTCTAAGCTTTACAGGAATGTGGTTCTGAATATAGACCGCAACACCGCCCCTGTTGGCATTTGTCTTTTCGGGTAGATGTTATAACCATGTATTGCTACCACTGTATCATCAAAGGTATTATCCAAGTGAGTTTCAGAGATAGTCAGAATATAAATGTCATCTGTTACAAGCAAGTTATTGACTTCATGGACCTTGTTTCTCAGGCTGCATATGTTTAATATGGGCTATTTCTAGCACTTTTCTGGGTTGCTTGATTTGATTTTAATGCTTTACTGGGAAGCTTATCAGAAGTAGACTTGCTCATGTAATTTATATTGGCGCTGATAGTGCAGGGTGAGCTGCACACAATGGTCTTCCTACTAAGGCACACTGCCTCAGTGCTAACAGTGTAACTCTGGTTCATAGGCTCATAATAATAATAATAATATGCCATTTAGCAGACGCTTTTATCCAAAGCGACTTACAGTCATGCGTGCATACCTTTTTTATGCGTATGGGTGGTCCCGGGGATCGACCCACTACCTTGGCGTTACAAGCGCCGTGCTCTACCAGCTGAGCTACAGAGGACCTCATGATTACTGCATACAGTAGCTTTAGGATCAACAGAGGTATTCAGGGCAATGGGTGTAAGCAGTGGTCCTAGTCAATAATTAGTTACCAGCACCGTACACCCATTGACTATACTTTAGAATTAGCTTATTATCATTACCAAGATTAAGGTTCTACTTGCCGAAACTGACCTAAAAATGTATTTTGGTAATGAGGCCCTTCAATCTGCAAGTAATAGGAGACAGCCATTATGAGTCAGCAAACAATTGACCCAATCACTAAAGGCCATTCATGCCTCCATGTTGGTAAGTTAATGGTACTTTTTTCCCAATTTTACTTTTTAGTAATTTCGGTAATGAGAAGGTAAAGGGGGTATTTGAGAACCTCATTCTGAAGGCATATAAGTGAAGAAATTAAATTAACTTTTGCTCATCGAAGGACTACTCCTAGATTGATGCACCATGGGTGAATAAAACTTTATTGAAAAAATGATTGGAGTTTTTTTACAGCAACTTTAAAAAGTGTTATGTTAATTAGAAACATGTCCACAGACTCTTTACGTAATAAATATTAGTTTTAATGTAAACTTCAACTATTTTAACATCTGATTTATGCACAAACTACAGCAACCTATTGGCCCTCATTTACATATTTGTAGATAACCCCACCCACCTTTAGGCTGGCTGTAACTTTCCACAGTATGGAATTTCTTATCTTTAACAGTTTCTAGCCTCCCTTCCCTGTTAGTGGTTTCATAAGTTGCTGTCTTCTATCTTGTCTGAAAAGGTTAGTCACACATATTTAATGGATTATTGTCTTATAATTCTAACCCAGTTCACACAGTTATACAGTATCGGGGTGGAATATTTTTGTCATTACATTAAACATACAAATTCATCTCTCTCTTTAGCCCCTCAAACATCGGTGGCTTAAGATTGATGGAAAATAGGTTGATCTGTTTTGCTCTGTCACTGAACCCTTCTGGTCCTGTCTTCAGCTACCAGGTGGAGAGTGGGGGATTGTCTGTGAAGAAGGCAAGTAAGAGCAAGACTGTGGAGAAGACCAGGAAAGCCCTGAGTCTGGAGGAGGCCCAACTGGAGCTGCTGCAGCAGAGCAGAACTCTCACCAGACAAGCCCCGGTCAGGTAACTACACTGACACTGTGCAACCATGTAGACTCAAGACTTGGGCCTTTTTCATAGTCGCATAAACATACCTGTTTGTTTTCTCTTTTAAAGCTAAGGCCTCTGTGTGACTGTTGGTCTGTCAGGAACCTGCTAAAGCCACAGACTTCACAAGTAACGTCATGCTGATGATCTCTGTCTTCCACAGGTCTCAGACGTTCGATGTGGACAGACGGTTGGAGAGGACTGTAAGCATCGGTTTACAAAGTGTACGTTCACCACTGACTTTTTGACACTGTTTATGGTTGGGATGGCTACAATCCGCTGCTTTACTTTATCAAGTTTTCAAGACTTCTCAGTAACATGGTTGATTTAGTAATGCTTTTCCTCTTCTGTTCTACAGAGTTTTATAAAGCACAACAAAACATTCCACAAGCTGTTTCCTGACATTCCAGAGAGTGAAGACTTGCTACATGGTAAGTGAAGTTTTGAATATTCTCTGTGGCCAAAGGTGGCTCTCCAAACGAAATGTGACCCTTGTGCCAAATAGTCATGTCATGGAAACGGCTAGTCATGCTTCTCACAAAGTCATAATCGCAAAAACCATGAGCGGTGACTTAAAAAAAAAAAAAACTAATCGTTCAAACGATGGCATGGTTAGGCTAAGCTGCGGCAAGGGTTGCCATAGTAACTGACAATGGTGCACGTTAATCTGGCAGTCATTTTGGCCTATACCCACGCTGACCGACAGCGCTTGCTGTGTCGTCATGCTGCCAGGACTTCTGTAACTAACGCTCCCATGTCCTCCCTCTCTCCCACAGCGTACATCTGTGCCCTGCAGAAGGAAGTACTCTACCACGGCAGGCTCTATGTCACCAAACATCACGCGTGCTTCCACTCCTCCGTGCTGCTCAAGGACACCAAGGTAAGTGACCCTTGACCCTGAATGGGCGACCCTGACCCTTGATTGTTTGTCTGTATAATAGTTTTTTACATGGCATAGCAGTAGGCTGTTCTGTATGGAAAATGGACTAGGCTTTTCAGTTAAACAACATTGTTTTGAAGTTTGTCCTATTTGTAAATGGACAGTTTGGCAGTCCTATTACTAGCTAATGGAGAAATGTATACATATCCCCCAGCTTTCTTACCCAATGACGTGTTCATGTTTAACACAGTTTTATTTATATACTGAACAAAAATATAAACACAACATGGAACAATTTCAAAGATTTTACTGAGTTACAGTTCATATAAGGAAATCCGTCAATTTAAATAAATATATTAGGCCCTAACCTATGGATTTCACATGACTGGGAATACAGATATGCATCTGTTTGCCAGATACCTTAAGAACAATGGGCCTCAGGATCTCCTCACGATATTTCTGTGCATTCAAATGGCCGTTGATAAAATGCAATTGTTCTTTTTTTCATGAAATAAAAGCCCAAAAGGCATTTGACTTAGTGCGTTGTGCCGGTTACTGTATCAAGTGATGGTCTGTTGCTCCTCTGTCGGTTTCTACAGTTGGTGATCCCTGTGACCAGCGTGCAAATTCTGAAGAAGCAGAACACTGCCCTACTGTTGCCCAACGCCCTGTCTATCCGCACCGAGGGAGAAAAGGTCAGAGGTCACTTCCTCAGCTGTCCCATTGGCACAGTGCATAGTCCACCATTAGACTCTGCCACCTTAATCTGATGATTAGATCTATACTGGTGGTTTTAATATCAATCTTTAATAGAGGGCTGTCTAAGTCATCAGACAAGTTACGTAACACACATTGACCTCTGATGGATGACATGTAAGATTTTAATCTGATTAATGACTGGCTTATTTAACATAATGTTCATTTTGAAGGTGAATGGTTGCATCCTTGCATGTTCCAGGGCATACAAGGGCATCCAGGCTAAAATGTCTCTCTCCTGTGTGTTTTCAGTACCTGTTTGTGTCTTTGCGGAACCGAGAGGCGTGTTACAAGCTCCTGCGGTCCGTGTGTCCTCAACTGAAGGATGGAAGTGCTAACAGCAGCCCTGTATTCTCCTCTGCTGAGAATAGTTTTGATCAGGACAAGCTGGTGGTAAGTTATAATCTTCAAGTTCATAAAGATGTCATTTTATAAAGTTTAAAGTCAGCCTAATGGATTTACCTGAACGACAGTACTGCAGATACTACAGAGGTCCTTCGTAACTCACCGATACTTCCTCATATTCCACTGTAGCTGTTTTGGGCTCTGTTTTTGAAGCTGGTTTTAACCCACTGTCTCTCACCATGTCCCTCTCTCATAGAACTCCAGTCAGTCCAGTCTAGAGGACAGTTTTGACCAGCTGGATGGGTCAGACCCCAAGCTCTTTCTTGACTCACCCACACCAAATAAAGGTGAGTAAGCCTAACTGGAAGACCAGAGTGGTATTTTACGAAGCAGGTTTGAGGAGATATTTATTTGTATATATAGATAACTTTGGTCAGCTCTGAGTTCAACTCGGTATAACAGGTCATACGAAAGTGGGTCACGTTTTAACCAGGTACATTTCTATGGCAAAGAATCCCTCAGCACTAACCTGCTCCGGGGCGGGCGAACTCCATTTACCCTGAATGAAGTGTCTGAGCCACGAGTTGAGGACCAATGAAATCAGATTCCCTCCCTCTCGCAATTTTGTATGACTTAATACAATATAATATTTTGTCGATAGGAGTGGGGGAAAAGGTGCTTGTTGTTGTACGTTGATAAACACACAAGTCGGCATTAACCATAAGTAATAAAATAAAGACTGCACTTCTAAAAGCCTTTTTCACACAATAGCCTGCTGAAACGGCAATAACTTTTCTTTCATTTTGATTTCGGCACAAATTAAAATGTGACACTGACTCGCCCATGGATTGATGTTTCAGCATTGTCTCAATGAGGAGTTGTGTGACATGCGTGCACAGTTACAAGCCTGCTAGATTTAGTGGCAGGCGGATGAGGAATATCCACCGTCGTAGTACAGATGAAGCCTGAGCTGGAATGTGAAGCTAACTGAAGCTGGTTAGCTTTAGAAAATCCTGAGTAGATCTGGCTTGCTTCGTAGGATACCCCTGTGGCCAGTAATGGCCTGTTTCCCTTGAGCATGCTTTTTAGTCTAGGACTAGGTTTAATGTTACGCACAATGTTCAACCTCTCCTACAGGTCCTAATGTGTAGACTGATAAAGTTTTAGTTGGCTACATGTGAGCGTTATCTGTTGTGTACATACCTGACCTCCATATGCAAAGTCCAAGGTTATGTTTTTTTCTCCCCTTTCCTCTTCAGACCTTGTGCCTCAAGAGAGCAGATCCACCCTTAGGAGCATAAACGCACAGCAGAGAGACGGCTCCTCAGAGGACCTCTCAGGTAAACACACACACAACGTAGGCCTATGTTTCCAGCTGGCTCCTTTTCTCATGCAAACAGAAATACACGTGACTTTACAAAAGCTTTCACGCAGCGAGCCACTGACAAGCCAGTTATTTCAGTTAGTCGTGTGTGTGTGTGCCAAAGTGGGATTTATTTTATTTGGCGATTTAAAAAATACAAATAAATGCATACAAAGCCGTCCTGGCTAGAGATGACATACAGGTGCTAACCAAGTGTTCCGTCTCTCCCGGGTCAGGTGGCTCGTGGGTGTGGAGTGTGGTGGAAAAAGCCAGCTCCCTTCTCATCCAGAGAGACGCCGGCAGCCTCAACACTCTCCTCTTCATATACCTAATACTGTAAGTGACCTCTAAATAACCTTTAACCTGTAAGTGACCTCTAACATCTTTACTATACACGTAGTCTATTCTGTGTTTGTTCAGTTCAATCAATCAATCAATCAATCAATCAATTTTATTTTATATAGCCCTTCTTACATCAGCTAATATCTCGAAGTGCTGTACAGAAACCCAGCCTAAAACCCCAAACAGCTAGTAATGCAGGTGTAGAAGCACGGTGGCTAGGAAAAACTCCCTAGAAAGGCGAAAACCTAGAGAGGAACCAGGCTATGAGGGGTGGCCAGTCCTCTTCTGGCTGTGCCGGGTGGAGATTATAACAGAACCATGCCAAGATGTTCAAAAATGTTCATAAGTGACAAGCATGGTCAAATAATAATCAGGAATAAATCTCAGTTGGCTTTTCATAGCCGATCATTAAGAGTTGAAAACAGCAGGTCTGGGACAGGTAGGGGTTCCATAACCGCAGGCAGAACAGTTTAAACTGGAATAGCAGCAAGGCCAGGCGGACTGGGGACAGCAAGGAGTCACCACGGCCGGTAGTCCCGACGTATGGTCCTAGGGCTCAGGTCTCTCAGTTGGCTTTTCATAGCCGATCATTAAGAGTTGAAAACAGCAGGTCTGGGACAGGTAGGGGTTTCGTAGCCGCAGGCAGAACAGTTGAAACTGGAATAGCAGCAAGGCCAGGCGGACTGGGGACAGCAAGGTGTCATCATGCCCGGTAGTCCTGACGTATGGTCCTAGGGCTCAGGTTCTCAGAGAGAAAGAGAGAACGAGAGAATTAGAGAGAGCATACTTAAATTCACACAGGACACTGGATAAGACAGGAGAAGTACTCCAGGTATAACCAACTAACCAACTAACCCCAGCCCCCCGACACATAAACTACTGCAGCATAAATACTGGAGGCTGAGACAGGAGCGGTCCGGAGACACTGTGGCCCCATCCGAAGAAACCCCCGGACAGGGCCAAACAGGAAGGATATAACCCCACCCACTCCGCCAAAGCACAGCCCCCGCACCACTAGAGGGATATCCCCAACCACCAACTTACAATCCTGAGACAAGGCCGAGTATAGCCCACAGAGGTCTCCACCACAGCACAAACCAAGGGGGGGGCGCCAACCCAGACAGGAAGATCACGTCAGTAACTCAACCCACTCAAGTGACGCACCCCTCCCAGGGACGGCATGAAAGAGCACCAGCAAGCCAGTGACTCAGCCCCTGCAACAGGGTTAGAGGCAGAGAACCCCAGTGGAGAGGGGAACCGGCCTGGCAGAGACAGCAAGGGCTGTTCGTTGCTCCAGCCTTTCCGTTCACCTTCACACTCCTGGGCCAGACTACACTCAATCATATGACCTACTGAAGAGATAAGTCTTCAGTAAAGACTTAAAGGTTGAGACTGAGTCTGCGTCTCTCACATGGGTAGGCAGACTGTTCCATAAAAATGGAGATCTATAGGAGAAAGCCCTGCCTCCCGCTGTTTGCTTAGAAATTCTAGGGACAATTAGGAGGCCTGCGTCTTGTGACCGTAGCGTACGTATTGGTATGTACGGCAGGACCAACTCGGAAAGATAGGTAGGAGCAAGCCCATGTAACGCTTTATAGGTTAACAGTAAAACCTTGAAATCAGCCCTTGCCTTAACAGGAAGCCAGTGTAGGGAAGCTAGCACTGGAGTAATATGATCAAATTTCTTGGTTCTAGTCAGGATTCTAGCAGCCGTATTTAGCACTAACTGAAGTTTATTTAGTGCTTTATCCGGGTAGCCGGAAAATAGAGCATTGCAGTAGTCTAACCTAGAAGTAACAAATGCATGGATTAATTTTTCTGCATCATTTTTGGACAGAAAATTTCTGATTTTTGCAATGTTACGTAGATGGAAAAAAGCTGTCCTTGAAACAGTCTTGATATGTTCGTCAAAAGAGAGATCAGGGTCAAGAGTAACGCCTAGGTCCTTCACAGTTTTATTTGAGACGACTTTACAACCATCAAGATTAATTGTCAGATTTAACAGAAGATCTCTTTGTTTCTTGGGACCTAGAACAAGCATCTCTGTTTTGTCCGAGTTTAAAAGTAAAACGTTTTCAGCCATCCACTTCCTTATGTCTGAAACACAGGCTTCTAGCGAGGGCAATTTTGGGGCTTCACCATGCTTCATTGAAATGTACAGCTGTGTGTCATCCGCATAGCAGTGAAAGTTAACATTATGTTTTCGAATAACATCCCCAAGAGGTAAAATATATAGTGAAAACAATAGTGGTCCTAAAACGGAACCTTGAGGAACACCGAAATGTCCCAGTTGAATGGCATTCGTGGGTGTATAAACTTGAGGGCCTCTCGTTTCACAGAACACGTTTCTAGGCATATACTCTGCAGGCATGGTAACCAATATGTTCCTAACAGCATTTGCATACATGTGCTTAGTGACGTGATAAAATGACGACATGAGGGAAAGCTATGCCACTGGTTAAAGATGCACTATGTGGAAATCACTCCGCCATTTCCTAATTGCTAAAATCCTAATAGTTCCCCTCATTTCAGTTTGTGACAAAACAAGCAAGTATAGTGTAGAGAATCATTGTACCATCTAAACCGCTGTGAAATATATTTTCCATAACCATAGATATTGTATTTTCAGCTGTTTTATAAGCTGGTGTACACAACCGAAAGTAAAAGATGCAAAAATGAAACTTAAAAAAAAGGGGAAGCATAGAAATAGTGCATATAGAACAGATCTACCGCTTCTTAGACTGGCTTTCAATGAGAATGACAGAACTATAACTCACATTTCTGCGAATTGTCGGGTCGCCCCAAAAAGTTAGATATTGCAGCTTTGCGTAACGGTTCTGACCTGTTTGAGTACAGAAGGCCCTGCAGCGTCATATCTAGATGATCTAGGACTACCTGCTGTGTTTAACCATTGGAATGTGCTCTTTGAAGTCTATATATGACATTTAGCAGACGCTCTTATCCAAAGCGACTTAGTCATGCGTGCATACATTTTACATAAGGGTGGTCCCGGGAATCGACACACGTACTACCCTAGCGTTACAAGTGCCATGCTCTACCAACTGAGCTACAAAGGACCACGCGATGACATTTTAGATTTAGAGGAAACTAATTTTGCATGACCTATGTCTACTTTGAATGATGTGAAATGAAGCTGTGTGAGAAGTGTATTGGGGAGCGTGACTTTAACATTCTGTGTGGGTGTGTTTTAGGGTGGTACTGCTGCTGCTGTCGTCGGGGTACATCGGCCTCCGCATCGTGGCTCTGGAGGAACAGCTGACCTCTCTGGGCGCCCTCCCTGAATTCTCCTCACAGAGTGGGTAAGACGACCCCACCCAACCACACAGCAACCATACCACAACCTCCCACATAACACAACCACACCACAACCTCCACATACCACAACCACAATACAATCACTGTACAACAAGCAACCTTTTATATATGAATGTAAGCATAACTATTTTCATTGCCTGGCGCCAGATTCTGATCGGCTTTAGCCAACTCCTCTGAATATCTTTGATCGCTATACAATGCATGGTAGGACCTGGTCAGCGGAGTTGGCTCAAGCAGATGGAGATCTTAGACCAGGCTGCTGCTCAATGGAAGATATGCCGTATCTCTGTGCTGTGGTTATACACAGGTGTGATTTCAGACAACTCTTGAATGAGACTTTTGATTACCTAAGATATCTTATCTGCTCTTTTGTGGTTGTGCAAGTTGCCTCTCCCTCCCTTTCAGAGCTCTGACTCTCAAATTCCCATAAGAGATGGAGCTCAGCTGATGGAAAGCCAAATTATTTTGTATCGCAAAGAGGCGTATTGTGTTTTCAGGCCTTAAGTTTTTTAAATAATTATACTCAACTGCCTTCTTTCTTAGGTACAAGGACACATAACCCTGATTGGCCAGAGGAGATGTTGGAGGACGTGACAATATGGTGCCAGTTGAAGATCTACCAATGAAAAAAGAGAACTGGAGCTCTCGTGTTGAAGATATACTGTCCTCATCCCAGAAGAACTTGAAGGAAGAACTAGGAGACATTTTGACAGTGTTCTAGTGCTGGTCCGTCACTTCCTTGCATATAGGAGTTGTAGAAGCACCTCCCTGTATGATCTCAGACAGACGGGTATCTCAAAGGGCTATATTTAAGAGCGCTAGACCCAGGCCAGCCACGACTCGCAGCAAGCGGCACCAAGCCAACACACACACACACACACACAAACACAAATGACCTGCTGTGTGTCTGTGACTTGAAACCAAAGCCAACTGGCTCAAACTGAGCACAAACTGAAGAGGGGAGGCGATAGTCAACTCAATCTGCTCTCAGATCAGATTGACAAGAAGCGATTTCTCGTCAATCTGCTCTCAGATCAGATTGACAAGAAGCGATTTCTCAGATTTTCCAGAGAACTCTGGAATATGTACGCATTTCCATTCTACGTATTCTCTTCAAGAGCATGTGGTCTGTGCAGACTACCCGAATCCAGCGTAGTCCTGCGTTTGCTTTAACACCTCCCCTAAGGTACAAGTGTTATGCAGAGCCAAAGATACAGAGTGCACGTCTTTTGCATGAGCGCACGGAGATGACTTTGACTTTATCTCCTGCTATGGCATCCCATCATTTCATTAGGGAGTTGCAAGTCGATCTGTATTTAATCTTTCACCACTAAGCCATCTGCGGGTACTCTTGGATGATTCTTCTGGTAATCGGCCATGATTAATATCTTGTCTTACACGGATCAGCTAGCCGAGCAGCCATTTTAATTTTCTCTCCTGACAGTCTCTTCCTCTCCTCTCTTTTTTAAGATCAGCAGTATTAATCCTGCCATTCGCATAATTCTAAACCTGTTTAATGATCAATCCTTTGGAGGCCACTCCCTCGATTCTCGCTGGATGCATCTTCAACGAGTATGATCAGGTCGTCGTCTCGGTAACATTTCCTACATCTTCTACTACTTCGATCATCAAAGTAGTTTTGGCAAATTCCAAACCAATACTATTGTCTTGTTCAGATTTAATATATCTGATGACTTATGTACTGTTTAGAAGGAACTGACGCGTTTTAAAAAGCAAAAAATCTAACCTCTAGTCGTTGACAGGCCTGTTGAGAACAAACGCTTGTTCCTGCTGGTTCAGACGTTTCAGGACTGTTCAAGTAGCAACGTACTGTATTGTATGTTATTCTGTCTGGAACATCAGATAAGTGACTGATGGATTATGCACACTCCTTTGAGTCACCTTTTGAGAGAACAACCATAAAAGTGTAACTATCAAGCGACATTGTTCCTGAGGTCCTATTTTCAACAGAAAGAGAAGAGGTGGTCCAGAAAATTAATTTCAATATGTAATAAAGATTATCCGCGGGGGGGGGGGGGGGATTAGTAACCTGTAGGTGTTTTTGTTTTTTAAATGGAGTCTGATGTTGAGGTGAGAATTGTTTGTTAAAAAAAAAAAACATGAGGTGAAAATTAATGGTTCTGGTGAGCGAGCCAGGGCACTTTAACAGTTGTTGAACTTTAACCTGCCCAAATCCAAAGACATCACATTTGACTGAGGTGGTGGGGAAGCAGGTGTTTTGTTCTCTAGTTACTATTTGATGGTGTTCTTCTCAGGGGTGGGTGCAACCTGCCACAGTTTCAGGGTCACTGCTTTTCCTTCGCCATTTCACGACTCAGGATCGGGGTTGTCACACACACAGTTTGTCCTTGTCCACCAGAGAGAATGCCCTATCCACTTTTCATTGAGAATCACATTGTACCTTTGCAATATATCAGTCTGTGATTTTTGTTTTAAGTTGTTTGTTAGTTTTTTTTCTTTTCATGTTTTTCGACGAACAAATTGAAACATATCGACAATTAATCTAACATCTGACTGACTAGCTCAGTACTGGGTATTCTGTGTTGACGGGACATGAAGAGCGTTGAAGTGACGTCTGTTATAACGATTGGGTAGTTGTAGTCAGATGTTGGGCTAAAAGATGTATGCCTACATGCCATAAAGCAGTACTGTCCGTTGTCTTCCTTCTCCATCAGTGGATAGCACATGTCAAATATATTCAAATGGACACAATGCAAGAATCTCAATGACGAGCCCAGTATTTGTGTGGTTTTGCGTTATTGAAGTGTTGTAAATAATTTATGTCCTTCATTCTACTTCATTCTTGTATTTATTTGCATTCTATGTAATTCAAAGTAGTAGTCTCTGTGAGATTTTGCTTTGGTATTGTTCAACAATAAATCAACTGTTGCAAGAACAACTATTTGTATCCGTTTGTTTAAATGCAAAAGTTACATTTGGAAATTTTGTCATTTAGCAAACGCTCTTATCCAGAGTGACTTACAGGAGCAATTAGGGTTAAGTGCCTTGCACAACGGCACATCGACAGATTTTTCCACCTAGTCTGCTCGGGGATTCAAACCAGCGACCTTTCGGTTACTGGCCGAACGCTCTTAAAACCGCTAGGCTACCTGCCGCCCAGTTAAATGCATATGTTAATGTAAAGATATTTTCTGGCCTGCAAATGTAGCCTACAGTATTTGAAGGCTCCTGTTGCGGTTTGAATATTTCTATCACTATATTGCCTTTAAAGCACCACCCAGAGGTGAGTAGAGAAGAATTTGTGGAAGAAAATTACACATGTTGAAGTACAACCCTAACCCTACTTTAAACCACGCCCCAGGCTTAAGGGTGTGACTCAGTGACCAGGAAGGTGGTCAATTTGCATTTGTTAAAAAAAATTAAAAAAAAATGGCTTCATTGTCTATTAACCAGAAAACGGATTAAGACTAAGCAATGAACTAGAGACCAGGCTGGAGTCAAATATTCAATTTTATTCTGTTCAGCAGATTTGACCAGACACAGGTTGTTTCCATAGCTGTTGTCACATTGCTATCAGTGACAATAGTAAAGACTAGTGGTTGGTAGATTTTTCTTTAGTATGCAGGTAAAAGATGAGTTCCATTTAGCTTTCTTGAACGTTGGTAGGGGGCGGTTCTGCAACGTTCTTCTGAAAGGCACAGAGTTGGAACACACCTGAAAGTTCGAGCAACAAGGAAATAGTCACTGCGTTACATTTGACAATATGCCAACACCATGTACTTAGAGGGACTAAGACTTCTGGCAAGTCTGAATTTGGACGGCCTGAAAAGCTATTTGCAGCCAATGTGACCTTGACACAATCTACAGCACCTGCACTGTCCGTTGCTGGCAGATCCATCCTAACCACAGATCTGTTGAAGGAGTGCGTGTTGCTAATCGAAGATCGATTGCAGCGGATCCAAACCCCCACTACAGACTGCACGCTACATTGAAATATAGCTTATGTACAAGACATGCTATCTAAAACACATTTAAAGACCGATGGGTTTATTAGAGAAGGAGTTTACCAGCAGCGAAAGATAAGATGATGGCCACCCAAGCTACGATGTAGGACCAGGAGAAGCGCCAATCAAGGAAGCGCTTGCCAAAGAAGTTGACCGTCACGCCAGTGTAGATGGCCAGAGCTAACAGAGCTAGGAAACCTGAGGGATGAGACCGAGTGGTGGAAGAAGAGAGAAACATGTTGTGGCCAAAACAGAAACGCTTGTTGAAGAATGGTGATGTCAAGTCTATAAACAAATTTACTAAATGTAATTCCTGACTGCTACACTATCCCATACTTCCTACTTTCAGTCTCCTTTCCTTTCCTCTCCTCTCATCCACCTTTCCGCTCCTCCACCCTCTCCTTTCCTCTCATCCACCTCTCCGCTCCTCCACCCTCTCCTTTCCTCTCATCCACCTCTCCACTCCTCCACCCTCTCCTCTCAACTCTCTCCCCTCTAACCTCTCGCTCTCCACCTTCCTTTCCTCTCTTCATCCACCTCTCATCCACCTCTCCGCTCCTCCACCCTCTCCTTTCCTCTCCTCTCATCCACCTCTCTCCTCTCCTCTCATCCACCTCTCCGCTCCTCCACCCTCTCCTTTCCTCTCCTCTCATCCACCTCTCTCCTCTCCTCTCATCAACTCTCGTCCCCTCCTCCCTCTCTCATCCACCCTCTCCTTCCTCTCCTCTCATCCACCTCTCCGCTCCTCCACCCTCTCTCTCATCTCATCCACCTCTCCGCTCCTCCACCCTCTCCTTCCTCTCCCCTCCACCTCCTCTCCCCTCTCCTTCACACCTCTCCCTCCTCCACCTCTCTCTCTCCTCATCACACCTTCCGCTCCTCCACCCTCTCCTTTCCTCTCATCACTCCGCTCATCCACCTCTCTTCCTCCTCATCACCTTCTCCTCCTCTCATCACCTCCGTCTCACCCTCTCCTTTCCATCTCGCTCTCACTTACCCTCTCCTCTCCACTCTCCGCTCATCCACCCCTCACTCTCCCTCTCCTCCACCTTTCCTCTCCCTCATCAACCTTCCTCTCCCATCCCTCTCCTCTCCATCCACCACCTCCTCTCCCTCTCCTCCAACTTTCCTCTCCCTCTCAACCTTTCCTCTCCTCTCATCCACCTCTCCTCTCCCTCTCCTCTCATCCACCCCTCCTCTCCCTCTCCTCCACCTTTCCTCTCCACTCCTCCACCTTTCCTCTCCTCCACCCTCCTCTCCCTCTCCTCTCATCCACCTCTCCTCTCATCCACCCCTCCTCTCCCTCTCCTCTCATCCACCTATCCTCTCCCCTCCTTGAAGGAACTGGACAGATCAAAGTAAACCCCCTGTAGGTCTTACATGCGTTTAACTTTCCTGTCTTTTCAGATGGGGTGTTTACCTGACAGGAGCAGAGCGAAGCCCCCCGTCCGGACCCTCCTGCTCTTGGTGCCGTTGACGAAGGCACTCAGGCCCAGCAATACACCAGCAAAGCAGCTCAGCACGGACAGTAGCATGAAGGCCCTTGTCGCATCCCAGAAGGCTGTGCAGAGAGGACACCGTCATTTAAGTAAGTATATTAACCTCTACGAGATCGGTGTCCCATATACGGGACGGTTGAGCTAACGTGCGCTAATGTGATTAGCATGACTGTTGTAAGTAACAGCAAACTTTCCAGGACATAGACATGTCTTATTTGGGCAGAAAGCTTTAATTATTGTTAATCTAACTGCACTGTCCAATTTACAGTAGCAATTACAGTGAAAAAATACCATGCTATTGTTTGAGGAGAGTGCACAACAACAGAACTTATCATGGCAACTGGTTTGATACATTCACCTCTGACGGTAAATAATGTACTTACGTTCAGTAATCTTGCTCTGATTTGTCATCCTGAGGGTCCCAGAGATAAAATGTAGCATAGTTTTGTTTGATCAAATCCATTTTTATATTCAAATGTAGGAACTGGGTTCTACAGTTTGAACCCCTGCTGTCTCTGGCTCCACACCCACCCCGCCCGGTCATCTAGATGTGTGAAAGTTAGTGTATAAGCTAATGATCCGTCATGTATGACATTCCTGGGAGAGTGTAAACTTACATTTTGTATTACCATATCATTTTTGTATGTTCTCTATAGTTATGTGCTTGAAAATGTATCAATTTACGTATTTGGCACATTTGGGTAGACTTGATACAAAATAGTCCAGTATTGCAATGCGTCACTGGAGCAATCTGAAACTTTGCACAGACACTGCTTCCATCTAGTGGCCAAAATCTAAACTGCAATATTATATTGTGGCCTTTCTCTTGTATTTCAAAAAAATAAAACGCATGATGTTTTGTTTGTATTATCTTTTACCAGATCTAATGTGTTACATTTTTCTACATTAATTTCACATTTCCACAAACTTCAAAGTGTTTCCTTTCAAATGGTATCAATAATATTCATATCCTTGCTTCAGGTCCTGAACTACAGGCAGTTAGATTTGGGTATGTCATTTTCCACATTTTGTTACACCTTATTCTAAAATGTATTAAATAGTTTTTTTCCTCATCAATCTACACACAATACCCCATAATGACAAAGCAAAAAAATAAAAGGTTTTTAGAATTTTTTGCACATTTATTAAAAATAAAAAACGGAAATATCACATTTACAAAATTATTCAGACCTTTTACTCAGTACTTTGTTGAAGCACTTTTGGCAGCGATTACAGCCTTGAGTCTTCTTGGGTATGACGCTACAAGTTTGGCACACCTGTATTTGGGGAGTTCCTCCCATTCTTCTCTGCAGATCCTCTCAAGCTCTGTCAGGTTGGATGGGGAGTGTCGCTGCACAGCTATTTTCAGGTCTCTCCAGAGATGTTAGATCGGGTTCAAGTCCGGGCTCTGGCTGGGCCACTCAAGGACAATCAGAGACTCCTGCATTGTCTTGGCTGTGTGCTTAGGGTCGTATTTCTCTTTTTTTAATTTTAATAAATTTGCAAACATTTCTACAAACCTGTTTTCGCTTTGTCATTATGGGGTATTGTGTGTAGATTGAAGAGGAAAACATGTAATTTAATAAATTTTAGAATAAGGCTGTAACGTAACAAAGTGGAAAAAGTGAAGGGGTCTGAATACATTCCGAATGCTCTATACATACAAAGGACAGTAAATGGCACTGGGTCACAATAGTTGAGGTTAACGGGGTAGTTCACCCAAAATACAAAATAACTTGTATGTTACCATACCTTAATAGTAGTCTATCGGCCAAGAAAAAGTGTGATCCCCACGTGTTTGTATACATAGCGATACCATAGCCGCCATCTGCATTAGCCACGTTAGCGTTGATAACAAAAACACACTGAGAATCAATGGACCCCAGGTAGCATGCTCAAATCAACCTCAAAGTATGACAAATGAATAGAGAGGATCCAAAAACAACAAGTTTAAAAGTAGTTTGTACGCTCTACTACTCGGTACTCACCCACAGTGATGGTGTGGGCGTGGCACTTGTGATTGATGCAAAACCTCCAGAGGCCCTGATTGGCCGACGCTCCCGAGTAGCGGTACTGCATCCAGAAGTCGGTCGCCGTGGAGACGATGAGGAGCACGAGGGCGGCCACACCACAGAGTGTACCCCCTCCTGCTAAAGTGTACAGCATCAAGGAGAACCCTGGGATAGCACAGTCCTCCTAAATGCACTGCAACTATTTGAGCTACAAAAACGAGAGAATAATAGAAAATGGTTCATCACTGTGTTATCACTCTAATCAAATCAAATCACATCACATTTTATTTGCCACATGCCGAATACAACAGGTGTAGACATGACAGTGAAATGTTTACTTACAAGCCCATAACCAACAATACAGTTTAAGAAAAAATATGTTTTGCGAATAATTAAAGAGCAGCAGTAAAATAAAATAACAGTAGGGAGGCTATATACAGCGGTAGGGAGGTTATATACACTGTATGCTGTTATATCCTGTACATCTCCAAGTATAGGGTAACGTTTCAGTTACTTTTTTTAAAAGTTAAAGTTATTTTTATAATAGATCAGAGGGAACCATGCTTCATACTCATGACATGCATTACATAGAAGAGACTTGCTGTGGAATTAATCATTTTTACCTCTGAGAAAACAAGCCATAAAGTTATATGATCACATAAAGAAGCCCTTTATAGCAGGTTCAGAGACATCGAAATACATCAAACCATCGTCAAATGCGAAACAGATTTTTTTTTTTTTACTCTGTTCAACAGTTGCAGTCTAACCGAGCAAGTCTAAGTTCAAACTAAACGTAAAGGAAGGTCCCCTTAAAATCTGCATGACAGAATTCTGGTGATACTTCAGGTTATTTTTGTTGTTGGCTCTGAGGGCAAGGTGACTGTGATGAATGTGAACTTTCCACACAGCTCAGATCAGCACATTGTTCCCACTAGGCTATCCACCAGCCCTTTGCTTTACCCTCCCCACGTGCTGGGGTGGACACCTGCTGGAGTAGACGCCGCAACGGTGTGTGGCATTGTTCACTGTTTCAGCCATGAGTTCAATTTGATAAAATGCATCCTTCCTTGGGTCTAATCTGGCATACTTTCATGGGGGAAAGCAGTTTAGTCTGATCTGTGATTAGGCTTAAAGGAAGGACTGAAGGGAAGGATGCATTTTTGAAGTATTCAAGCAGGGCCTTCATTTGGAAGTCAACCCTAACACCTTTACGCTTTAGAGTGGACACATCTGTAGTTTTATGGCATGTGGAGGTGGTGACACCTACCCTAATATAAGCACACCAACGACCTCTGCACTTCTAGTCATTATGCTGTGTTTTTGCAAAATAAATTGCTCAAGTTGAAACCTAATTTCTAATCCATTCTAAAATGTAATTTCATTTCAATATCTTTGAATGCACATTTCCATCTGATCAAGAGCAACCAAGTACAAAAGCAAACACCAGCAAATTGTGCCAAAGCAAAAACACAAAATGCCGCCATGTCAATGAGAATGCTGAACAAGCTGATTCAAACCATTGTTTCCAAGTAATTCCCCCCAACGCTTCACAACTAATCTTCTGATGCTGAGCAATAGATCTGTCAGCATGTTGCTCTGTGACCAGCGTGATGGGGTGCCATACAAATACCCTTTTCGCTCTACTGAGCTGTGCCGAATTGTACCTGTGCTGGCCTAGTTATGAATCCACCATAGCTGCTGGAAAGGGCAATGTGAAAAGATATGATTTGAAGAAATATCCACTTCATCCCAGTACAGTTCAGAGCAGCTCGATAGTGAGAAAAGGTACAATATTCCATAGTTGCCGTTTCAATTCCTGCAGCAGCCTCAATTCATCAGAAGACCAAAAGCTCTAAAACAAATGTAAACCGGCCCATTTATACTCCAAAAAGTTATTTTGTTTTAATTCTTCATAAACTTGAATAACAGGAAAGGGCCCCAAACCCAGGGGTGTCTCCAAAGACATGTCTTTGTATAAAGTCCATAAAAATGTTTTCAGATAGATACCTGTTGGTTGCTGTCTCTGTCCAGGGTTGTTGGCTGTCTGTGTGCGTCTGTCCTTTTTAAGCCCTCCACCCATGGCCCTCATTGTCTGCCTGTACAATAGAGGGAATGATCGAGGGCAACATGTGAATGATGGTAATCCCTCTCTCTCACTCTCTCGTTCCCTCGTTTACCATCTCTCTATTGCACACCATTACCCCTGGGCCCTGTGCCTCCCGACTCTCTCCCTCTAACCTGTACGCTTGCTAGTTCTCTCCATCTGTCTTAAACCTTCCCTCATGGTCTCCCCTCTCTCCCTATAACCTGTACCCTTGCTAGTTCTCTCCATCTCTCTGAAACCTTCCCTCATGGCCTCCCCTCTCTCCCTCTAACCTGTACGCTTGCTAGTTCTCTCCATCTGTCTGAAACCTTCCCTCATGGCCTCCCCTCTCTTCCTCTAACCTGTACGCTTGCTAGTTCTCTCCATCTGTCTGAAACCTTCCCTCATGGTCTCCCCTCCTCCTTAACTCTTCTTCTCTCTGTCCTCTTTGTATCTTTCCTCTCAGAAAGTGGCTGATCAGCCCTGGCAGGCAGCGCTCTACATCATGGGACTTTGTGGCGAGGGCCACGACCCCCCGGGTTCAACCATACCAGGGCTGGGTTCACTATGTTCATTACCACAGTGGTGGGTACTGGGTACTATCCAGGGTCAGAATGGTGGTGGGTACTATCCAGGGTCAGAGTGGTAGTGGGTACTATCCAGGGTCAGAGTGGTGGTGGGTACTATCCAGGGTCAGAGTGGTGGTGGGTACTATCCAGGGTCAGAGTGGTGGTGGGTACTATCCAGGGTCAGAGTGGTAGTGGGTACTATCCAGGGTCAGAGTGGTAGTGGGTACTATCCAGGGTCAGAGTGGTAGTGGGTACTATCCAGGGTCAGAGTGGTAGTGGGTACTATCCAGGGTCAGAGTGGTAGTGGGTACTATCCAGGGTCAGAGTGGTGGTGGGTACTATCCAGGGTCAGAGTGGTGGTGGGTACTATCCAGGGTCAGAGTGGTGGTGGGTACTATCCAGGGTCAGAGTGGTACTGGGTACTATCCAGGGTCAGAGTGGTAGTGGGTACTATCCAGGGTCAGAGTGGTAGTGGGTACTATCCAGGGTCAGAGTGGTAGTGGGTACTATCCAGGGTCAGAGTGGTGGTGGGTACTATCCAGGGTCAGAGTGGTGGTGGGTACTATCCAGGGTCAGAGTGGTAGTGGGTACTATCCAGGGTCAGAGTGGTAGTGGGTACTATCCAGGGTCAGAGTGGTGGTGGGTACTATCCAGGGTCAGAGTGGTAGTGGGTACTATCCAGGGTCAGAGTGGTACTGGGTACTATCCAGGGTCAGAGTGGTACTGGGTACTATCCAGGGTCAGAGTGGTGGTGGGTACTATCCAGGGTCAGAGTGGTGGTGGGTACTATCCAGGGTCAGAGTGGTAGTGGGTACTATCCAGGGTCAGAGTGGTGGTGGGTACTATCCAGGGTCAGAGTGGTGGTGGGTACTATCCAGGGTCAGAGTGGTAGTGGGTACTATCCAGGGTCAGAGTGGTGGTGGGTACTATCCAGGGTCAGAGTGGTGGTGGGTACTATCCAGGGTCAGAGTGGTAGTGGGTACTATCCAGGGTCAGAGTGGTAGTGGGTACTATCCAGGGTCAGAGTGGTAGTGGGTACTATCCAGGGTCAGAGTGGTAGTGGGTACTATCCAGGGTCAGAGTGGTACTGGGTACTATCCAGGGTCAGAGTGGTACTGGGTACTATCCAGGGTCAGAGTGGTAGTGGGTACTATCCAGGGTCAGAGTGGTAGTGGGTACTATCCAGGGTCAGAGTGGTAGTGGGTACTATCCAGGGTCAGAGTGGTAGTGGGTACTATCCAGGGTCAGAGTGGTAGTGGGTACTATCCAGGGTCAGAGTGGTGGTGGGTACTATCCAGGGTCAGAGTGGTGGTGGGTACTATCCAGGGTCAGAGTGGTGGTGGGTACTATCCAGGGTCAGAGTGGTAGTGGGTACTATCCAGGGTCAGAGTGGTAGTGGGTACTATCCAGGGTCAGAGTGGTGGTGGGTACTATCCAGGGTCAGAGTGGTGGTGGGTACTATCCAGGGTCAGAGTGGTAGTGGGTACTATCCAGGTCAGAGTGGTAGTGGGTACTATCCAGGGTCAGAGTGGTAGTGGGTACCATCCAGGGTCAGAGTGGTAGTGGGTACTATCCAGGGTCAGAGTGGTAGTGGGTACTATCCAGGGTCAGAGTGGTGGTGGGTACTATCCAGGGTCAGAGTGGTGGTGGGTACTATCCAGGGTCAGAGTGGTAGTGGGTACTATCCAGGGTCAGAGTGGTGGTGGGTACTATCCAGGGTCAGAGTGGTGGTGGGTACTATCCAGGGTCAGAGTGGTAGTGGGTACTATCCAGGGTCAGAGTGGTGGTGGGTACTATCCAGGGTCAGAGTGGTAGTGGGTACTATCCAGGGTCAGAGTGGTAGTGGGTACTATCCAGGGTCAGAGTGGTAGTGGGTACTATCCAGGGTCAGAGTGGTAGTGGGTACTATCCAGGGTCAGAGTGGTAGTGGGTACTATCCAGGGTCAGAGTGGTAGTGGGTACTATCCAGGGTCAGAGTGGTAGTGGGTACTATCCAGGGTCAGAGTGGTAGTGGGTACTATCCAGGGTCAGAGTGGTAGTGGGTACTATCCAGGGTCAGAGTGGTAGTGGGTACTATCCAGGGTCAGAGTGGTAGTGGGTTACTATCCAGGGTCAGAGTGGTAGTGGGTACTATCCAGGGTCAGAGTGGTAGTGGGTACTATCCAGGGTCAGAGTGGTAGTGGGTACTATCCAGGGTCAGAGTGGTAGTGGGTACATCCAGGGTCAGAGTGGTGGTGGGTACTATCCAGGGTCAGAGTGGTGGTGGGTACTATCCAGGGTCAGAGTGGTAGTGGGTACTATCCAGGGTCAGAGTGGTGTGGGTATCGGTGGGGTGGTGGTACTATCCAGGGTCAGAGTGGTAGTGGGTACCATCCAGGGTCAGAGTGGTAGTGGGTACATCCAGGGTCAGAGTGGTGGTGGGTACTATCCAGGGTCAGAGTGGTGGTGGTACTATCCAGGGTCAGAGTGGTAGTGGGTACCATCCAGGGTCAGAGTGGTAGTGGGTACCATCCAGGGTCAGAGTGGTAGTGGGTACTATCCAGGGTCAGAGTGGTAGTGGGTACTATCCAGGGTCAGAGTGGTAGTGGGTACCATCCAGGGTCCAGAGTGGTAGTGGGTACCATCCAGGGTCAGAGTGGTAGTGGGTACTATCCAGGGTCAGAGTGGTAGTGGGTACTATCCAGGGTCAGAGTGGTAGTGGGTACTATCCAGGGTCAGAGTGGTAGTGGGTACTATCCAGGGTCAGAGTGGTAGTGGGTACTATCCAGGGTCAGAGTGGTGGTGGGTACTATCCAGGGTCAGAGTGGTGTGGGTACATCCAGGTCAGAGTGGTAGTGGGTACTATCCAGGGTCAGAGTGGTGTGGGTACTATCCAGGGTCAGAGTGGTAGTGGGTACTATCCAGGGTCAGAGTGGTGGTGGGTACTATCCAGGGTCAGAGTGGTAGTGGGTACTATCCAGGGTCAGAGTGGTATGGGTACTATCCAGGGTCAGAGTGGTAGTGGGTACTATCCAGGGTCAGAGTGGGTACTGGGTACTATCCAGGGTCAGAGTGGTAGTGGGTACTATCCAGGGTCAGAGTGGTGGTGGGTACTATCCAGGGTCAGAGTGGCACACTGTACAGTACATGGTCACACACTGGTCCAGGGTTCTCCAGGGCCTATATTAACACCACTCTCCGAGTGTGTATTATAAACATTTCCAATTCACACGTTTATAAAACACACTAGTACACAAATATAAGCACCTACCATCACATCTGTTTCAGCACCCACCATCACATCTGTTTCAGCTAAATATGGTTCAGAGAGAAGACCTTAATAGTTCAATACTGAATACTTGAACCCGGTGCATTACAACAGGGCTGGATTGAAAGCCTGCACAGCCAGTAGCTCTTCGGGACTGGAGTTGGACAACCCTTCAGTAGTCCCCTGTAGCTCAGTTGGTAGAGCATGGCGCTTGCAACGCCAGGGTTGTGGGTTCGTTTCCCACGGGGGGCCAGTATGAAAACATTTATGGACTCACTAACTGTAAGTCGCTCTGGATAAGAGCGTCTGCTAAAATGACTAAAATGTAAATGTAGCAACCCTCTGGTTACTGTCTGTTGCCAAGTATAGGTCTCGGAGGGCCCTGGAGTAGTTACTGTCTGTTGCCAAGTATAGGTCTTGGAGGGCCCCAACAGACAATGCAGAGATCATCCCAGTTTGGATAGGAGTTGGGTCATTGTGAGTCCAGTTGGAGAAAGGTCCTGACACCTGCCTTGGTCCGTGATCTGTAGAACTAATAGGATGCAGCAGAGCAGATGGAAAAGTTTCTCTATCATGTGGAGTAGAGGGTTGTGTACACCTTGCATTTACATCTGCAGTGTGCTGAACGTCGGGCCAAACTGAGTAAGGCCGGGACTCAATCCGATCACGGGGTTATAGGCCATTTCTGATTGCGTTCACGATAAACGCTGCAATCTCTGCGAACACCGGAACATTACTTTAATACCTGGTCCTAACATGCATCCTGATCGTGGCCTCATTCTGGCCTCATTTTTTGACCGGTGTAGATAAAATACCTAATTGTGAAGGTTAGCGTTAAAGGATTGTTGAGGTAAGGTTAGAAGAAAGAGAAAAATACATTTTATAAACCATACTGTCAGCACACCTTTTCCCCCCAAACTAAAACCACAATGGAACTGATATTTTTTTTAAATGATTTTATTCAAAAACAGCTTGATGTTTTGTTTTAATTAACAATAATCAAAACACAAACCATACAGGCAATTCTACAAAGAAAAAGTATTCATTTTCACTAACATCAGTATACAAATAGAGCTGATCTATTCACATAATACACATCAACAGAACAGGAAGGCATAGGGAACTCTGTGTGTGTGGATATTTCTGAATTGAGGACATCTCTTCAGTGGCAGGTTATATGAAGCCTTGTATGTCATCGTTCTAGTCGCTGTGGAAACCCTCTCCGTGGGAGTGTCGTTGCGTGTGAGGGTGGTGGGATGTCTCTGAACTGGAGGTATGTCTGCAGTGGAGGGGGAAGAGGAAGCTGTCGGACCACATCCGTCTGCATCAGAACCACTGAACCCAACTCTTCCCTGACCCGCAGCCTGCAGAGGTGAGAGAGAGGGGGCACACACTCTACACACACACACAGTAACATACACACACCATTATTATTTATCTGTTGACAGTTTTCCGTGTGTGTGCATGTGTCGGTCTTAGTTATGTGCATAATATCCAGTGGTTGAATGCCCTTATTGTGTCAGTCTGGATAAGACGTTCAGCTAAATGCTAAAAATGTCATTTGTACGTGTTTCTTACCGTGGTACGCGAGTGGTCTCCAGCAGGTGACCTCCTCTCGGTGTAGCAGTATGTCCTTTAGCGGGTGGGAAAGAGTCGACCAATTGACAAACTGCAGGAAGTAATTCACAACCTCACTGTCCGCCTTCCCCAGCATGTAAGGTTGCTGCAACAGTAGGGATGGCTCCAGCCCTGCCCGAAGTAGCTGGGGCAGCCAGTAGGAGGCATGGCACACCATATCAAGCGCCTCACACACCAGCCCACGCAACTCTTCTGGACTGAGTGGGATCTTGCTCTGCTGCTCTGTCCTAGAGCTGAGTCTGATGGTCCTGCTTAGCTGCTCTGGTCCGGGGATGCTCCTGTGTTGTAAGACATACTGCAGCACATCGGATTTGCACGTGGCCAGAATGTAGAACCATTCCCGCCCGGTCAAAGTGGCCCCTGCGGCTACCAAGAAACGCGCCGAATCGCTGAAGGGCTGGGAGGATGTGCATTTCAAGGCGAGGGTGTAGGCGAGTGGCGATGTGGTGTCTGAGCTGAAGAGGGAGCTACAGTCCTGGGCGTCTGGGCTGAAGCCTGCCCTCAGCAGCAGATCTACACAGTGGCTGTGATTGTTCTTCACAGCAGAGTACAGCGGACTCAACTCACTCTCTCCACGGTCACACACCCGGTCTGTCACAGCAATCAGCCTGGCCAGGATAGAGTTGTGGCCGAACTCGGCAGCTGCGTGGATGGGGAGCTGTGGCCAGTTGTCGGAACAAGACAGGTTCGGGTTGGCATTGTGGTCCAGAAGAATCTCCACACAGCCCTCGTGGCCCTCCTGTGACGCAATCAGCAGCGGTGTTGCCAAGTCTGACGCCTGGGCGTTCACATTGGCACCTACAACCCCAACATGCAAACAACACACAATGTTTATACAGCGACTTAAAGGCCCAATGCAGCCATTTTTATATCAATATCAAATAATTTCTGGGTAACGATTAAGTACCGTACTGTATAAGGCGCATTCACACTGCATTTTAGCCCTGGGCTAAGCGAGTGTTGACACTTGCGCATTGTAATGTAGGCTAGCACCAACCTTAGCCCAGGGCTAGCTGGCCCTGCTCCGGAGCAGGGTTACCGACTTTTTTTTAAACACGGTGCCAAAATACTTAATTTGCACATGCTTGTGATGCGTTCTGCACACTATTTGAATTTAGTATATTTATACTATTTCATCCTTCCATCTGCAGACAAAAACTTGACAAAAAACTAAATACTTTAATCTGTGCAAAAACATTGCTTGTTATGGCTAACATTGTTCTCACTTAGCTAGCCAACTGAAGCCAACAACTCTACAGCTGGAAGGGCAGCAAACACTCCTACAACTGGAAGGGCAGCAAACACTCCTACAGCTGGAAGGGCAGCGAACACTCCTACAACTGGAAGGGCAGCAAACACTCCTACAGCTGGAAGGGCAGCAAACACTCCTACAGCTGGAAGGGCAGCGAACACTCCTACAACTGGAAGGGCAGCAAACACTCCTACAGCTGGAAGGGCAGCAAACACTCCTACAGCTGGAAGGGCAGCAAACACTCCTACAGCTGGAAGGGCAGCGAACACTCCTACAACTGGAAGGGCAGCAAACACTCCTACAGCTGGAAGGGCAGCAAACACTCCTACAGCTGGAAGGGCAGCAAACACTCCTACAGCTGGAAGGGCAGCAAACACTCCTACAGCTGGAAGGGCAGCAAACACTCCTACAGCTGGAAGGGCAGCAAACACTCCTACAGCTGGAAGGGCAGCAAACACTCCTACAGCTGGAAGGGCAGCAAACACTCCTACAGCTGGAAGGGCAGCAAACACTCCTACAGCTGGAAGGGCAGCGAACACTCCATTTTCTTTTTTTCTAGATTTTTGTTGTCATTTTTACCCCCTTTTTCGTGATTACCATCTTGTCTCGTCGCTGCAACTCCCCAACGGGCTCGGGAGAGGCGAAGGTCGCATGTGTGTTTGTCCGTTAGCCCAGGGCTTTGGAATACAAGTGTGACTCCTTAGCCCAGGGCTAAAGCTTAGCCCAGGGTTAACAAATGCTTGTGTGAACACAGGATAAGCTAGCCTGGGGCTAAGAACAATGCAGTGTGAAAAGGCCTCTATAGATCTCCATTAAAACAGGCAAAAATTGCACCCAAAAAAAACTCTGGCAATAATTTTGCTGGGGCTGTCTGGGAGTGGTCTGTGTGGGGAGGGGAAAACTGAAAACTAGCTGTAATTGGCAGAGTTTTTTGAACTTTTTAATATTGGTCTAATAACCAATTTACTGTATGGTGATGTCACCGTGGAAAGCCGCAACTCTCGCCCATGCAAACCTGCTGATTAGAAGGTCCTGTGTAGATTGTATTTTTTACCAGCAACTATCAGGAAATAACACTGATCCAATTTTTACACACTTTTACAGTGTTTGTTTCATCAGCTGTTGTACAATATGATATAAAAAAAAAACAGAATTTTGACTGAAGTGGGCCTTTTAACATACAGATATTGATTTAACAAAACATGTTTTCAGAAAGCGCACACCCACAGATGTTTACCCGCGTCAGCGAGGATCTGGAGACACTGCTTCTGTCCGTACTGTGCAGCCACAAACAGGGGTGTGATCATGTGGTCGTCAAACACCTCCAGGCGACACACACCCACCAGGATACGCACAATGTCACTGTGACCCTTATAGGCAGCCTGATGAAGGCAGGTCCAGCAGGAGGCCGTGTGTGTTCCGTTAACCTCTGCCCCTTTCCGCACCAGCAACTCCACGATATCTGTGTGCCCACAGTCTACTGCTACACACACACACACAAACACACACACACCGTTTTAAGAGAACCTATAACACAGTTCCAAGTGTTTTGTCTGTGTCTGTGTGTCTTACCTGCGTAGAGAGGGCAGGACAGGTCATTGGTTGGCTGGTTGATGTCAGCGTGTGCTCTGAGGAGGAGCTTGACCACGGCTAGGTGTCTGCGCTGCGAGGCCAGGTACAACGCAGACTCACCCTCATGTGTCAGAGAGCCCACGTAGGCACGGCAACCACGGGAGGCTCCTGCTGCAGAGCCAATGGAAAGAGGAGCCAAGGAGGTTAGTGAAGGATGCACTTTTAGGTGCCCTGTTCAGATACGCTATATTCCAATTAATTAAAAACCATCCTCTACTCGTCTCCTCCCCTTCACTAATTGGAAAAGACTTGACAGGTGAAAACAATATGGTGGAAGCTCATCATTAGGTTGCAGTGGAGGCTGCTGAAGGGAGGACGGCTCATTATAATGGCTGAAATGGGGTCAATGGAATGGTACCAACCACATGTGTTTGATGCCATTGCATTGACTCCATTCCTGCCATTGTTATGAGCCGTCCTCCCCTCAGCAGCCTCCACTGTTAAGTTGGGTTTCACCTGGTCAATTCCTTCAGATCAGAGCAATGAAGGAGAGGAGGATGGATTTTTTTTGTCTCCAAAGAGACATAGAATGAGAGATGGTTCCCCCCTCTCAACTCAAACCTTACCGGCAGCCTTAAGTAGATGCCGCACACATACGATGGTGCCAGCGGCTGCAGCCTCGTGGAGGGCGTTCCAGCCACGGTTATCCCTACTGTCCACACTGCAGCCTCTCTGGATCAGTAAGCTCACACGCCTGACATTTCTATCACGTGCTGCCACGGCAAGACTGGACACTGTGTCGCTGTAACACTCAGTAAAGTCCATCCTCCTTACTTCTCACCTGAACGACTCTGACAAAAAAATAAGCGGATATATTAGGCCTATATGATGAGGAACGAGAGGCGACGGAGAGAGGGATAAAATGACTAATTGGACTGATCAGAAGAGATGTGGTGAGAGGGGGAAGCGGGAAAGGTCGGTCCTCTTACTATAGCCTGGTCCCAGATCGGTTTGTGCTCTTTCCAACCCCGTTGCTGTCATTGTCGAGACAAACAATGAGTTGGGATGATGGCACAAACGGATTGGCACGCAGCCACATTTCAATAGTCGAATTAATAGATGGACTTTCATGTATAGCTATCGTTACTTCTCTCTAGCTACTAGAAGTAGCCCAAATCCTCTAGTGGAGGTCCTGGCTAAGCTAACGGGTTAGCTAGCTAACATTAGCAGTAATTGTAAGACTGCATTTTTAGTCAACAGAAGTGTGGTTGGCTATCAAAATTATTCTTACGCTTGTACACTTTCTAATAGGCCATATTAATTCAATAAGAAAGCAGCTTTGATGCAGTTTAGCTACCTTTTCTCGTCTTTTCAGCTGTTCGCAAAATCGACAAAACACCCGCGTTGAACCACTTCCGTACACACTCGATGTATGTCCTACCATTGGACTAAAAGTGAAAACCCCGCCCATCAAGCGGGCCGATGATGGTGACGTTGACCCATGCGTTCACCAATCATGAGCAAATGATGGCGCGAACATAGCCATACTTTCAGAGATGCAAGGGTTGACAATCCATCAGATTAACATGAGTATCAGGCATACAAATATTGAATTCCAAATCTCTGATGTAGGGGTCACCACGACCACAAGCACCACATTGGATGAAAACTTTAGTTCGTAAAGAGAATCAGGGAGGTACTGGACATGGTGAGGTACAGACAATATCAATTAACTTGTTTCATCAAAATACGTTTATTGTGAAATCAGTATTTACAAGATTTGTCAGAACATCTGTGGAAAGCACATGTATTTTAATAAACATTACTATTCATGTGAAATCTTGATCGAAACCATTTATTACAGAGTGGTTCAGGGTTTACACTGAAACAGCTCCAGTCAACACTGGATGTCAGGCAAGTATGTAATCCTCCCATAGAAAGATGTACACATAGCACTCCTTTTATTTACCCAAAAGATTGGAAGATACCTAAGGCTTAAGCATGTATTGTTTTATGTTTTTCAGTACGGTAGAGGGTCTTAAAGTACACCAGCGAAGTTCTGTGTTACCCACAATTCCACTGTAGCAGAAGCAGCAGTGTGGTGGCCATCTTAGCTTCCCTATTTGACAACGCTCAGATACAAAATCGTGAGGGCAAAGTTAATTTAACCCCCTGAAAACAAAAGGAGGGGACAAAGCGCCGTTCTTTTTCTCATTTCCTGCCAGGACGTCCTCTTCCCCCCCTCATTCCTCCTCCACCTCCTCTGCCTCCACCTCTGCCGCCTCCACCTCCACCTCTGCCTCCTCCTTTGCCCTTGCCTCCTCCTTTGCCCTTGCCTCCTCCTTTCTTGCCCCCTCTCTCACGCTGCTCTTTCCTCTGCATGCCTCTCATGTCCTTCTTCATGCGGCCGTCCACCACTTTGAACTGGCCCTTGACACCGCCCGGACGACGCACCCTCTTGGTTCCAGAGCCCTTCTTGGCCACGACGTACGTGACCTCCCTCTTCTCCTTACCCACGCCCGCCTTCTTATAGATACTAAAACGGAGAGAGAAGGGACTTTACTTACTGAAGTCAAATGTTGTTGGTACATGTCACTGCCACAGGTGTAGTAGAGTAAAGTGGTAGTTCTTTAGCTAGTCACCGGTGTAGCAAAGTCATATTGTGTTGGTACAGGTCACTGCCACAGACGTAGCATTGTAAATGGTTATGGTACATGTAGTTGCAGTGGTTTTGGTGGTGTAAATGGCAGTCGTACCTCTTTAACTGGGCCATTTTCTCCCTTTCACCGATGTCCACTGTGTTGACCACTGCCTCCGCCTTCTTCTTGGCTGACTCCATCTTCTTCAGCATCTGTCACACCACACAGATAAACATAAGGTCACATACTGTATGCTGCATCCTCCACCATGACTATTCACCCTTTCTCCATCTGCTCCCACCTTTTTTACCCTACATCCTCCTCCTCTATCCTCAATATTCTTCCCCCCATCTTTCTCATTCCCCTGTCTCCCTTCCATTTCCCCCCCTCTTGTTCCACCATCCACCCCCCATTACATTATTCTCTCCTCCATCACCATCTCTCTCTCTTACCCTCCTCTTCTTCCTGGCCTTGGCCTCTGCCACTCGTTTAATGGGCCTGGCGTTGATCTCCTTCCATTTGGCCTTGTACTCCTCCACCATCTCCTTGGTGACGGGGATAGGCTTATTCCTGTGTTTCTTCTCGTCATCCACGAACCACTCGGGCACCTCACACTGGTCCTCTGAGCTAGCAAACCTGAACACATACATCGTCACACACAAATAATGCATGGATAAATAAGTAGTATTGTTCATTCATATGGTGTGCCTGCACGCATCATTAGTGAACACACACACACACACACACAGTAATCCGCTAATCTTGCCTGTGGAAGGAACCATCAACCAGGTCCCTCCCTCTCTTCTTGGAGGTGGCGATCTGACATCCCAGGGCTAAACCCTCTGCATTCATGATGCGAGCACGCTTGCCTGGGGGAACACACACCAGTTAAAGCTTTAGGACCGCTTAAATCTTGCCATTGGTCTAAACAGAGGTCAGTCACTCTAAGGCCCGCCCCTAGCCATGTTCTCTTTACTCACTGGTGCTCTCCACTGGCACCACCTGGAAGTCGTCGCCGTCAGCGTCTCCTTGGATACCGCCGGACCCTTTAGCCTTCTTCATCTGAGCGATACTCCTGTAGACCACACGTTTACACTTTTAGATCATCAGGGAAAGTGCATATTTTGGTCATAAGCCAAGTCATAATGTCTACCTACATTACCCCTGTTGGAATCTGTCAAATAGAAGACAGTGCCATCTAATATGAATCTAAAATCAAATCGAAGATAATTCCTCCAATCATTTTTCAATCTGTTCGCTATCAGAATCCTGAAAAATCATTGAAAGGATATTTTGTTAACAATGACAAATGTGACAAAGTCTATTCTTTAATAAGTCATGAACCCTGACCTCTCATCATCCTCGTCACTGCTGTCGTCATCAGAGCAGCTGTCGCTATCCCCCTCTGCCCCAGCTTCCTGTGAAGGCCCCGCCTCTTCCCCCTCAGGCTGGGCCGTCTCAGGCTCCTCTTGGGCTTTCCTCTTCTTCCCCTTGGCTGGAGGAGACAAAGGTTCATCCAACACTCTTTTCTCATTACGGACGAATCTCAATAGTCTAAAGTGGACTCGTCCCTTTTACATACAATGGGCTGAAAGCAATATGGTGGACACCTACTGGGAATTTACACCTATCAAACAGGAGGGGAGGAAGACATGTTTAGTCTTGAGATGCTGTACTCTTCTTGTACCTGTGGGGTCCTTGTTCTGTAGCATCTGTGTCTGCCGCAGCTCGCTCTCTGCATCTCCGTCCAGATCCAGTTCAGAGAAGATGTCCTGTGGGGGTCAGAGGTCACAGGCATGAGAAAACAAAGTGTATTATAAAGTACTCTGTGCACAAGGATGTCTGTGTTAGTGTGTGTGTTAGTGGGTGCATGCGTACAGCATGTTATGTGTCGGTGAGCATGTATCTGTGTTAGTGGGTGGGTGGGTACAGCGTGGTGAGCGTGTGTGTTAGCGTGTTGTGTGGGTGGGTGGGTGTGTACAGCGTGTTGTGTGGGTGGGTACAGCGTGTTGTGTGGGTGGGTACAGCGTGTTGTGTGTTGATGGGTGGGTACAGTGTGTTAGTGGATGGGTGGGTACAGTGTGTTAGTGGGTGGGTGGTTACGGCGTGTTGTGGGTGGGTACAGCGTGTTGTGTGTCTGTACTACAGACCTTGCTGAACCACATGCTGGTCTCACGGTCTCTCTTCTCCTCCTTTCCCTCCAGCTCCACTATCAGTCCACTCCCTTCCTCCTCCTCCTCCTCCTCCTCCTCCTCTTCCACACTGAAGGACACTCTGCAACACACACACCAAGCATTGAAAAAAACAGTAACATTGAAACAGCAGTTTTGCCAACATTCTTATGAAGTTATGAGCCAAAAGTGGATTGATTAGAAGTACTTCAATGTAAAAGCATACGAAGTTAGAAGTGACTGCTCTGAGTGTCAAAAGCAGTGAGACAGAGATGCAGAGAGAGAGACTGAGTGAAATACTTACTTTTTCTTGGTGGCCTTGTCCTTGGCCATCTCCTTCTGTTTCTCTATGATCTCATCCAAGTCGTCATCGTCCAGGTCAGAGACCAGGGAGACCTCGTCACTGTCAGCGTCGTCAGAGAAGTACAGGTCCTCCTCCCCCTCCACCATGGCATCAGCCAACTTCATGTCCCCCTTGGTGATCTCACACAGGGCCTAGGAGAGGGACAGGGAATGAGGGGAGGAAGGAATGTTATATAGCACTCAAACTTTTCAGAATCAAGAGATATTACCAGAAAGATGAGAAACAATATTACCATTTTATTAGTCAAAAACAAAAACAACCTTTCTAAAATCTATTTAAAACAATGTCCATTCTGTCCATGGTCAATTGGTGTGTGTGTGTGTGCATGCATATCCGTCTGTTACCTTGGCCTTGTTAATGGTTGCGAGGGAGAACATGGAGGAGTCATTGCCGTCTGCGATGGAGACTCCCGGCAGGTCCATCTTCAGTGCCACCCTCTCCCTCTGCTTCCTCCTCTCCTTTAGAAGCTTCTTCTTCTTCCTGGTTGGCACAACACACCAGCACGCACGTCAGCACAACACCTCACATTGGACAATACAGCACTGGTCACACAATACACCAACAAACATGTCAACAGGAAATATATAGCATATCGGTCATATCATAACTCCCCCTTAACAATGAGGAAGCAGTTGCCATCAGGCCGCAGACTCAGATCTCTACCTCTCAAGACCAAGAGACCAGTTTTGGGCTGGCATCAGTAAGGCTTTTTAATGAACATTGATTCTTGGGACTTGTGTACTGTATCTGTAATGTGTGAATTGTGCACAGTGCTATTATGTATGTTTTGTACTGTCTAGTCCGAATGCCACACCCCAAGTTCCCCTTGGGAAAAGTGAAATTCTATATTGATCCATCAAATACCATTGTTGGTATATGCATTAGAGAGCAGGTAGGTGAGCAGTGAGTATAGACACCGTCTCAGCTCTGCCACCTCCTCTGTATAAAGACTTACCGTCTCAGCTCTGCCACCTCCTCAGTATAAAGACTTACCGTCTCAGCTCTGCCACCTCCTCAGTATAAAGACTTACCGTCTCAGCTCTGCCACCTCCTCAGTATAAAGACTTACCGTCTCAGCTCTGCCACCTCCTCAGTATAAAGACTTACCGTCTCAGCTCTGCCACCTCCTCAGTATAAAGACTTACCGTCTCAGCTCTGCCACCTCCTCAGTATAAAGACTTACCGTCTCAGCTCTGCCACCTCCTCAGTATAAAGACTTACCGTCTCAGCTCTGCCACCTCCTCTGTATAAAGACTTACCGTCTCAGCTCTGCCACCTCCTCAGTATAAAGACTTACCGTCTCAGCTCTGCCACCTCCTCAGTATAAAGACTTACCGTCTCAGCTCTGCCACCTCCTCAGTATAAAGACTTAACGTCTCAGCTCTGCCACCTCCTCAGTATAAAGACTTACCGTCTCAGCTCTGCCACCTCCTCTGTATAAAGACTTACCGTCTCAGCTCTGCCACCTCCTCAGTATAAAGACTTACCGTCTCAGCTCTGCCACCTCCTCAGTATAAAGACTTACCGTCTCAGCTCTGCCACCTCCTCTGTATAAAGACTTACCGTCTCAGCTCTGCCACCTCCTCAGTATAAAGACTTACCGTCTCAGCTCTGCCACCTCCTCGGCTTTCAGCTCGGCCAGCTTCTGGTCCATCTCTACCTCCTCCAACTCGGCCTCTTCTTCCTTCTTTTCAGCCACCGTCATTTTCTTCTCCTCCTTCTTCTCCTTCTTCTCCTCCTTCTTCTCCTCTGCGTCGCTCGCCTCCTCACCTGAACTCAGTCTGCAGACAACCACAACAATAAAGACCAATGTTGTTGATGCCTACTGCTCTTTATAATGGGATGTGCAACTTCAAATAATATTCATTTAGAACCTGACAAATATCTCATACCCTTGTAAAAGAGATTATCTTGTCTACCAAAATCAGCCCCAACCCCTAGATAGGCAAATCATGATACACTCATATCTGTTAAGACTGGATGGGTGTAAAACAAAATGGAGGGAACAAACAGAAGACTAGGTGGAGCTATTTCCATACTGTACCTACCTGTATCTGTTCTACCAGGAGCCTCTGGGAGTCTAGGGGGTTGAATCTGGACTGGGAGTCTAGGGGGTTGAATCTGGACTGGGAGTCTAGGGGGTTGAATCTGGACTGGGAGTCTAGGGGGTTGAATCTGGACTGGGAGTCTAGGGGGTTGAATCTGGACTGGGAGTCTAGGGGGTTGAATCTGGACTGGGAGTCTAGGGGGTGAATCTGGACTGGGAGTCTAGGGGGTGGAATCTGGGAGTCTAGGGGGTGGAATCTGGACTGGGAGTCTAGGGGGTGGAATCTGGACTGGGAGTCTAGGGGGTGGAATCTGGACTGGGAGTCTAGGGGGTGGAATCTGGACTGGGAGTCTAGGGGGTGGAATCTGGACTGGGAGTCTAGGGGGTTGAATCTGGACTGGGAGTCTAGGGGGTGGAATCTGGACTGGGAGTCTAGGGGGTGGAATCTGGACTGGGAGTCTAGGGGGTTGGAATCTGGACTGGGAGTCTAGGGGGTGGAATCTGGACTGGGAGTCTAGGGGGTGGAATCTGGACTGGGAGTCTATGGGGTGGAATCTGGACTGGGAGTCTAGGGGGTTGGAATCTGGACTGGGAGTCTAGGGGGTTGGAATCTGGACTGGGAGTCTAGGGGGTGGAATCTGGACTGGGAGTCTAGGGGGTGGAATCTGGACTGGGAGTCTAGGGGGTTGAATCTGGACTGGGAGTCTAGGGGGTTGAATCTGGACTGGGAGTCTAGGGGGTGGAATCTGGACTGGGAGTCTAGGGGGTGGAATCTGGACTGGGAGTCTAGGGGGTGAATCTGTACTGGGAGTCTAGGGGGTGGAATCTGGACTGGGAGTCTAGGGGGTGGAATCTGGACTGGGAGTCTAGGGGGTGGAATCTGGACTGGGAGTCTAGGGGGTTGAATCTGGACTGGGAGTCTAGGGGGTTGAATCTGGACTGGGAGTCTAGGGGTTGAATCTGGACTGGGAGTCTAGGGGGTTGAATCTGGACTGGGAGTCTAGGGGGTTGAATCTGGACTGGGAGTCTAGGGGGTTGAATCTGGACTGGGAGTCTAGGGGGTTGAATCTGGACTGGGAGTCTAGGGGGTTGAATCTGGACTGGGAGTCTAGGGGGTTGGAATCTGGACTGGGAGTCTAGGGGGTTGAATCTGGACTGGGAGTCTAGGGGGTTGAATCTGGACTGGGAGTCTAGGGGGTGGAATCTGGACTGGGAGTCTAGGGGGTGGAATCTGGACTGGGAGTCTAGGGGGTGGAATCTGGACTGGGAGTCTAGGGGGTGGAATCTGGACTGGGAGTCTAGGGGGTTGGAATCTGGACTGGGAGTCTAGGGGTTGAATCTGGACTGGGAGTCTAGGGGTTGAATCTGGACTGGGAGTCTAGGGGTTGAATCTGGACTGGGAGTCTAGGGGTTGAATCTGGACTGGGAGTCTAGGGGTTGAATCTGGACTGGGAGTCTAGGGGTTGAATCTGGACTGGGAGTCTAGGGGTTGAATCTGGACTGGGAGTCTAGGGGGTTGGAATCTGGACTGGGAGTCTAGGGGGTTGGAATCTGGACTGGGAGTCTAGGGGGTTGGAATCTGGCCTGGGAGTCTAGGGGGTTGAATCTGGACTGGGAATCTTGGGGGTTGAATCTGGACTGGGAGTCTAGGGGGTGGAATCTGGACTGGGAGTCTAGGGGGTGGAATCTGGACTGGGAGTCTAGGGGGTGGAATCTGGACTGGGAGTCTAGGGGGTTGAATCTGGACTGGGAGTCTATGGGGTTGAATCTGGACTGGGAGTCTAGGGGTTGAATCTGGACTGGGAGTCTAGGGGGTTGAATCTGGACTGGGAATCTTGGGGGTTGAATCTGGACTGGGAGTCTATCTCAGAACTTGCTGTAATTATGAAGATGAAGGAATGTTCAAAGGGATTCTTACTTGATGTCCTCATCCAGCTGTTTGGCTTCGTCCTTTAGCTTCTTAGCCAGGTATCTCCTCAGCTTGGACCTCCAGTTTAGCAGCAGACTGGGGACACACACATTCAGAGGGCAAAGGTCATATGAGAGCCCAAGAGGAGGGGGCCCGGTGACAAGACTCGAGTTGCAGTACATATTTGGGTCTATAAAAAACGCTTTATAAAGTCAGTGTATTGTTATCATTATAGTACAACAATCTCATTGGCTTACCGGAGCTCCTTGCGGCCCAGAACCTTGATGTCACCGCAACACTCTTTGACCTCGTCGGAGGTGGCCTCGTGAGACTCCAACTCAGGGTTGTCAAAATTGATCTGGAGGGACACCCCAATAAATACAATATTTAAGTCTGCTCAGAGACAAAAATGCTATTGTAGCTAAATGTTGTTTAGCTGGCTAGCAAGTTAACTTACTACTAACTTGCCATCAATGCTGACTGCCATTGTAAAGTTCTGTATGATGTGTCTCACCTCATTGGCTTTGCTCAGGAAATCCACAGGGTTGTCAGCCTTGAGGAAGGCGGTCGCTGAGAAGGTGTGGTACAGGGTCAGATCACCGTCTGTGTATCCCTCCGCCTGAAACACAGCATGAATGAATGAAGCCACTGAATTATAGTCTGTTCATTCAGAAGACTTCATGTGAAGAATTACACACAGGCGCACACACACCTTTGGTTTCTTCACAGGCACCAGGTCTTTAATAGCCTTGGCTTGGACCTCCACCTCTTTGAAAGCATGTTTGGGGTCGAAGAACTTGTTGTCAATTTTGTCTGGGGCCAGGTAGCCTGAAATGGAATGAAGTCCCATCCTCAGTTACTCAACAGGACCAACATTTACCACAATAAACCCAAAGTATATATTTCTCAATTGACACTAGATAACTGGTGCTAAGGAGCAGGGTTGGAGTCAATTCCATGTCAATTCAGGAAGTGAATAGTAATTCCAATTAGAAGGGAAAAATCCTCAATGAAAATCAATGGCACTTTTCACTTTTCCAAATCTGCTAGAGAGAGTCCGGGTGAACCAACCCACCCTGGCAGATGACGAAGATCTCAGCCGACTCATTTCTGGAGGCCTGGGGCTTGGTGGCCTGCACCTTCTTGAAGAACTGCTGGAAGATCCACATCAGTGGCTGGTAGTCTTTGGAGCGGAACACCTTGGTGACAAACGTGCCCCCTTTGGCCAGAAAGTCGCACGCCAGCTTCAGGGCCATCAGGGTCAGATGAGCTGGTAGGGAGAGGAGGGTTCCAAGTAAGACAAAGTGACAAACAGCTGGGGGGTTTTTCTTCTTTGATTGTGTTCTGCGCCTCGACACTTATTTACTAAATGCGAATGTCATTCATGTACTGTTAATCTAATACACATTTCTACTGTACATATGTTATGAGAGTGCTGATGGGACGGACAAACTTGGTTTCATGTGTTAAGCTTATTTTCTCTGAGTTTGCATATAAAAAGGTGTTATCAGTGCGTTACCTACCCTGAGAGAAGGCGTCATGCACCCAGTTGGCTCCAACATTTGGAGCTCCATCATTTAGCACCACGTCCACCTTCCAGGTCTGGAGCTCCTTCTTCAGAGCCTGGCCAAAACAACAGTTACATCACACTGTCCTCTTTGGACTAAAGTTGTCACAATTTGGTGATGCAAAAATGAAGTTACCAATGCATATAACAGTGTATCAGAGAATACTGTCCTAGAACATTCAATAGGAGTTATGTCAACACTCTACTGCGATGAACCTACATTAAAACACCATCCTGTTGTGGTTTAAATAACAGATTCACTAATTTGACCTATGACCTTAGTGTATGTACATACCTGTCGGCATTTGTCTGTGGTGATGTCCTCTGTCAGAGCGACCACGTTGGGAATAGATTTGATTGGGACCAAGTCGACACCTTAGGAGATAGGAACGTGATGACACCATCAAATAACGATAACGGCACGTTTAAGATGTTGGCTCAGTATTACGTAAAACAGCAGTTGGTATATATTAGACATGGCTGAGACGAGGTTTGACTCACCAATAATAAGACTGGAGACTGGCATAAACTTGGACGCCACCTGTAACCTAAGGTATGACAGAGAGAAATAATGTAAAACAAAAAGTAAAATAATTCAGACCCAGCTATTCAAAACAAGAGACGACAATACTTCATAGGCCTACTACAGGACAGGTTAATGTTTAACATATCAAATAGCTAGCTGAGAGTATATTGAGGGTCCCCTGTAGCTCAGTTGGTAGAGCATGGTGCTTGCAATGCCAGGGTTGTGGGTTTGCTTCCCACGGGGGGCCAGTATGAAAATGTATGCACTCACTAACTGTAAGTCGCTCTGGATAAGAGCGTCTGCTAAATGACTAAAAATGTAAAAAAATTGAGATAATGTGACAAGTGATGCAGCTAGCTACTGTACTCACCAACCACCTGGGGCAGCACATAAATCCACCAGAGCCCTGGCTTTCTGCAAGAACTGGAATTTTCGGTTCAGCTGAATAAGCTTGAAGGAAGAACGTGAACGATATCCTGAGGGAGAGGAGAGGAGAGTATTACACACACATAACCAGACAATGTCGTTTCTACATAGCCAGCTGTTTTAATGCAACACGATCCAGCTGGCTTCAACTATCATTATCACTATCATAACCCTGAGAAGCCAGTTAGCTACAGTATCTATCTAGATAGCTATATTCTTGAATCTTGATGGCTATATGATCAATGGTAGCCAATCCCTGATGAGCAACATTAGCTAGGTAGCTAACGTTACATTATCTGTTTAAACTCAAAAGCACACAGTACAACTAGCTTACTGTTTAGTTACTGTATCAATTAAGTTGACTTGATTTAGTTAGGCCATTTAAATGGGGCTAATAGCACGATGAGTTCTCTGGCTGAGTTGACCAATCTTACCCGTTTCCTTTGCTAAGTGGTAGAATTTATCTTTTCTGGTCTTTCCAACTTTGAGTTTCTTCCCCATGTTTGCTGGTTTTGTTGATCACTTATGATTTAAATTGTGCGTTTCCTTTAGAATATTACGATTTACAAATTACCGAAGCAGATTACCAACCACCTCCATGAAAACATAACACGTGTGGCTTCTCTGCGCATGATATCTACGTCACATATACGTTTGAAGCCTGGAAACTTTATTGAACCAAGGAACAGAACAGACCATGGAACAGACAGATACATTCACTGCAACTATAAAATAATGTGAGAGATGTACTGATTGGATTCTTTACCTACGATATAAATAAATTAAAACAATTTTATATAATTAATTTCATTATTCTTTTGGCCAAATTTCATATTCTCAAATGTAAATTTACAAACAAAACACCACATTTTCTTACCTTACAAAAATAAATTGAAGTATATTTTTAAACAATTAAATATTCTACCAACAAAAAAGCTGTTAGAATTATAAGTGTGTGTATGTCTTTTAAGGTCTTTATGTAATGTGATTTTGTACCCCCTAGCCCAATTGTCCTCTGTATATTCTTTATACATACTTGTGTTCCCCTGTGTACTTTTTGTATTGATTTGTTGTCCCACTGGCTATCCTAAATTGAATGCACCAATTTGTAAGTCGCTCTGGATAAGAGCGTCTGCTAATTGACTTAAATGTAAATGTAAATGTAATAAAAATAAAAAATAAATATATAATGTAGGCACAGTTTCTAAACCCAAAGGCTCAACATAGACTTCCGGGAACGCTTGCAAAACATCAGACAGACCAGGCAGGGGTTTGGGGTTTGAGAATTTAAAATTATTCCGTAGTTGTTAATTTTCTCGAAATCTAAAGGCATAACCTAGATTCGAGCCAATGTCTTAAGTAGTTGAACATGTTATTACTCCAACCTCGTGAAAGTGACAAACTAACAGGTTTTCATTTTCGTCAAAAACAACTTTATATCGAAGGAGTGCCTTTGAGTTGACGGCCAGCACTTGCGCAGTTCGGCGCGAGACGACGGTGACCCAAGGACGTGTCCCAGTGGTTTTTATATATATTCTAGATCATTCATTGGGGGCGCTGTTTTTAGCCACCTTGCCTTACATTTTGGCGCTCCCTCAACGGTGTAAAACATATTTTGGAAGCTATAGAAAATAATTTATTAATGTCTACATTCGTTTTTGCCACATTTATTATATTACAGACACCTTCATGTATACTTTTACATTATATTATGTGAGCTAAGCATACAAATAAATGAGCTAAGCATACAAATAAAACATATATTTAAACATTTTCCTTAAAGTATAATTTTTAGAGATGACTAATGTTACTGTCCCCACTACAACAACAAAATACTTAAATACATGTAATTTTGTCTTTGAAACGTTTCATTGAAATACTGTAGAATTCCTTTCATTCCTATGGTGGACTGCCAATATTTTTATTTTAGTCATTTAGCAGACGCTCTTATCCAGAGCGACTTACAGTTAGTGAGTGCATACATAATTTTTTATATTTTCATGTTTTCTTCCCTTTTTTTTTATTTTTACTTTTTGTCTTTATATGTTTTTTTTTGTTTTTGTTTTTTTCATACTGGCCCCCCGTGGGAAACGAACCCACAACCCTGGCGTTGCAAACGCCATGCTCTACCAACTGAGCTACATCCCTGCCGGCCATTCCCTCCCTTACCCTGGATGACGCTGGGCCAATTGTGCACCGCCCCATGGGTCTCCCGGTCGCGGCCGGCTACGACAGAGCCTGGACAGAGCCCAATACTGCTGACCGGTGGCTTCAAAACCTCTCAATGGTCAATACATAGCATCAGCAATCCAGGGTTTATATACAGTACCTCATTGGTTTCTATGCATGAGCTTAGCTTGCCAACGTCGCCATTACATCGCCTACAAGTGTGATCAGGGATTTCTATTGGAAAAGCAGTCTTAGCCTATCTTCATTCTGTACTGTCTTTGATGTAGGACTTTATGTTTTATGTAAAGTGTGTCAACATACATAACAGTTGATTTAAAAAAATCACAATTCATTATTTTTTATTATGATTCAATTAGTTCTGTCAGTTTTCTTTTTGTGTTAGAATTTTAGATGCTATTCAAAACTATGTATGTGCTTAACAAAATGGTGTTATATAAAGAAAATAAAAGAAGGGGTTATTATTGTAATAATAAAGACTAAATACTCCAATAATGTTTCTGTTTTCTTTATTAATGATTCCTTTGTTACATTTGATAATTTTTGATAATTTTCACCCAACCAATCCTTTCAACATCTCAAAATGTGTATCTCCAGCAAGATCGCATATATTTTAATGTAGGCAACATCTCTACTGTATACAGTACTTGGTCTTCTTGGCCTTCAATACAAAGGATGATAAAATAGGTAAATGCATCATTTTTAATGACAGTGGGTAAAGATGAGGTATCCTCTTAACCAAAAGACTGAGAGGAAGTTTGTATCCCAGACCAGTAGCACAGGACAATGCTGCTATTGTTGAGGGGCCTCAGAAGGGTCGGTTTCTGGAGCGTGTGTTGATCAGTCCGAGCACAGAGAAGGCACTTGCTGCAGCTGTCACCAAACTGATGGCCCCAATGGCCCGTGTGGCCTGTGGACACAAGAGAAAATAACAATTGTACCTGGTAAATACAATAACATCATGAAATTATAAGTGTATGGTGGTGGAGAGGAAGATTACATATTGACCTATACATTTACCAGACACTCTTATCCAGAGTGACTTACAGGAGCAATTAGAGTAAATTGCCTTGCTCAAGGGCACATCAACAGATTTTTCACCTAGTCGGCTCAGGGATTAGAACCAGCGACCTTTCGGTTACTAGCACAACGCTCTTAACCACTAAGCTACCTGCCGCCCAGGGGTATAGTGATTGTAAGTAGTGAGTAATGGCCAATGTCCAAATTGTCACCTAGGCACGTAGATCTCAGAGGATTACATAAGTATACAGAAATATGGCGGAAACTCCACCTGCCCTGTAAAAAAGGTATAATATGCTTTTATCATATGAGTATTGTACACAAAAACGTATGGGTAGTGGCTAGGTATCGATTTGGGATTGGGCATCGGCGAAGAGCGAGAGAGAGAGAGACAGAATGCAACGCATACACAGGAAGAAAGAGACAGGAAGTGTGAGAGAAAGAGAGAGAATGCAGCGCATACACAGGAAGAAAGAGACAGGAAGTGCGAGAAAGAGAGAAAAAATGAGTAAAATACCTGCTCAGACACCCCCTCTCCGTAGCGCAGCAAGGTGACAAAGTGCTCGCAGTTACTGCCCAACAGGTCATAAGACACCTCCTGGCCAATGAGGACTTGAGATTGCTGAATTATGTCTTCGACGGGCAATGGAGTGTGGTCGTCGTCGTATTTGTTGTTGACCCGGTACGAGTCGTCTCCAACCACTTCCTTTAGAAGCTGCATTCGGACCACCGCCTTCCGACTGAACACAGACTTCACACTGGAGATGGCTGCAGCCTGACTCTCATCTACAGGAGGGAGACAATATTCAGGGGGCGTGAAGCACTAGCATTATTATGTTGCAGTTATTAGTGGTTGAAATTCAATCAAACTTGTATGGATAAATGTGGATTTGATTGAATCACACCCTTTGAAAATGCTGAATACATTCACAAAGGCTATAATCTTGACGTAAGATAAGTGTGATTTAATTCAAATGTTTTAAGCAGATTGTGCATTGGAAGCGTTTACATTCTGCAGCATCAAGTACGACACACACAACACCCATTCGAAACACATACGAAACACATACGAAACACATACAACATATGTGCATGTGACAAACTTTTAAACTTGAGATTTGAAACACACATACGACATATTCTAACTCAAGTTAGGATTTAGTCTCATGTCAACACTGCTTTCACTGACCAACAGGTGTCAAGTTGATGATGTAACCGTCTCCCAGGTACAGAGCCCAGTGCTGATAGGCCGGTCTGAAGATCTCAATGAGGTCACCAGGCTGGGGGGTTACCGGGGGGGTCAAGATGGTCAGGGTCATTAGAGGCCATCTATAGGGGGAGGAAGTGATGTCAGAAGATTTACACACATGATCAACAATGTGAATATTGCCTGCATTTACAATCAATATACTATTATTTAGTATCTAAACCAGTTCAAATAGTTCACAAACCACAAACTCACTCCACATGTGAAAGGGTCTAAATGTATGCACTCCTGTAAGTCGCTCTGGATAAGAGCGTCTGCTAAATGACTAAAATGTAAAAAAAAAATTACAGCTAATTTAACCATCAAACTCTCTCCTATCACTATGGGGTCAATGAAGTTCAATGACGAGAGCAAACCTTTCCTCACTGAAGACAATATTCTTGTACTCTGAGGCTACAAAGACTGACATGTACCCTGACAATGTGCATAAAACACAGCAGTGTCTGTCACTACTGCTACTGGTTAAAATGATAAATCAATCAAAATTGTATTCAGTGAGTGCACATTTATCAATTTATCTCTGCACCCGAAAATACTTTTCTTATGTATAGACTTTGTGTAGAGAATGGCAGTTGCACACTCTCCTGTCAATTAATTTCAAACGAAATCAGTCGTCAAGGGAATTAGTTGGAAATTTAAAAATAAAAGAATTGGAATTGAAGAAAATGAAAGAAAATCCTAATGCTAAATCAGGTAAGGCGGCAGGTAGCTTAGTGGTTAAGAGCGTAGTGCCAGTAACCGAAGGGTTGTTGGTTCTAATCCCTGAGCCGACTAGGTGTTCCTGTAAGTCGCTCTGGATAAGAGTGTCTGCTAAATGACTAAAATGTAAATTTGTCCATCCATATATGGTCAACCCGCCCCAACAACGCTTTACCTAGAAGGTCGACGGGGTCATAGAGTAGACAAATATGTTGTATAGGCTCACATGATAATCAAATATATTCTATAGGCCTACATATTAATCAAATATATTGTATAGGCCTACATATTAATCAAATATATTGTATAGGCCTATGCCTACATATTAATCAAATATATTGTATAGGCCTACATATTAATCAAATATATTGTATAGGCCTACATATTAATCAAATATATTGTATAGGCCTACATATTAATCAAATATATTGTATAGGCTCACATGATAATCAAATATATTCTATAGGCCTACATATTAATCAAATATATTGTATAGGCCTACATATTAATCAAATATATTGTATAGGCCTACATATTAATAACGCATCACAATAACAAATATAGTTGTGAGGTGAAAATAAGAAACTTTCACACACAAAACGATACTCACAGTAGAGGTTGCGTTTTTTCTATCCATCCCACATCATGCTTCCACAAATTCTGAAAACAGAAACATTAATGAAACCACGTCACCCCTCCCTCCCTCCCCCCTCTGTTTGAGATACCCTGTAGTTCTCTTTGTGCTATTGACTGCATGCACGCAGTGCACTATAACTCCGTTATACCCGAATGGCATTTCAATAGCAACCATTCTCTGAAGAATATGTTCAATCAATAAAAAGGAAAAGTGAGATAGACTATTTAATTGGATTTTGATGTTTTTGTGGTAATATTCTACTCTCAGGGTAGGTAAACTAATTTCACAGAGAGAGTGCTGGAGAACAGGGTACAATGTAGAGAGCAAAGGTCACACACAGACACACAGACAATACACACAAGCGGTTGTGCCACACACAGTCACAATAGCACTTACATAATAGAGAAACTGTTAGAAAAATAGTTTGTCACCACTGAAAATAATCTGACTTTGACATTGGAAAAAACCTATCTAAAGTGTCAAAGTCACAGTTCAATAACATAATTGTGAGTCCATTGGGAAAACTAAAGACAATAAAGTCCAATACAAAACATGTAAAGGGGAGATAAAAAAAAATGCCATACATGTTTTCTTTCTAAATTATCAAACACATCAATATTTTAGTGCTTCAAATGTAACTACTTGACATAGTTTAATAGAGGCTCTATATGCCAATAGTTTAAGTATGTGCTACGTTACTATAACTAAACTACTATTCAACTGAATACAAAGACTTGAGGCAATACTTACTCAAATACCAATACCTTTTTCTTCCTCTCCATGTTAGTGTTCCATGATTTATATCCGCACCTTTTAAAAGTCAAATGAGAAAAATAATTGTATCCAAGTCCTTGAGATGGTCGGTTGTCTGAGAGAAAATCCAATTTATTCGGATTATAGTCCCTCTGATTGCTTGGCGAAAATTAAAGTGGTGCTTGAGGTCCTACAGGTAGGTAGTGTTTCATGTATCGACTTTGACAGATGATGACAGTCGCCAGGTTACGAGCATCCATAGGCCACTGATGCTAGAAGGCGATAACTTCCGTAGCAGCACTGACAGCGTTGATTCAGGTCCATACTATCTGGGATCCCTGGGACGTCCATACCCTTACTCTAACCCGAACCAAACCCTAACTCTTCCCTAACCATAACAAGTACCTTAACCGTTTTAAATGTCAACTTCAATGGGGTAGGGACGTCCCAAGGATTCTGATTGCACGGACCGTTCATTCATGTATCAATTTGTAAAATAAAGAATGCCTTGATATTATGTAGTATTGATGACTGACTATTCATCCCTGCAGCACATCATCACTGGCATGGAAGTTATTCACATAATTCACGTTTGTGGCTTGATGATTAAAAGGTAGATAATTTTCGTGAACTTGAATATTTTTTTCTGTTATGAATTATAATTTCTGCTTTGAATAGGCTATAATGCAATTCCAATTGAAAAAAATTCTTGAGTTATACATTAATTATTCAACAGAGGGCAGCATAGCCTACCTGCCTGTGTTTGTTTTCTTTAGACTATGTAGTCAGTGATATTTAATCGGACAAAACTTGATATAGGCTACTAAATTAAACATGAAATGTTACCCATGGACATAAAGACAATTAGTTTAACTATGGCTACACGTTATCTCACTTTTAAACATAGCCTATGGAAGTATTATTCTCAGCATACTGCAGTCATGTTCAACATTAAGGGGAAAATATTCATATTGATACATTCCAGCCTTTTGTAGTCTTGGCTATTGATCAGTTTAATATTATTGTTGTTGCACCATGCATACAAAGCATAGCGTTTTCTTGTTTTCCAAGATTCCAACTTTGCTGTTTGAAGTTGAAAATAAAAAAGAAGTGTGGTGCTTTCAGTTTCCTTTTTATTGCTGGTTCATTGAAGCACAATTTCCTTGAAACAGCTCTGCTTCCTCAGGCTTTTATTTGAAAAAACCAGACCTCTTTATGAATAGTCTCAACCTATGTGGTAATTTACCATTCTCTATGTGCAAACTAGCTATTGGACAAGAATCATCATGACATAGCTAATTAACTATTCATAATCCAGTGAACCACATCTTAAAGTCAAATCTAATTGTATTTGTCACATGTGCCGAATACAACAGGTGTAGTAGACCTTACAGTGAAATGCTTACTCACAAGCCCTTAACCAACAATGCAGTTTTAAGAAAGAATACCAAAGACAAATCACAAAAAAATCCAATATAAAATAATACCAAATAAAAGTAACAAATAACCAGATCCTGTTAACCAACCCAGACAAGGTGCAGATTTTTCTTCTGCTCCTCTACTTTTCTATTTTTTAATTTTTTTTATTTCACCTTTATTTAACCAGGTAAGCCAGTTGAGAACAAGTTCTCATTTACAACTACTTTTCTATTTAATAAAATGTGCCTAACTAAAACAAATATATTCTGGCAGATTGAGTCAGATACAGCAAGTAACATTACTATCCACAGTAGTACATTGTCTCTCTACCAATTAGCCTACTATCTGCAGCTGTTTGGTAATGACGTTGACATACATATCTTGCAGTGACATATGTTCAACTTTGGCCCTGAGTTGAAGCAGAGACCATCATCTTAAATAAGACAAACTCTGACGCTTGGTTTTTAATGCACTCTGTCAAAACAATTCATTAGTGGCCACAGAAATGTCATAATACTTGTTGGGGCCCTTTGCCAAAAGTGAAACTGGGGACACCAAGGAGTTGGCTGCATTCTTTGGCCATTGATTGGATGTCTCATGGTCACATGTCAACTCGTTGATTATATAGTCCCACCCCTTTGCTCTGACTGTTTGGAGCTGCTGGGACTGAATGACAGATGAAAGGTTAGCGAGCTACCTGTAGAAATAACTTTACCAAATATCGACAATAAGGTTTACTCCTGTCTGTGGTATGAAAAGGTGACTTTGGCCATCTCGCCTGAAGTTGTGGTAAGGGGAATTCAATTGAATACCATGAAGATAGCTAGCTAACGTTAGCTAACACTAAATAATGACACGCGTTAAAAACAGCTGAATTTCAATAATGCGAAATAACACGAACTTGTTAGTTAGCGATGTGATATATACAAATAGCATCGTTTGTAATGTAAAGAATGTTTACACCAATGTTGGGTGGGTAGTTGGTTTCCACTAATGACTTGTTAGCTAGCTGGGTGCAAGTAGCTAACGTTAGCTACCCAGCCACATTCTTTTAGCCAAGATGTTTGTTGACATGTCATTCAATATCTGTCACTTGTCAGTGTACGGTTGCTCGAGCTTTAGCTAGTTGCTAATGTTTGTTGACTGATGGAATGTTTTTTTTTGCCAACCACAGTTTTTGTTTGCTAACCAGATCCTGTTAACCAACCCAGACATGTAGCTAGTTGTCATACATTAGTCTTACAATGGCTTTCATAACAACACTTGCTGCAGGTATTTGTGGGAAGCAAGCTAGGTTTCTCCACTACATGTAATGAAAACTAACAGCTGTATTTGGCATTGACTCATGAAGGCTGATATTTAATTATTAGTTATTTTTAAGTTGGGGTGTGAATGTCTTATCTAGCTGTGTGCACATTGGGAAAGTAATGATCACATTTTATTTGTCACGTGCTGAATACAACAGGTGTAGACCTTACAGTGAAATGCTTACTTATGATAAGTATCTAACGTTAGCATGGTCCAGGCTCATGCATCAGGGCTAGTCTGTCAAAGAACAGACTTGTCAGTATTTGGGGATAAGGAGAACTTGCAGTGTATGAGGTGCCATTCGATAGTGTGCAAATTATGACAAACATTCCACCTTTTGTAATTTGCATACTTTCTCTCCAAGATCAGAAAGCTGAAGCATGGATTCGCCTCAGGGGGACTTCTCTCCACTCAAACGCTTTGTAGTAGCCAAGAAGAAGATCAGTGACGTGTTTGATCAACTGCTGGAGTATGTGAAGGAAGGCTTGGTGTTTGTAGAAGGTGAATGTGCTGTATAGTAAATCAGATGCGTTGGACACATTTTGAATGTCAAAGTAATCAAATGCAGAAAGGGTTTGCTTTTTGTTATGTTGTGAGTGAGTCACGGTGTTCTCTTCTCACTTTTCCCTTTGCTGTGTGATTGTCAGAAACGTGTCGAAATGACGCCTTGGAGAACATTGCAAGTCGGGAGCAACAGGAGCAGATTCGGGCGTATGCCGGGAAACTGCAAACTATAAAAGATGTGCTGGCACGCAGACACATGAAGGTGGCCTTCTTTGGCAGGTAAATGTGTGTAGTCTGATGCATTTAGTTTTCTCCACTGTTTTGCATGTTTTTTTGTTTATTGTACACAGCTTCGAGGCTAGACTCGATGTGTGCAGACACATTTGAGCAAAGCTCAATGCATCGTGACATTGAGTTTGGTTTGATCAGTTAAGATTATTCTTGTTACACCATTCGTACAAAGCACTGTATTGTACTCTAGGAGATGCTTGTGTCCCAAGCTTTCAGCATTGCTACGTGAGGATGATGAGGAAAAGGTGCTGTGCAGCTTTCACTTATCTTTCTATTGCCGGTTCATTGAAGCGCACTTTCTTTGAAACCGCTCCGCTCCATTAGGCTTTTATCATACAAAACCAGACCTCTTTATGAATAGTCTCAACCTATGTGGTAATTTACCATTCTGTATGTGCAAACTAGCTATTGGACAAGATTCATAATGACAAATTGCCTATCCATAAGCCCGTAAACCATAACAGGTCAACATTCCTGTAGTAATGTCCCCATGAGATGTATGATGAAAATGAGGAGTCTCTATAGACCTCTTACATTGTGTCCTTTGCGTAGGACGAGTAACGGTAAGAGTACAGTGGTGAATGCCATGCTGAGGGACCGGGTGCTGCCCAGTGGCATGGGTCACACCACCAACTGCTTCCTGAGTGTGGAGGGCACGGACGCAGACCATGCCTACCTCAAGACAGAGGGCTCAGAGGAGGAGAAGAGCATCAAAGTAAGTGCACTGGCGAGGACGTGGATATACTGGCTTAGGCCTAAATGCATGGAAGATTAGGCTAGCTCTTTTTACCACTCGTACAGTGGGCTTTACCCACCTCAGTGAGGTTGGAAATGTGCTACCTGATTGAGTTACTTAGAGATTAATTATTTTTACCACTCGTACATAGTACCCTCAGTCACGTTTTTCCTTTCTGACCCTAAGCAATTCATTATTAAACAACTTTTGTCTAGATAAGGTTATTATGCAGTCTTCGCTTTGACCTAAGACACAGCCTCAACTTTGAACATTACATACAGATTGTCAGTCGGGCAGAGTTTGAGTGATTTGAAATCCATTAAATGATACTATGCCTCCCCCTCTCTCTCTCTCTCCTCTTACTCTCCAGACTGTGAACCAGCTGGGTCACGCGCTGCACATGGACCAGAGTCTGGACGCAGGCTGCCTGGTCCGAGTCTTCTGGCCCAAGACCAAGTGTGCCCTTCTCCGAGACGACCTGGTCCTCGTAGACAGGTACGGTAACGGAATGTTGACAACTCCGCCACACCTTGACTTCCAATTACACCGCTGGTCCCGACAGCTTGTACAGTACACCAGAGCTTTACGAATATCTAGATGTACACTGTATGTTGGCTGTGTTTGTTATTCGACCAGACACTGATGATCTGTGTATATGACGATCACTATCAACTAAACAGCGATAAAGGCTGAAGACGTGAACCTGCATTAATATTTTTTGCTTTTCTGTGTGCCTCCCTGTATATGAGGATTGCAATTGTAGCTCTGTGTGTAGATTGCTTGGAGTCCATACGGTATGATCTGTACTATTGCTAAGTAGCCTAACTAGAATAGCCATCAACCACCAGTGTCCGAAGCCCCATGGTAAGGACTGACCATCACTAAGCTGAGGTTGACTAAGCTGAGGTTGACTAAGCTGAGGTTGACTAAGCTGAGGTTGACCTTCTAACCCCATCCTCCATCTTCTTTAGCCCTGGAACAGATGTCACCACGCAGCTGGACAGCTGGATCGACAAGTTCTGCTTGGACGCTGATGTCTTTGTGCTGGTGGCCAACTCTGAATCAACCCTCATGAACACGGTAACAGAGCTCACAATCTGACCAATCCCAATGGTATTTAGACAGATCTGACCAATCAATGCGTCCATCTGAAAGATTGACAACCTTGTCAAGTAGCAGAGCTTCCAAGAGCTCAGATAGCTGTGTGCTAATGGATTTTTTAAAATGGATTCCTTGGAGTTCTTTGTCAACCACACCTCTTTTTGGAGATGAGAAATACAAAATGATTTGATTTAGTCATGTTAACAATTCTATCAAGAGGTTTGTGTTCTATGAAGCAAGACTTTTAAAAGTATTCTACGCAACTACACTGAACAAAAATAAACGCAACAATTTAAAGATTTTACTGCGTTACAGTTCATATAAGGAAATCAGTCAATCGAAATCAATTAATTAGGCCCTAACATATTTCACATGACTGGGAATACAGAACTTTTTTTTAAAAGTAGGGGCGTGGGTCAGAAAACCAGTTATTATCTGGTGTGACCACAATTTGCTTCATGAAGCGTGACATCTCCTTCGCATAGAGTTGATCAGGCTGTTGATTGTGGCCTGTAATGTTGTCCTACTCCTCTTCAATGGCTGTGCGAAGTTGCTGGATATTGGTGGGAACTGGAACACGCTGTCGATCCAGAGCATCACGAACATGCTCAATGGCTGACATGTCTGAGTATGCAGGCCATGGAAGAACTGGGACATTTTCAGCTTCCAGGAATTGTGTACAGATCCTTGCGACATGGGGCTGTGCATTATTATGCTGAAAATGAGATCATGGCGGCTGATGAATAGCACGACAATGGGCCTCAGACTATCGTCATGGTATCTCTGTGCATTCAAATTGCCATCGATAAAATGCAATTCAAATTTAATTTGTCACATGCGCCGAATACAATAGGTGAATCACCTTACCGTGAAATGCTTACTTCCAAGCCCTTAACCAACAATGCAGATCAAGAAATAGTTAAAATATTTACAAAATAAAAAGTAACATTAATAAAATAACAATACCGAGGCTATATACAGGGCAATTGTTTTCATTGTCTGTAGCTTATGCCTGCCCATACATAACACCATGCCACCATGGGGCATTCTGTTCACAATGTTGACATTAGCAAACCGCTCGCCCACACGACGCCATGCCTGTCTGCCATCTGCTCTGTACAGTTGAAACTGGGATTCATCCAGAAGAGCACACTTTTCCAGCGTGCAAGTGGCCCACTGAAGTTGGTTACTGCGCCAAACTGCAGTCAGGTCAAGACCCTGGTGAGGATGACGAGCACGCAGATGAACTTCCCTGAGACAGTTTTTGACAGTTTGTGCAGAAATTCTTCTGTTGCGCAAACCCACAGTTTCATCAGCTGTCCGGGTGGCTGGTCTCAGACGATCCCACGGGTGAAGAAGCCGGATGTGGAGGTCCTGGGCTGGCGTGGTTACACGTGGTCTGCGGTTGTGAGGCCGGTTGGACGTACTGCCAAATTCTTTAAAAGGACATTGGTGGCAGCTTATGGTAGAGAAATAAACATTCAATTCTCTGGCAACAGCTCTGGTGGACATAGCTGCAGTCAACTGCAGGAATGTCCACCAGAGCTGTTATTTGCACATTTTAGTGTCCTTTTATTGTCCCTGGCACAAGGTGCACCTGTGTAATGATCATGCTGTTTTATCAGCTTTTTGATATGCCACACCTGTCAGGTGGATGGATTATCTTAGCAAAGGAGAAATGCTCACTAACATAATGTAAACAAATTTGTGCACAAAATTGAAGTGAAATAAGCTTTGTGCATATGGAAAGTTTCTGGGATCTTTTTATTTCAGCTCATGAAACATGGGATCAACACTTTACATGTTGCGTTTTTATATTTTTGTTCAGTTATAGAAGGAATTGTCAACATATTCTAACCATATTTCTTTTTTCAAGACAATCTTAATACACTGCTCAAAAAAATAAAGGGAACACTTAAACAACACATCCTAGATCTGAATGAATGAAATAATCTTTAAATACTTTTTCCTTTACATAGTTGAATGTGCTGACAACAAAATCACACAAACTATCAATGGAAATCAAATTTATCAACACATGGAGGTCTGGATTTGGAGTCACCCTCAAAATTAAAGTGGAAAACCACACTACAGGCTGATCCAACTTTGATGTAATGTCCTTAAAACAAGTCTAAATGAGGCTCAGTAGTGTGTGTGGCCTCCACGTGCCTGTATGACCTCCCTACAACGCCTGGGCATGCTCCTGATGAGGTGGCGGATGGTCTCCTGAGGGATCTCCTCCCAGACATGGACTAAAGCATCCGCCAACTCCTGGACAGTCTGTTGTGTGGCGTTGGTGGATGGAGCGAGACATGATGTGCTCAATTGGATTCAGGTCTGGGGAACGGGCGGGCCAGTCCATAGCATCAATGCCTTCCTCTTGCAGGAACTGCTGACACACTCCAGCCACATGAGGTCTAGCATTGTCTTGCATTAGGAGGAACCCAGGGCCAACCACACCAGCATATGGTCTCACAAGGGGTCTGAGGATCTCATCTCGGTACCTAATGGCAGTCAGGTTACCTCTGGCGAGCACATGGAGGGCTGTGTGGCCCCCCAAATAAATGCCACCCCACACCATGACTGACCCACCGCCAAACCGGTCATGCTGGAGGATGTTGCAGGCAGCAGAACGTTCTCCACGGCGTCTCCAGACTCTCACGTCTGTCACGTGCTCAGTGTGAACCTGCTTTCATCTGAAGAGCACAGGGCGCTATTGGCGAATTTGCCAATCTTGGTGTTCTCTGGCAAATGCCAAATGTCCTGCACGGTGTTGGGCTGTAAGCACAACCCCCACCTGTGGACGTCGGGCCCTCATACCACCCTCATGGAGTCTGTTTCTGACCGTTTGAGCAGACATGACACCTGCTGGAGGTCATTTTGCAGGGCTCTGGCAGTGCTCCTCCTTGCACAAAGGCGGAGGTAGCGGTCCTGCTGCTGGGTTGTTGCCCTCCTACACGTCTCCTGATGTACTGGCCTGTCTCCTGGTAGCGCCTCCATGCTCTGGACACTACGCTGACAGACACCGCAAACCTTCTTGCCACAGCTCGCATTGATGTGCCATCCTGGATGAGCTGCACTACCTGAGCCACTTGTGTGGGTTGTAGACTCCGTCTCATGCTACCACTAGAGTGAAAGCACCGCCAGCATTCAAAAGTGACCAAAACATCAGCCAGGAAGCATAGGAACTGAGAAGTGGTCTGTGGTCACCACCTGCAGAACCACTTCTTTATTGGGGGTGTCTTGCTAATTGCCTATAATTTCCACCTGTTGTCTATTCCATTTGCACAACAGCATGTGAAATGTATTGTCAATCAGTGTTGCTTCCTAAGTGGACAGTTTGATTTCACAGAAGTGTGATTGACTTGGAGTTACATTGTGTTGTTTAAGTGTTCCCTTTATTTTTTTGAGCAGTGTATATGTAGCATGTGTAAGGGGGATTAAGGGGTTGTAACTTTAACTGTCAGAATTGGTATGTTAACTGACAGTAAAGGAGGTGTTTTCTTGTAAGTAAGGGGAGGATATTTTCTTTCCGAAGCTTGTTATAGTCGTCAGTGCTAGGATATGGCCGGCTCCATCGCTCAGGCCCAGCTCTGTTTATGTCTGCCTAGGTATTCACGTTATGTCAGGGCACGTAGTCAATCACTGGGCTCTCGTTATCTGTGCCCAATCTCTTCAAGGGACAAGCCCTGTTTCCCCCTCTCATCACCCACCATTTTGACTATGCACCCTAGGATGCCCAGCCTCTGTTGATTTTTCAATCACAGAACCCTAGAGATTGTAAGTACTCTATAAAGTACATTAGATTAGCATTATTCGACTGTGATAATGCGATGCACCTGGACACTTGTTACACAGATGAAGTGAAATAAGCATTTTGTTCTGGTTTAGTTTAGGAAGTAAACTCAACTGTTTGATAAACAACAGACAATAACAGTGTTTCAATGAATGGAGCCCTTTTCTAGCTTATTAGCTATGTCATGACCTACAGTATCTTCGTGACCCTTTACAAACGCCCTTGACAAACTCTTATCTCCTTCCCCGATAGACTGTGTGAAAGTGTGTACTGCACATTCTCTATAGTAAAGGAGTGTTTATGTATGTGGGTCACCTGCATGCACACACATACATGCTGTATTTACACAGAACTGCATTGGGACACCTTTTATCTCTGAATTGTTTGTGAAGGTTAAACACCTGGGGAAGTCTGGTGTAGGCTGTAAAGTTTAACTCCATGCAAATAGCCCTGGCAACGAGGTTTCCAGCCTCACGTCAGCCAGCTTCCTGTGCCCTTCCGGTCTGTGCCCTTGCGGTCTGTGCCCTTCCGGTCTGTGCCTCCTCCTTCAATATCTATACCCCAGTCTCTCTTCCAACTGTCCTGTCAAATTAAGTCAATAAAATACTGAAGGAGTTCAGAGTTCTCCTCACAAAGAAATAGAAATAAATGCAAAATAAAGGTTAACACACACTTTGGAATTAATAAGACTTAATTAGTGCACTAACTATTCCTGACCTTGCATTTTTCTTGTTTTCCAGGAGAAGCATTTCTTTCACAAGGTGAACGAGAAGCTCTCCAAACCCAACATCTTTATTCTCAACAACCGCTGGGACGCCTCAGCCAATGAGCCGGAGTACATGGAGGATGTGAGTGACTTACCAACAATAACTGGGCATTCATAAAAGTTTAGAATTAGTCAAATTAGCCACAGGTCCTGAAGTGGAAATTACGTTTATTGCTCCAGTAGGACAATAATCAGAAGTGTGTGTGTGTGTAAATGACATTTATGTAAAAAAAAAAAAGTATTAAAAGGTGTATATAAAAAATATTAACAGGGTAAAGAACTCCACAACCACCAATTAGCCTATTTACAACCTATAGTAATCTAATTTCACCCCATTTAAAAAAAAATTTTTTTTTTTTAAAATGACTTTCTGTGCATTTGCAGAGACATTTTGGATTTCTGGCAATTGCTCTGTGACATCACTGGGGGGAACCACTGAGTGCACTGGCATTGCACACATTTACATTTGAGTCATTTAGCGGACGTTCTTATCCAGAGCGACTTACAGTAGTGAGTGCATTTTTAGGTCATGTAGCTATCCTATGAAGTTATTTCCCAACAAAATGTTCTGACACAATAGCCCAGTAGTCAAATTACATATCACGTTTTGGATCATTTACAGATGTCGATAGTGATAAACAGATGACAAGGTGATTTGCAAGGTATAGGCCTATTCATCACAAAATATAAACTCAGCAAAAAAAAAAACGTCCCTTTTTCAGGACCCTGTCTTTCAAAGGTCATTCGTAAAAATCAAAATAACTTCACAGATCTTCATTGTAAAGTGTTTAAACACTGTTTCCCATGCTTGTTCAATGAACAATTAATGAACATGCACCTGTGGAATGGTCGTTGAGACACTAACAGCTTACAGACGGTAGGCAATTAAGGTCACAGTTATGAAAACTTAGGACACTAAATAGGCCTTTCTACTGACTCTAAAAAAACACCAAAGGAAAGATGCCCAGGGTCCCTTCTCATCTGCGTGAACGTGCCTTAGGCATGCTGCAAGGAGGCATGAGGACTGCAGATGTGGCCAGGGCAATAAATTGCAATGTCCGTACTGTGAGACGCCTAAGACGGCGCTACAGGACGGACAGCTGATCATCCTCGCAGTGGCAGACCACGTGTAACAACACCTGCACACGATCGGTACATCCGAACATCACACCTGCGGGACAGGTACAGGATGGCAACAACAACTGCCGGAGTTACACCAGGAACGCACAATCCCTCCAGGAACGCACAATCCCTCCATCAGTGCTCAGACTGTCCGCAATGGGCTGAGAGAGGCTGGACTGAGGGCTTGTAGGCCTGTTGTAAGGCAGGTCCTCACCAGACATCACCGGCAACAACGTCGCCTATGGGCACAAACCCACCGTCGCTGGACCAGTCAGGACTGGCAAACAGTGCTCTTCACTGACGAGTCGCGGTTTTGTCTCACCAGGGGTGATGGTCGGATTCGCGTTTATCGTCGCAGTAATGAGCGTTACACCGAGGCCTGTACTCTGGAGCGGGATCGAGGTGGCCAGCGACGAGCCCGGATCTCTTATCCCATTGAGCACATCTGGGACCTGTTGGATCGGAGGGTGTGGGCTAGGGCCATTCCTCCCCAGAAATGTCTGGGAACTTGCAGGTGCCTTGGTGGAAGAGTGGGGTAACATCTCACAGCAAGAACTGGCAAATCTGGTGCAGTCCATGAGGAGGAGATGCACTGCAGTACTTAATGCAGCTGGTGGCCACACCAGATACTGTTACTTTTGATTTTGACCCCATCCTTTGTTCAGGGACAGGTTAGTCACATGTCTGTGGAACTTGTTGAGTTTATGTCTCAGTTGTTGAATGTTATGTTCATACAAATATTTACACATAACGCAGTTGACAGTGAGAGGACGTTTCTTTTTTTTGCTGAGTTTATTATTTACTTTTATTTGTTATTTTGCGTGCACTCTTATCCAGAGCGACTTAGAGTAGTGAGTGCAAACATTTTCGTAGTGGTCCCATGTGGGAATCAAACCGTGCCGATCATAACAGCTGTAATATCACACTGGGAGGGATTATTGAAGATACTCTTTGAAGAGGTTGGGTTTCAAATACCGGCAGACGGGCAGGGACACTGCTGTCCTAGCTTCAGGGGGAAGCTGGTTCCACCATTGGGGTGCCAGGACGGAGAAGAGCTTGGACTGGGCTGAGTGGGAGCTGCCCTCCCGTAGGGGTGGGAGGGCCAAGAGACCAGAGGTGGCAGAACGGCGTGCTCCGGTTGGGGTGTAGGGTTTGAGCAGAGCCTGACGGTAGGGATGGGCGGTTCCTCTTGCTGCTCCGTAGGTAAGCACCATGGTCTTGTAGTGAATGCACGCTTCGAATGGAAGCCAGTGGAGTGTGTGGTGGAGCGGGGTGACATGGGAGAAGGTTGAACACCAGGTGGGCTGCAGTGTTCTGGATAAGTAGCAGGAGTTTGATGGCACAAGCGGGGAGCCCAGCCATCAGCGAGTTGCAGTAGTCCAGACGGGAGAGGGAAAAGTACCTGGATTAGGACCTGCGCCACTTCCTTTATGAGGTAGGGTTGTACTCTATGGATGTTGTACAGCGTCACGCCAAGGTTATTTTGCGCTCTGGGAGGGGGACACAGTGGAGTTGTCAACTGTGATGGAGAGGTCTTTGAGCGGGCAGGCCTTCCCCGGACGAAAGCGCAGCTCCATGTTCTCGAGGTTGAGCTTGAGGTGGTGGGCTGACATCCAAGTTGAGTTATCTGCGGGGGGCGGGGAGAAAAGTAGTTGTGTCATTCACATAGCAATGATTGGAGAGCCCATGTGAGGATATGAGTGACTTGGTGTATAGAGAGAAGAGGAGAGGGCCTACAAACCGAGCCCTGGGGGACACCAGTCGTGAGAGTATGTGGTGCAGACACAGATCCTCTCCACGTCATCTGGTAGGTCCGGCCTGCCAGGTAGGATGCAATCCAAGAGTGTGCAAAGACGTCCATCCCTGAGAGGGTGGAGAGGGGGATCGGATGGTTCACGGTGTCGAAGGCAGCGGATAGATCTAGGAGGATGAGAACAGAGGATAGAGATTTAGCTTTGGCAGTGCGGAAAGCCTCTGTGGCACAGGAGCAGTCTCGGTTGAGTGAAACGTCTTGAAGCCTGACTGGTTAGGGTAAAAAATATTGTTCTGAGAGAGTTTGTCAGAGACCACACGCTCAAGTTTCTTTTTACATCAGAGGAGTTGGGTTGGTTTCTTGAAGGGTTGGGTTCAATTTCCCCTTCTCAAAAAGTCTGCTACTTCTAATAAAGTTAACAAAGCACTTGCTAGTGTGGGAAATTGGGCCTGGCTCGCAGTCGGTGTTCCAATTCATTCCAAAGGTGTTCGATGGGGTTGAGGTCAGGGCTCTGTGCAGGCCAGTCAAGGTCTTCCACACCAATCTCAACAAACCATTTCTGTATGGACCTCGCTTGGTGCACAGGGGCATTGTCATGCTGAAACAGGAAATGGCTTTCCCCAAACTGTTGCCACAAAGTTGAAAGCACAGAATCGTCTCGCATGTCATTGTATGCTGTAACGTTAAGATTTCCCTTCACTGGAACTAAGAGGCCTAGCCCGAACCATGAAAAACAGCCCCAGACCATTATTCCTCCTCCACCAAACTTTATGGCACTATGCATTGTGGCAGGTAGCGTTCTCCTGGCATTCGCCGAACCCAGATTAGTCTGTCAGACTGCCAGATGGTGAAGCGTGATTCATCACTCCAGAGAACGTGTTTCACTGCTCCAGAGTCCAATGGCAGCGAGCTTTACACCACTCCAGCTGACGCTTGGCATTGCGCATTTCATGAAGCCCCCAACGAACAGTTATTGTGCTGACATTGCTTCCAGCGGCAGTTTGGAACTCGATAGTGAGTGTTGCAACAGAGGACAGACAATTTTTACGAACTTCAGCACTCGGCCGTCCTGTTCTGTGAGCATGTGTGGCCTACAACTTTGCGGCCGAGCCGTTCTTCTTTTTCCTGCTGAAACCTTTAACGCGTTCAAAAGCGAATACTGGAATAATATTCCTAACGTAGAATGTGGGGAATCGAGAGTTGCACCCCTCCTCAAACCTACACTCGATCCCTCCGACGTCAACAACTACAGACCAGTATCCCTTCTTTCTCTTCTGTTCCTCCCTGGGAAGGACTGCCCGCTCCATGATCTCGCCATCATGGTTGACAACTCTGTTTCCTCCTCCCAGAGTGCAAAGAACCTTGGCGTGACCCTGGACAACACCCTGTCGTTCTCCGCTAACATCAAAAATAGTGACCCGATCCTGTAGGTTCATGCTCTACAACATTCGCAGAGTACAACCCTACCTTACACAGGAAGCGGCACAGGTCCTAATCCAGGCACTTGTCATCTCCCATCTGGATTACTGCAACTCGCTGTTGGCTGGGCTCCCTGCCTGTGCGATTAAACCCCTACAACTCATCCAGAACGCTGCAGCCCGTCTGGTGTTCAACCTTCCCAAGTTCTCTCACGTCACCCCGCTCCTCCGCACACTCCACTGGCTTCCAGTTGAAGCTCGCATCTGCTACAATACCATGGTGCTCGCCTACGGAGCTGTGAGGGGAACGGCACCTCCTTACCTTCAGGCTCTGATCAGTCCCTACACCCAAACGAGGGCATTGCGTTCTTCCACCTCTGGCCTGCTGGTCCCCATATCTCTGCGGAAGCACAGTTCCCGCTCAGCCCAGTCAAAACTGTTCGCTGCTCTGGCACCCCAATGGTGGAACAAGCTCCCTCACGACGCCAGGACTGCGGAGTCACTGACCACCTTCCGGAGACACTTGAAACCCCACCTCTTTAAGGAATACCTGGGATAGTATAAAAGTAATCCTTCTACCCTACCACAATTTTTTTTAAATAATAATAACAATAATAAAATAAAATGTATAATAAATAAATAAATAAATAAATAAAAATATATATATATATATATATATATATATATATATATATATATATATATATAGATAACAAATGAAAATAAAAGATGTACTCAAATAAAAAATTAGAAAAATATATATATAAATAATAATTAGCCAGTGGGACAACCACTTTACATCATAAGGTGAATGCACCAATTTGTAAGTCGCTCTGGATAAGAGCGTCTGCTAAATGACGTAAATGTGATCTATTGGACACTAAGGTCATTCTGTTTGGTGTTTTGTGATGTCATTAATGTTATAAAATAAATACTGTAGCTTGGAAAGTATACCCACTACATGTAGGAATGTTCCATCATATACGTTGTGCATGTAATATGAAAAATTATGAAATTGTTTTTGTTAAGAGGGATGTGATTTGAGAAGCTGTATGAGATCATTGTTTTCCATAAGCTTTGCACAGGGACAAGTCACACCCCGAGTGAGGTCCGAGAGTGTCAGCCTGACGGAACCGCCCTTTTCGACCAAAGTGTGTAAAAGATGGGTTACGAATTAACACACTTAGACCAGAATAAGTGAAAGCGGCAGCTACACGTTTTAAAATGGTTGGAACTATGGATCTCAACACGTTGTGGAGATAATAAACTCGCCTCCCCGGACGATCACCGGTACGGCTGGTTAGCTGTCCTAAGTAAAGGATCTTCGGAAGCTAATTTAATTAGGCCCATCCTATTATTCTGCTCAAGCCCATCAGTAGGGTACTGGGAACCGTCGATACGGCTGGCTAGCCTATCTTCGAAGAAGCATCTTCGAGCGAATGGAAGGTAAATCAATTCTGTAGTTCTGTTCAGGACTACACGACAAGTCATCGGAGACCGGACAACTAGGAAGAAGAGAACAACAGAAGACTTGTTGGAACCTTTTTTGGACAATCTGAGCCTTACAAGCGTGCCGCGAGATGGCCCAACTCGCTTTCCAGGGTGGCGCTGTCCACTGAGATACACGGCGAACCAGGCATTTCACGTGAATACATTCTAGATTTCTTACTCGAAGAGGGCAGCGGTTCGTGTGCCAATGTATGTAATAACTGTAGGTGAGAGTAGTTTCGGAGTGTATCAAGGTTAAGTGTCTCTCTTTATCTTCCTTTTCTCTTTTAACATTTTAGTCATTTAGCAGACGCTCTTATCCAGAGCGACTTACAGTTAGTGAGTGCATACATCATTTTTTATATTTTTCATACTGGCCCCCCGTGGGAATCGAACCCACAACCCATGCTCTACCAACTGAGCTACATCCCTGCCGGCCATTCCCTCCCCTACCCTGGACAACGCTGGGCCAATTGTGCGCCGCCCCATGGGTCTCCCGGTCGCGGCCGGCTACGACAGAGCCTGGATTCGAACCAGCATCTCTAGTGGCACAGCTAGCACTGCGATGCAGTGCCTTAGACCACTGCGCCACTCAAGCATCATTGTTGTCATTCTTCTAAGGACCTGTTTTCTCCAGTCAGTAACCAGTGCAGAGTGTATGTTTATCCTCTGTTCCCATTTTTTAATTAGCTAGTAAATAAATAAACCAATTTGTGTAGTACTGAATCCTAAGGCTCTGCTTTTTACAGATGCAAGGAGGTAACGACTTTCAGAATGATATGATACGAGGTTATGATAAGTTGACTGTTTTTTATAGATGTGATAGGTAAATACCTTTTTTTTAGAGTTTAATTCGGGAGATGGGAACTCGGCCATGTACCGTCAAATCTTGGGTGAGAACCTCCTTCCCTCAGCCAGGGCATTGACAATGGGTTGTGGATGGGTATTCCAGCATGACAATGACCCAAAACACACGGCCAAGGCAACAAAGGAGTGGCTCAAGAAGAGGCACATTAAGGTCCTGGAGTGGCCTAGCCAGTCTCCAGACCTTAATCCCATAGAAAATCTGTGGAGGGAGCTGAAGGTTCGAGTTGCCAAACGTCAGGCTCGAAACCTTAATGACTTGGAGAAGATCTGCAAAGAGGAGTGGGACAAAATCCTTCCTGAGATGTGTGCAAACCTGGTGGCCAACTACAAGAAACGTCTGACCTCTGTGATTTCCAACAAGGGTTTTGCCACCAAGTACTAAGTCATGTTTTGCAGAGGGGTCAAATACTTATTTCCCTCATTAAAATGCAAATCAATTTATAACATTTTTGACATGCGTTTTTCTGGATTATTTTGTTGTTATTCTTTCTCTCACTGTTCAAATAAACCTACCATTAAAATTATAGACTGATCATGTCTTTGTCAGTGGGCAAACGTACAAAATCAGCAGGGGATCAAATACTTTTTTCCCTCACTGTATGCTGCAGTTGATTGATTGGTTCACCGAGTGACGTCAAAGTCTACTGTTTCAGAACGTCAAACGTCCAGAACGTTCAAAAATACTTTGCAAACTGTTGGTTTTAAAATTCATATCGCTTATTTTTGGGGGATCAAATGTTAATAAATAGAATGAAAAATGTATATTATGGTGCCTGGTGAATGTGTTTCCTTGTTCCATGTAGAGTGCCTTCAGAAAGTATTCATACCCCTTGACTTATTCCACATTTTCTTACAGACTGAAATCAAAAAAGATTCTCACCCATCTACACACAATACCCCATAACGACAGTGACATTTTATTGAAAATGAAATAAAATATCTTATTTTCATAAGTATTCACACCCCTGAGTCAATACTTTTGTAGAAGCACCTTTTGGCAGCGACTACAGCTGTGAGTCTTTCTGGGTAAGTCTCTAAGCGCTTTGCACACCTGGATTGTACAATATTTGCACATTAGTAAAAAGAACAAAGTAAAACTGCAACAAAAAAATGGCTACGAAATTAACTTATTGTCCTGAATATAAAGCGTTATGTTTGGGGCAAATCCAACACGTCACGGAGTACAACTCTTCATATTTTCAAGCATGGTGGCGGCTGCATCATGTTATGGGTATGCTTGTCATTGGCAAGGACTAGGGAGTTTAAGAATAAAAAGGGGGGGGGGGGGGGGTGTATTCAACTTGATTTTTATGTAGATATAGTTGACCTACTTTACCCTCATGTAAAAATGAAAAACTGCTACTGGGTAATCATTTTGCGACCAGAACGGAATGGTCGGGAGAAGCTTCATTTCCAAAAATTCCAAGCTGTCAAAACCATTAGTTTGAGACTGGGTTGTCACCAAAGCTGTTGTATTCATTCGGTATGTCGTAGTTCATTTTCAAAGATTCATTACAAACTCAAAACCATTTTTCAACAAGAATGACAATTATGACTAACTGTGGCCATTTTGCATTACAATTAATCGTTACCCAGAATTCCATGACCATTACAACCCTAGGTTCCAGAGTTTCTGTTATTGCTATGGGCTCTTACCATTGTGGTAATGTTGTAGTAACAGTTCAGTAATGTTCCCCACCTACAGGTGCGCAAGCAGCACATGGACCGCTGTGTCGACTTCCTGGTGGAGGAGCTGAAGGTGGTGGACCGGGAGCAGGCACCCAACCACATCTTCTTTGTGTCAGCCAAGGAGGTGCTCAACTCCCGTATGCAGCGCGCCCAGGGTATGCCAGAGTCCGGTAAGCCCGGCCGGTGGTGGTCAAACCAGGAGGGTGTGTTGGTGGGTGGGTAGCCAAGCATGTGTGAATAGTGGCAAACCATCGTGTCCGCTGTGGTCAAACCAGGTGTTTTGTTTGTTTGGTTGGTAGGTCGGTCAGTGGGTGGGTCAATTGTTGGGTGTGTACTGTGTTGGTGACTGTGTGGACGGATAGGTGGATCGATGGGTGTGTGGGGTGGGCAGGCAGGCTCACTCAGGCCACAGGTTTTGTCCTGTCCACACTGATGGGCTTCTCTAAATTAGATCCAGAGTGTCTCCAAACAACACCTCCCCAGCCAAGCTATAAAACATTCAAACTTAAACTTCACTATCAACTCTGGCTAACACCAGCTACATGGGATCAAGGCACTTATGCAATCCATTGGCTCACATGCTCCAACATGACCTTTTGTTTGGGTGGTGTCGGTCTTGAGCTCTGTTTTTAGCCTGGCGTCCATCTTCTCAGTCTGTGTTGATGTAGTTTATCTGATCCTTTCTAGGTTAAAGGGATATTTCACTTTCTGGAACTTTTAGCTTATTTTCAACGTACCTGTTGCCGTTTCATCCAAATTGTGTTAGCTGGTTATATAGCAACGTCTAGCATTTTTGGAGAATGTAGCAATGCTAGTGGAATGGAATGGATTGGATCAGTTAGCGGTGCGTTCAAAAGCGAGTGGACCAAAGCGGCGCCCTGCATAGCGCTTTGCCCGTACTTTTGAGTTCTCTGCTAACTGATACAACAAAAGTGAAATGTCCCTTTTTTTAAATTATTTATTTTTGTAGTAGTTTAAAGGCAAAATGGTACTAGACTCCATTTTGGAGAGATGTGATGTGGTGGTCTTTGGATGACAATGTGCCGTTTTCACAGGTGGAGCTTTAGCAGAAGGTTTCCAGGAGAGGCTCAAGGAGTTCCAGAGTTTCGAGAGGATATTTGAGGCAAGTGTGTGTGTGTGTGTGTGTGTCTGTGTGCGGTGTGACGACAACGTCTAACACCACTCGTTCTCAGCCTCCAAATTGTTTAATGATTTTTAAATACGACATCTCTAATTGAATGAAAAAGCAGTATGAAGTAATGAATGTCAAATGAAATGGCAGAATGACAGAACTACAATGACGCATATTCCAAGCAATCAAGATGAAAGTTAAAACAATGTGTAGTCAAGCCAAACAACACCATGGCTGCTCCTCAGGACATGTGGAGCAAGGCATACCAGGTAAACTCTCTCTCTCTGAACTTTCTGGCCTGGCTTTGCCAGTGTGACTCTGAACGTGGTGTTGGAGTGATGTGGGAGGAGGGACAGAACTGCGTCTGTGTGTGCTTGTGTTATGGTAGAGAAAATATTAGCAATAGAGTTAATTCCTTGTCTAAAACCCAGCTTAGTTACGCTGCCCCAAAACATTTACCTCTATGGGGTCGGACACCTAAAGGGAAAGCTGTGTACTGGATAGGAGGTTAACTATATTATATTCCATACCACTGCAGAGAGTAGTGGTGAACCATTCTAATCACTATCTCTATGGTCCTGTGCTGTGAGAAACACCTAGTCTCTCCATCTCATCACCGGACTACTAGTCTCTCCACCAATCACGTCTCCAAACCAAGCCCGCCCCGCTAAGTCCCTGCTTAGGCCAATCAATGTGCACATTGCCATCAATCTGCGTCTTCATTGCTGAAGTCTAGATTTACTTAGGCGAGGATCATCCATTTCTTTCAGTTCAAATTTTCATTCTGTTCACTGTCTCATTTTGTTTCATTCCGTTCTGTTGCCCGCATTCCGTCTCGTCGGAGTTGTTTTATGTTCAGGAAATACTAATCTCCTTTTCTTAGAGTAGTTTTTCTGTTGTACTGGCTTTTCTCCTAGGATTTAGCTTTGTCTTCACTAGCACGTTACTGTGAGCCTAAGAACCAAGGGGCTGTGGGCCTCGAGATGCAGAACTGCTGCCGTAATTTCCCCCCCCCCCCCCCCCCCCCCCCAAACATTAGTTACGGCAGCAGTTGTATATCTTATTCCTTTTTGTCCCGCCTATACCCTTTTCACTATCGTGCTGACCCCTGACCCCAACCAAACTGTTCTGGCTTCGCATGGTCCTTTTCAGCACAGTTCAAGCAACTATGGTGGATGCTTATGGCGCAATCAGGCCAGCACGGCTTGGTTTGGCTCGGCTCAGTAGATTGAAAAGCCCTGTAGGACGTGTCGCAGCCCCCCCCCCCGGTACGGTAACGTGTGTTGTTATGTGGCCTCGCAGGAGTGTATCTCGCAGTCAGCAGTGAAAACAAAGTTTGAGCAGCACACTATCAGGGCCAAGCAGATCACTGAAACGGTCAAATCCATCATGGACGCCATCAACATCGAGGCGGCAGAGAAGAGGTGAGTGTCCTCTGATCCATCCACTCACAACCCAACCCATCTTCTTCCGGGATGTTCTGTTTATTCAGTCATTCCCAAATGTTTCGGTAGCACTGACTTTAACTAGTTTGTATGGAAACGGTAACATTTATTATGAGTTAGCATTGTTATCCAATGACTAAGATGTTTTGGTGTGGATCCAACAGGGCAGGCACAATACATTTTGTACATTTCTAAGTAGTATGTCAGTATTGGACATTGAAACATAAAACCTTTGCACTTCCTGTGGAAGCACTGACTTACTACTTGTCTCTCCTTACCACGTCCTGTGCACCATCTAGAGTGGCCTCATTGGAGGACCGTGAGTACCAGATGGACCGTCTGGAGTTTGTGAAGAACCAGCTCCAGCTGCTCATAGAAGACATCAAGAAGAAGATCAAGGCTGTCACAGTAGAGGTGGAGAGCAAGGTAAACCGTGGCCTTCGGATAACGTTAATGTTTACAATATGTTTTGAAATATCCTAAAGCCTCTTAACACTGCAGGGAATGGCCCTGCAGGGTCATACTGCCAACGGCAATTTATGGATTTAATACCGCACTAATCCTCAATCCATTCCAAGGGTTACTTACCCCAAATGGTTAAAAAAAAAAAATGTTTTAGCCAGGTACTAACACAGCTGTTTTCTCAAGGTGTCCAGCGCCATGGGCGAGGAGATCTGTCGTCTCAACGTGCTCGTCCAGGAGTTCCACTCTGACTTCCACCCCTCGCTCCACATCCTCAAGCGCTACAAATCAGTGAGTTTGATTTCCGTTACACCAATGACTGGACACACACCGGTCTTCTCCATGAAATGGAAGCGTTGTCACAAATGTAGCACACAGAGCATTTAGGTTAGGAGCATCACGACTCAAACATCTCAGTAGTGACCTCCTTCTATTGTAACCGCTCTGTGACCCTCTGACACCCAACCCTTCCCTTACAGGAGCTCCTGAGCCACATCGAGGAGGGCATGGGCAAGAATCTGGCCTTCCGCTGCTCCAACGCCGTCAACGCCTCCGTGCAGTCCTCCCAGAGAGACATGATCGGTAGGTAGCAGTCCTCCCAGAGAGACATGATCGGTAGGTAGCAGTCCTCCCAGAGAGACATGATCGGTAGGTAGCAGTCCTCCCAGAGAGACATGATCGGTAGGTAGCGGTCCTCCCAGAGAGACATGATCGGTAGGTAGCAGTCCTCCCAGAGAGACATGATCGGTAGGTAGCAGTCCTCCCAGACAGACATGATCGGTAGGTAGCAGTCCTCCCAGAGAGACATGATCGGTAGGTAGCAGTCTTCGTGTGTGTGTGACAAGGCAACCAGTCATAAATCAGACTGACATAAATGTTATGGCCCTCTATGATGTTCAGGACTGGGACTATTGCGAGAGAGTGTAAACCAATTGAATGAGTACGCCTAGCGCTACAGGACTGTTCCATATTGCTCGCTTCTCACCCATCTGTTCCTCTCAGATCATTGTGTATTTAGACACTGTTATGGAAAGGAGGACCCCGTTTTTAACACTGTTAAATAGGGTGCCAATTCAGGTTCTACTACATAGCTTCCACTGATCCAGTTCTGTCAAATCTCTGACTTCAAGGAAAGCAGGAAGCATTCAAAGTATTTGGGTCTGATGTCATCTAGACCCCTCAAACTCAACTCTGGACCTTGAAGCGAGTTCCACTGCGTTTTTTTCATTGTTGCCCTCTAATTAGGGACTGATTTAGACCTGGGACACCAGGTGTGTGCAATTAATTATCAGGTAGAACGAGAGAACCAGCAGGCTCCGGACCTCGTAGGGTCAGAGTTGAATACCCCTGATAGACTTGGTGTCAGTGTTTCCTTCTTTGTCATCCCACCACCAGAGAGTCTGCAGCCTCTGCTGCCTCCTGCTGTTCAGAACCAGATACAGACGCTGGTGCCCTGCCACAAATTTGACCTGACCTACGACCTGAACTGTGCCACGCTCTGCTCGGACTTCCAGGAGAACATAGAGTTCCAGTTCTCGATGGGTTGGACGGCGCTGGTCAACCGCTTCCTGGGGCCCACCAACGCCAATCGGGCCCTCATGCTGGTCGACAAGAACTTCCCGGTAACGCGGATAAGGTGGCTCCAGGGTGAAGTTTCCCCTAGGTGCAGATCGAGGATCAGTTTCCTCCACCAAACCTAACCATAACCATTGGTGGTGGGGGGGGGGAGGGGGGTGGGGGGGGGGGGGAATGCAAAAATGACCCACGATCAGCGTGTAGGGGCAACTTCACCCTCCTCCAGTAAGGCATGAGGGTGATGGATGTGTCATCTGTACTGTATTCTGTTGTATGTCATGTAGGTATGCTATCACTGTACTAGATGGTTAATAGTTGTGATGTTGGTCGACAGGACCTTTTCAGGTAACCACAGTTAGAACACATGGGTGGTTGAGTGGTAATGGGTGATAACACTGCCCGGCTCTTACCGCGTGTGCCTACAGTGAGGGGGAAAATAGTATTTGATCCCCTGCTGATTTTGTACGTTTGCCCACTGACAAAGAAATGATCAGTCTATAATTTTAATGGTAGGATTATTTGAACAGTGAGAGACAGAATAACAACAACAAAAATCCAGAAAAACGCATGTCAAAAATGTTATAAATTGATTTGCATTTTAATGAGGGAAATAAGTATTTGGCCCCCTCTCAATCAGAAAGATTTTCTGGCTCCCAGGTGTCCTTTTTATACAGGTAACGAGCTCAGATTAGGAGCACACTCGTAACAAACTGAGATTAGGAGCACTCCCTTTAAGAGTGTGCTCCTAATCTCAGTTTGTTACCTGTATAAAAGACACCTGTCCACAGAAGCAATCAATCAATCAGATTCCAAACTCTCCACCATGGCCAAGACGAAAGAGCTCTCCAAGGATGTCAGGGACAAGATTGTAGACCTACACAAGGCTGGAATGGGCTACAAGACCATCGCCAAGCAGCTTGGTGAGAAGGTGACAACAGTTGGTGCGATTATTCGCAAATGAAAGAAACACAAAAGAACGGTCAATCTCCCTCGGCCTGGGGCTCCATGCAAGATCTCACCTCGTGGAGTTGCAATGATCATGAGAACGGTGAGGAATCAGCCCAGAACTACACGGGAGGATCTGGTCAATGATCTCAAGGCAGCTGGGACCATAGTCACCAAGAAAACAATTGGTAACACACTACGCTGTGAAGGACTGAAATCCTGCAGCGCCCGCAAGGTCCCCCTGCTCAAGAAAGCACATATACAGGCCCGTCTGAAGTTTGCCAATGAACATCTGAATGATTCAGAGGAGAACTTGGTGAAAGTCTTGTGGTCAGATGAGACCCAAATCAAGCTCTTTGGCATCAACTCAACTCGCCGTCTTTGGAGGAGGAGGAATGCTGCCTATGACCCCAAGAACACCATCCCCACCGTCAAACATGGAGGTGGAAACATTATGCTTTGGGGGTGTTTTTCTGCTAAGGGACAGGACAACTTCACCGCATCAAAGGGATGATGGACGGGGCCATGTACCGTCAAATCTTGGGTGAGAACCTCCTTCCCTCAGCCAGGGCATTGACAATGGGTTGTGGATGGGTATTCCAGCATGACAATGATCCAAAACACACGGCCAAGGCAACAAAGGAGTGGCTCAAGAAGAAGCACATTAAGGTCCTGGAGTGGCCTAGCCAGTCTCCAGACCTTAATCCCATAGAAAATCTGTGGAGGGAGCTGAAGGTTCGAGTTGCCAAACGTCAGCCTCGAAACCTTAATGACTTGGAGAAGATCTGCAAAGAGGAGTGGGACAAAATCCCTCCTGAGATGTGTGCAAACCTGGTGGCAACTACAAGAAACGTCTGACCTCTGTGATTGCCAACAAGGGTTTTTGCCACCAAGTACTAAGTCATGTTTTGCAGAGGGGTCAAATACTTATTTCCCTCAGTAAAATGCAAATCAATTTATAACATTTTTGACATGCGTTTTTCTGGATATTTTTGTTGTTATTCTGTCTCTCACTGTTCAAACAAACCTACCATTCAAATTATAGACTGATCATTTCTTTGTCAGTGGGCAAACGTACAAAATCAGCAGGGAATCAAATACTTTTTTCCCCTCAATGTACGACCCCAGAGATCGGTGTTCAATCCCTGCGTCTACCTCTCTCACTGTCTTTTCCATCTGTGTCCACCTCTGTTTCCATGTTGTCTAATTTAAGCATCAAAACCCAAGGCTGAGGAACATTCATTAGTCATTGGTGAGGATTGGTGGTGTTCTGGGTGTTGTATAGATACAGTTGAAGTCGGAAGTTTACATGCACCTTAGCCAAATACATTTAAACTCAGTTTTTCACAATTCCTGACATTTAATCCTAGTAAAAATTCCCTGTTTTAGGCCAGTTAGGATCACCACTTTACTATTATTCTGACATTTCACATTCTTAAAATAGAGAGATTTATTTATTTCAGCTTTTATTTCTTTCATCACATTCCCATGTGTAGTTCCAAACCGTAGTCTGTCTTTTTTATGGCGGTTTTGGAGCAGTGGCTTCTTCCTTGCTGAGCGGCCTTTCAGGTTATGTCGATATAGGACTAATTTTACGTGGATATAGATACTTTTTTGTACCTGTGTCCTCCAGCATCTTCACAAGGTCCTTTGCTGTTGTTCTGGGATTGATTTGCACTTTTCGCACCAAAGTACGTTAATCTCTAGGAGACAGAACGCGTCTCCTTCCTGAGTGGTATGAAGGCTGCGTGGACCCATGGTGTTTATACTTGCGTACTATTGTTTGTACAGATGAACGTGGTACCTTCAGGCGTTTGGAAATTGCTCCCAAGGATGAACCAGACTTGTGGAGGTCTAAAAAAATTTTTCTGAGGTCTTGGCTTATTTCCCCATGATGTCAAGCAAAGACGCACTGACTTTGAAGATAGGCCTTGAAATACATCCACAGAAGCTTTTAAAGCCATGACATCATTTTCTGGAATTTTCCAAGCTGTTTATAGGCACAGTCAACTTAGTGTATGTAAACTTCTGACCCACTGGAATTGTGATACAGTGAATTATAAGTGAAATAATCTGTCTGTAAACAATTGTTGGAAAAATTACTTGTCATGCACAAAGTAGATGTCCTAACCGACTTGCCAAAACGATAGTTTGTTAACTAGAAATGTGTGGAGTGGTTGAAAAATGAGTTTTAATGACTCCAACCTAAGTGTATGTAAACTTCCGACTTCAACTGTACGTAGTAGATATGTTTTAACATGACTGGAATAGATATGTAGTATATGTGGACACCTGCTCGTCGAACATCTCATTCCAAAATCATGGGCATTAATATGAAGTTGGTCCCCCCTTTGCTGCTATAACAGCCTCCACTCTTCTGGGAAGGCTTTCCACTAGATGTTGGAACATTGCTGTGGGGACGTGCTTCCATTCAGCCACAAGAGTATTAGTGAGGTCGGGTACTGATGTTGGGCGATTAGGCCTGGCTTGCAGTCGGCATTTCCAATTAATTCCACAATTGTTCGATGGGGTTGAGGTCAGGGCTCTGTGTAGGCCAGTCAAGTTCTTCCACACCGATCTCGACAAACCATTTCCGTGTGGACCTCGCTTTGTGCACGGGGGCATTGTCATGCTGAAACAGGAAATGGCTTTCCCCAAACTGTTACCACAAAGTTGGAAGCACAGAATCGTCTCAAATGTCATTGTATGCTATAGTGTCAAGATTTCCCTTCACTGGAACTAAGGGAACTAGCCCGAACCATGAAAAACAGCCGCATACCATTATTCCTCCTCCACCAATCTTTAGTTGGCACTATGCATTAGGGCAGGTAGCGTTCTCCTGGCATCCGCCAAACCCAGATTCGTCCGTCAGACTGCCAGATGGTGAAGTGTGATTCATCACTCCAGACAACGCCTTTCCACTGCTCCAGAGTCCAATGGCAGCGAGCTTTACACCACTCCAGCAGACGCTTGGCATTGTGCATGGTGATCTTAGGCTTGTGTGCGGCTGCTCGGCCATGGAAACCCATTTCATGAAGCTCCCGACAAACCGTTATTGTGCTGACGTTGCTTCCAGAGGCAGTTTGGAACACTGTAGTGAGGACAGACGATTTTTACGTTTCAGCACTCGGCGGTCCCGTTCGGTGAGCTTGCGTGGCCTACCACTTCGCGGCTGAGCCGTTGTTGCACCTAGACGTTTTCACTTTACAATAACAGCACTTACAGTTGACCGGGCAGCTCTAGCAGGGCAGAAATATAATGAACTGACTTGTTGGGAAGGTGGCATCCTATGACGGTGCCACGTTGAATGTCACTGAGCTCTTCAGTAAGGCCATTCTACTGCAAATGTTTGTCTATGGAGATTGCATGGCTGTGTGCTCGATTTTATACACCTGTCAGCAACGGGTGTAGCTGAAATAGCAGAGTCCACTAATTTGAAGGGGTGTCCAAATACATTTGTGTGTGTGTGTATATATAGTGTATGTTTTAACATGACTAGAATAGATCCATAGTAGATATGTTTTAACATGTAATGAATGATATAGAATGGACATGGCATCGATACCACTTCAAAATATCAACCAAATGTTTCGTACTCCTTATGTTCCATTCATATTCTGCCCATTCATAACTGATATGGTCCGTTTGACCGGTGAAACAATGGATCGGTTTGGATGCCAGGTTATCATTAGTGGTTTTTTATTCAAATGAACTGGTAGTTAATTTCCTACATCGTCCCAATAACAGCCCATGTTTTGTTTGTATGTATGTATGTAATCTCACCACACTCAGTAACCCTGTGTCCGTCTCTCCTGTCCCATTTAGATGACGCGCTCCCTGTCCACCACGCCATCTAACGGCCCCTCCAGTGTTGCGGTGGCCCAGCCCCAGGAAGCCGCGCTTTCCCAGGAGGACCTGATGATGTCCGTGGCCACCAACCTGGCCTCCCTCGCATTCCCGCACATCCATTAGCATGGTCATCGTCGGAGGAGTGGTCAGTGGTAGTCGTACTGCACCCGCCCCTCCTTCAAGTCACCAATCTGGCAACCTGTTTACCATTATACAGGGCTACGCCGTATCACCAGGGCTTTATACATACAGTACATGTCAATCCAGTTGGAAGAGGCAGATAGCAGAATTTAAATAAATTTGTTTTTTCCCCACATAAATACAACTGTGTTTTGCAACAATGTAGATGGGTGCTGCTCTCCCAAATCCCTCGAATGTTTTGGAAACTATTGTATAACAACCCACCCTCCCAGATTAGGCCTGTCACCCCATAGAGGTACACTGCTCAAACTATAACCCACCTCCTCTCCCGTGTCTGTCCCCTAGGTGTGGCGGACGGTGGGCTGGCGGCTCATAGCCCTGTCGGCCTCCATGTACGGCCTGCTCTACCTGTGGGAGAAGCTCACGTGGACCACCAAGGCCAAGGAGCGCGCCCTCAAGCGCCAGTTTGTGGACTACGCCACCGAGAAGCTGCAGCTGATTGTAAGCTTCACCAGTGCCAACTGCAGCCACCAGGTCCAGCAGTAAGTACATGCTGCAGCTCTGGGAATAAGGATACGCTTAAAAGGGGATGTTTCTATTGTAGACCGCTTTTGAGGTATGAAAATGTCTGACAAATCAAAATAAAATAAAATTTTATTAGCCACATGCGCCGAATACAACAGGTGCAGACATTACAGTGAAATGCTTACTTACAGCCCTTAACCAACAGTGCATTTATTTTTAACAAAAAAGTACAAATAAAACAACAACAAAAAAAAGTGTTGAGAAAAAAAGTAAAATAAAGTAACAGTAGGGAGGCTATATATACAGGGGGGGGTACCGGTGCAGAGTCAATGTGCGGGGGCACCGGCTAGTGAGGTAGTTGAAGTAATATGTACATGTGGGCAGAGTTAAAGTGACTATGCATAAATAATTAACAGAGTAGCAGCAGCGTAAAATGATGGGGTGGGGGGGCAGTGCAAATAGTCCGGGTAGCCATGATTAGCTGTTCAGGAGTCTTATGGCTTGGGGGTAGAAGCTGTTAAGAAGCCTTTTGGACCTAGACTTGGCACTCCGGTACCGCTTGCCGTGCGGTAGCAGAGAGAACAGTCTATGACTAGGGTGGCTGGAGTCTTTGACAATTTTGAGGGCTTTCCTCTGACACCGCCTGGTATAGAGGTCCTGGATGGCAGGAAGCTTGGCCCCAGTGTTGTACTGGGCCGTACGCACTACCCTCTGTAGTGCCTTGCGGTCGGAGGCCAAGCAGTTGCCATACCAGGCGGTGATGCAACCAGTCAGGATGCTCTCGATGGTGCAGCTGTAGAATCTTTTGAGGATCTGAGGACCCATGCCAAATCTTTTCAGTCTCCTGAGGGGGAATAGGCTTTGTCGTGCCCTCTTCACGACTGTCTTGGTGTGTTTGGACCATGATAGTTCGTTGGTGATGTGGACACCAAGGAACTTGAAGCTCTAAACCTGTTCTACTACAGCCCCGTCGATGAGAATGGGGGCGTGCTCAGTCCTCTTTTTTTTCCTGTAGTCCACAATCATCTCCTTTGTCTTGGTCACGTTGAGGGAGAGGTTGTTGTCCTGGCACCACACGGCCAGGTCTCTGACCTCCTCCCTATAGGCTGTCTCATCGTTGTCGGTGATCAGGCCTACCACTGTTGTGTCGTCGGCAAACTTAATGATGGTGTTGGAGTCGTGCCTGGCCATGCAGTCATGGGTGAACAGGGAGTACAGGAGGGGACTGAGCACGCACCCCTGAGGGGCCCCCGTGTTGAGGATCAGTGTGGCAGATGTGTTGTTACCTACCCTTACCACTAGGGGGCGGCCCGTCAGGAAGTCCAGGATCCAGTTGCAGAGGGAGGTGTTTAGTCCCAGGATCCTTAGCTTAGTGATGAGCTTTGAGGGCACTATGGTGTTGAATGCTGAGCTGTAGTCAATGAATAGCATTCTCACGTAGGTGTTCCTCTTGTCCAGGTGGGAAAGGGCAGTGTGGAGTGCAATAGAGATTGCATCATCTGTGGATCTGTTGGGGCGGTATGCAAATTGGAGTGGGTCTAGGGTTTCTGGGATAATGCTGTTGATGTGAGCCATGACCAGCCTTTCAAAGCACTTCATGGCTACAGACGTCAGTGCTACGGGTCGGTAGTCATTTAGGCAGGTTATCTTAGAGTCCTTGGGCACGGGGACTATGGTGGTCTGCTTGATGTTGGTATTACAGACTCAGTCAGGGACATGTTGAAAATGTCAGTGAAGACACTTGCCAGTTGGTCAGCACATGCTCGGAGTACACGTCCTGGTAATCCGTCTGTGAATGTTGACCTGCTTAAAAGTCTTACTCACATCGGCTACGGAGAGCGTGATCACATAGTCATCCGGAACAGCTGGTGCTCTCATGCATGCTTCAGTGTTGCTTGCCTCGAAGCGAGCATAGAAGTGGTTTAGCTCGTCTGGAAGTCTTGTGTCACTGGGCAGCTCGCGGCTGTGCTTCCCTTTGTAGTCTAATAGTTTTCAAGCCCTGCCACATCCGACGAGCGTCAGAGCCAGTGTAGTACGATTCAATCTTAGTCCTGTATTGACTCTTTGCCTGTTTGATGGTTCGTCGGAGGGCATAGCGGGATTTCTTATAAGCGTCCGGGTTAGAGTCCCGCTCCTTGAATGCGGCAGCTCTACCCTTTAGCTCAGTGCGGATGTTTCCTGTAATCCATGGCTTCTGGTTGGGGTATGTACGTACGGTCACTGTGGGGACGACATCATCGATGCACTTATTGATGAAGCCAGTGACTGATGTGGCGTACTCCTCAATGCTATCTGAAGAATCCCGGAACATGTTCCAGTCTGTGCTAGCAAAACAGTCCTGTAGCTTAGCATCTGTGTCATCTGACCACTTTTTTATTAACCGAGTCACTGGTGCTTCCTGCTTTAGTTTTTGCTTATAAGCAGGAATCAGGAGGATAGAGTTATGGTCAGATTTGCCAAATGGAGGGCGAGGGAGAGCTTTGTATGCGTCTCTGTGTGTGGAGTAAAGGTGGTCTAGAGTTTTTTTTTCCTCTGGTTGCACATTTAACATGCTGGTAGAAATTAGGTAGAACGGATTTAAGTTTCCCTGCATTAAAGTCCCCGGCCACTAGGAGCGCTGCATCTGGATGAGCGTTTTCCTGTTGATTTATGGCCTTATACAGCTCATTCAGTGCAATCTTAATGACAGTCAATATTCCTGTGTCATCTGTCGAGTAGATCCTGTTTTGTGCATTCTGACAAATCTGCAGGCCTCAATCCCAGTACAGTAACTCATAGTTGAGCCTCGTATGTAGAGGTTTCTGAAGACACTTCCTTTATGAACCGATTCACTACTGATGTATGGGGCTGAATCTGCTGATAGACAAATCTACGTCCTGCCCCCTCCTTTTCTGTGAAGTGGGTAATAAAATAAGTGATAAAAATGCTTTTATCTTTGCGTTGCCCAGGGAGATGGCCACGACCTTTGCCCGGCTGTGTCAGCAGGTTGACCTGACGAAGAGGGAGCTGGAGGGAGAGATCAGCCGACTGACGGCCAAGGTCCAGACTCTGGAGACAGTCCAGTCCCGCTCCAAGACCCTCCGGTCAGTCTAGCTGCCTCCTGGGTCCGGTATTGCCCCCCCTCCTGGGTCCGGTATTGCCCCCCCCCTGCATAGCTCTGTTGTAATTTAGTCCCCAATGGTTTCCATTTAACATTTTGATGCCCGTGGCGCTTTGGTAAGTCTTTGTTTTGCCTAGAAAAGAATGTCACATTTTGTAATTTTTTCACCATTGGTTGTATTGAGGGTTAAAGGTCAGAGTTGTACCCTTTTGAACTGCATGTGTAGTTATTTTGTTTCTCTTCTGTTGAACAGCATTCATTTATCAGTAGGCATTTTCACCTCCAGTATAATTGGTTCTACAACAATATTGTACAAATAGGTGTGGTCTGTGTGTAACCGCTTTTTCTCCATGGTTTCAGGCACAAAGCCACAGAGTTGGAGAGGCAGTTGGGGACTTTTACAGACCAATATCTGAATCCCCATCATTGATGGACTGGGCCTCTCTGGCTTCCCTGGAGCCTCAGTTCTGGCATTGACTCGCCATGCCTGTACTCCCTTCCCCTCTCCACTCCACTCGGAGAAAATATGTCCACCCTTGATAGTATTCCTCCCAGAATTTCCCCACCTCCAAACAGATGTTTCTCCAAGAGATTTGCGGAAGTGTACAGTCTTCCACGCACTTTATAGAATGACTTTGTTGAACTAACAGGAAGTTTGTTCTCTGCGAACACAACTACCTGTAACACAATACAAACTGTGTAACTGTGTGAATCGGACATGTGAATACTGTTCTGAAGGTCGGGACATAAAGCCTTGGTTGTGATTGGAGGTTGGGTTGACGCTACTGCTCTTAACTGTGAATATGCCTTTCACTAACTCCTGAGGTAAATGGGTGTGTGAGTGTTTAGACACATGTAGGCATGTGATTTTCATTCAGAGCTGAATTTGTTCTGGTTGACCCTTGGCACTGGTACCCCAAAATAAATACACACACACACAGCATTCAGAAAGTGTTCAGACCCCTTGACTTTTTCCACATTTTGTTACGTTACAGCCTTATTGTAAAATTGATTAACTTGTTTCCTCCCCCCATCAATCTACACACAATACCCCATAATGACAAAGCAAAAACAGGTTTTTAGACATTTTAGCAAATAATTAAAAATATTATGAAATATAATATAAATAAAATAAAAATAGAAATATCACATTTACATAAGTATTCAGATCTTTTACTTAGTACTTTGTTGAAGCAGCTTTGGCAGCGATTACAGCCTTGAGTCTTATTGGGTATGACACTACAAGCTTGGCACACCTATATTTGGGGAGTTTCTCCCATTCTTCTCTGCAGATCCTCTCAAGCTCTGTCAGGTTGGATGGGGAGTGTCGCTGCACAGCTATATTCAGGTCTCTCCAGAGATGTTCGATTGGGTTCAAGTCTGGCTGGGCCACTCAAGGACATTCAGAGATGTGTCCCGAAGCCATTCCTGCATTGTCTTGTCTGTGTGCTTAGGGTCGTTGTCCTGTTGGAAGCTGAACCTTCGCCCCCAGTCTGAGATCCTGAGTGCTCTGGAGCAGGTTTTCATCAAGGATCTCTCTGTACTTTGCTATGTTCATCTTTCCCTCGATCCTGACCAGTCTCCCAGTCCCTGCCGTTGAAAAACATCCCCACAGCATGCTGCTGCCACTACCATGCTTCACCGTCGAGATGGTGCCATGTTTCCGCCAGATGTGATGCTTGGCATTGAGGCCAAAGAGTTCAATCTTGGTTTCATCAGACTAGAGAATCTTGTTTATCATGGTCTGAATCCTTTAGGTGCCTTTTGGCAAACACCAAGTAGGCTGTAATGTGCCTTTTACTGGAGTGGTTTCCATCAGGCCACTCTACCATGAAGGCCTGATTGGTGGAGTGCTGCTGAGATGGTTGGCCTTCTGGAAGGTTCTCCCATCTCCACAGAGGAACTCTGGAGCTCTGTCAGTGACCATCAGGTTCTTGGTCACCTCCCAGACCAAGGCCCTTCTCCCCCGATTGCTCAGTTTGGCCGAGTGGCCAGCTCTAGGAAGAGTCTTGGTGGTTCCAAACTTCTTCCATTTAAACATGGAGGCCACTGTGTTCTTGGGGACCTTCAATGCTGCAGAAATGTATTGATACCCTTCCCCAGATCTGTGCCTCGACACAATCCTGTCTCTGAGCTCTACGGACAATTCCTTCGACCTCATGGCTTGGTTTTTTCTCTGACATGCACTGTCAACTGTGGGACCTTATATAGACAGGTGTGTGTCTTTCCAATCAATTGAATTTACCACAGATGGACTCCAATCAAGTTGTAGAAACATCAAGGATGATCAATGGAAACAGGATGCACCTGAGATCAATTTCGAGTGTCATAGCAAAGGGTCTGAATACTTATGTAAATAAGGTATTTCTGTTTTATTTTTAATAAATGTGCAACATTTTCTCAACCTGTTTTTGCTTTGTCATTATGGGGGTATTGCGTGTGTATATTGATGAAAAATATTTATTTAATCCATTTTAGAAAAAGGCTGTAACGTAACAATGTGGAAAACGTTAAGAGGTCTGAATACTTAACGAATGCACTGTATGTATTTTTTGTTGTTGTGAAGGACCTGCTTAAATTCAGAAGAAATCCATTTGACTGAAAGAAGATGCTATTGTTCTCTTCAGAAGCAACATTCTTAGTCTCAACTACTGACAAAGCATGTCTGACCGAGGAAATACAGTGTAGATATTATTTTAACTAGATGCATTTTATAGTTCCTTTGCTGTTTGTACTAATTAGACCCCTCATGAGAATACATTTGAACAATCTCCACTTTGTTAAAAAAAAAAATGGTTTCCTTTCTTGATTAACTAATTTAAATACATCTGATTTACCAGAATTTATTAAAAGAACATGTAATTGATTCTCTAGATGCTTTTTTTTTTTTTTTTTTTCAAGAATAGCATGTTGTAGAATCTCTAATGGACTCACATTCCTACAAGTGGAAAGGGGATGTAACAGTTGCTCAAAAAAGAGAAGCTTTTACTGAACGGTAGATGGTCAGCATTCAAGCAACTATGTTTGAAAAGGCATTTGTTAACAAATTTATAGCGGTTTTGTTGTTGATATAATAGACTTCAACACGGAAATCCATGGTTAAAAGCTTTTTTTTTTATTGGTTACAATATCAACTCCTGACAAAAAAAATAATAACAATCTGGTGTGAAAAGACTATATAAAAACAATTCTTCCATAACAAGTGATTATAATTTCACACAATATCACTGTCAGTAATCATGGCACCACGTCCCTGGGTTTCACTGGCTTAAAACAAACAAATAACGACGAATCCATGAAGCCTGTCCGAATAGATCCAACAGCCAAAAGGCAGTGCATTCATTTGTGTTTGTGGTGATCACTAAATGTAATGCTAATTATCGAAAGGAGAACTGGGGTACAATTTCAACGTCTGTTTGTTTTTCTCGATGTGCGCTCCTCCGTTTTCAGAACTTTGTCCAAACTCTGACGACGTTAAAGGGCGAACCTCTAAAAATACTACTTTGACGCCTGGATAATATTCCACCTCAATCCCCAAGGCAAGACCGTCCACATGTCAACACAATGCATGCCGCTTCGCTTCTTTACTTTTGCTTTTTTTTTTTTTAATGACTTTGAATATGTATGTCAAGGAGACTTAAAAAAAAACATCACACACTGTGTTCGTTGCCGCCTGAGGCTCAGCATCCCATCAGGTAGAGCACTCGCTGTCACGACTGCTCTTACAAAATAGTTGTTTCATATGATGAATACAACTATTGAAGACTGTAAGGAAATACAATGACATGGTCAAATACAGGGAGGTTGATCACCTTCGACTACTGAAGCCTACAAACCATTGGTCCCAGCTAACTAACATGATCAGTGGGACTGCACAGGCACATTTCAATGTGGTCACTATTTCAGGTTAAACCCTTTTAATACTGGTGCATCTTATAGAGCGCTGTGGTCAAGCCTCCAATTATCAGTGTTATAGGACATCCCTTTTTTGGCCATTAAGGGCTATGGTGCTCTGTTGTCACAGGTGATGTCTGAGCTGAGGAATCAACACAACCCATTTTGCTTTCAGGAGTTGGGGATAGTTTCACTGGCAGCCATGTTGGTGTAAAATGACCAAACTTCATCCAGCCATTTTGTTATGTCTTTCCTGTCTTTTAAAAGGGCCACTTTTCCTGTCTTAAAAGGGACACATTTCTCATTGGATCTTCATCATTCACAATGGGATTAGATTCATTTAATTTGGGGAAAACAAAGTGTTTTAATAACATTGAAGGAATATCCATATGTTCTCTTTTATTGGGCACCTTATGAAGTCAACAGAGGACCTTGTTACAGGCCAAGCGTAATAAATGACACTGATTTGATTCAGATTTAGGGAAAAGGGCTAGCACTTTCTGTAAGCAAGCGAAGAGAAACAATGAATTGTCAATGATGACATGTTTTCAGTTCACAGCTGTAGGTCAGTGAATGACATTGGCACAAATGTGAAAGGTAACACAACCGGCATGTATGTTACCCACACGGATCAGTGAGAATTTCAACACTGATATGGAATACATTTTCCATCCAAGTCACCTCAAAGATGTGTTTTTGGGGGCTTGACAAACCACCAGCCATTTATTTTACGTTTCTCAAATTAATTAAACGCAAAGCCAGGTAAAGCAGCTAAAAACGTACAACTAAATAAAATGGCTGATTATAAAATCACTATACGATCACAGGGTGCTCCTTGTAATCAATAAATACAACGTTGTACGGTAGAAATCAGAATTGTATAAAATAACATACAGCCCTTTTGAGAAGCTGCGGTTTGCACGTCTTGGGTCGTGGTCATCTGTAAGCTTGGCTTTTAGTGTTTACTATGGTACTGACGTGGCTCTGTGCTTCACAGTTGCTTAATTTTTCAGCAAATCATTAGACTGTTACAGCAGGTTAAGGCCTGCCTCATCCTTTTATCCAGTGCCAATTTTTTCTAAACGAAACAATTATCTTCTAACGTTCTCTTGGGGCCCACTGAAATAGTGGCGCCTCATTAGGCGACTGGGTGATTTGAGGTCAACTGAACTGTTGGAGAGATGGAAAAAGTGAAAGGCTTGAACACGCAGGCCCAACATTTGAGTTCCTGGTCAGTTCCGGTCAATGTTGGCAATGAGATTGGTAGAATGAAGATAGAACTGCTCTCAGGCCACAGATCCTTCTAATACGAACCACATGGATCCAATGGATGTACTGTGTGTATATACACTACCGTTCAAAAGTTTGGGGTCACTTATACATTTCCTGGTTTTCCATGAAAACATACATGAAATGAGTTTGAATAGGAAATATAGCAAAATGCATAGAAAATGTAGACATTGACAAAGTTAGAAATAATGATTTTTAATAGAAATAATAATTGTGTCCTTCAAACGTTGCTTTCGTCAAAGAATCCTCCATTTGCAGCAATTACAGCCTTGCATACCTTTTGGCATTCTAGTTGTCAATTTGTTGAGGTAATCTGAAGAGATTTCACCCCATGCTTCCTGAAGCACCTCCCACAAGTTGGATTGGCTTGATGGGCACTTCTTACGGTCAAGCTGCTCCCACAACAGCTCAATAGGGTTGAGATCCGGTGACTGTGCTGGCCACTCCATTATAGACAGAATACCAGCTGACTGCTTCTTCCCTAAATAGTTATTGCATAGTTTGGAGCTGTGCTTTGGGTCATTGTCCTGTTGTAGGAGGAAATTGGCTCCAATCAAACACCGTCAACAGGGTATGGCATGGCGTTGCAAAATGGAGTGATAGCCTTCCTTCTTCAAGATCCCTTTTACCCTGTACAAATCTCCCACTTTACCACCACCAAAGCACCCCCAGACCATCGCATTGCCTCCACCATGCTTGACAGATGGCATCAAGCACTCCTCCAGCATCTTTTCATTTGGTCTGCGTCTCACAAATGTTCTTCTTTGTGATCCGAACACCTCAAACTTCGATTTGTCTGTCCATAACACTTTCTTCCTCTGTCCAGTGTCTTAATATTTTCTTTTTATTGGCCAGTCTGAGATATGGCTTTTTCTTTGCAACTCTGCCTAGAAGGTCAGCATCCCGGAGCCACCTCTTCACTGTTGACGTTGAGACTGGTGTTTTGCGGATACTATTTAATGAAGCTGCCAGTTGAGGACCTGTGAGGCGCCTTTTTCTCAAACTAAACACTAATGTATTTGTCCTCTTGCTCAGTTGTGCACCGGGGCCTCCCACTCCTCTTTCTATTCTGGTTAGAGCCAGTTTGCGCTGTTCTGTGAAGGGAGTAGTACTCAGCGTTGTACGAGATCTTCAGTTTCTTGGCAATTTCTCACATGGAATAGCCTTCATTTCTCAGAACAAGAATAGACTGACGAGTTTCAGAAGTAAGTTCTTTGTTTCTGGCCATTTTGATTCTGTAATAGAACCCACAATTGCTGATGCTCCAGATACTCAACTAGTCTCAAGAAGGCCAGTTGTATTGCTTCTTTAATCAGCACAACAGTTTTCAGCTGTGCTAACATAATTGCAAAAGGGTTTTCTAATGATCAATTAGCAAACACAACGTGCCATTGGAACACAGGACTGATGGTTGCTGATAATGGGCCTATGTAGATATTCCATAACAAATCAGCCATTTCCAGCTACAATAACCATTTACAACATTAACAATGTCTACACTGTATTTCTGATCAATTTGATGTTATTTTAATGGACAAAAAAATTGCTTTTCTTTCGAAAACAAGGAAATGTCTAAGTGACCCCAAACTGTAGTTCAAAATATATTTTATATATATAAGGGTGCCTATTTTTTTGTTATACACCCTAACTTCTTAAACAACTATATATATATATATATAACAAAAAAATAGGCACCCTTATTCAAGTGTTGCGTCCAAACCAAGGTTTTCTTGCGAGGAAAATGGAAGATGGACTGATGCACAAACTAACAAAGTCTTGTGAGAGACACAGGCAACTGCCAAAATAAAGGAAACACCAACATAAAGTGTCTTAATAGGGCGTTGGGCCACCATGAGCTGCCAGAAGAGCTTCAGTGCACCTTGGCATAGATTCTACAAGTGTCTGGAACTCTATTGGAGGGATGCGACACCATTCTTCCACGAGAAAGTCCATCATTTGGTTTTGTTGATGGTGGTGGAAAACGCTCTCAGGCGCCGCTCCAGAATCTCCCACAAGTGTTCAACTGGGTTGAGATCTGGTGACTGAGATGCCCATGGCATATGACTTGCATTGTTTTCATTCTCATCAAACGATTCAGTGACCACTCGTGCCCTGTGGATGGGGGCATTGTCATCCTATGGGGGGGCATAGCCATGGTAGCCAAAATAATGGGCTGCCCAGCATTTTAATACATGACCCTAAGCATGATGGGATGTTAATTTCTTAACACCAGTGTGGAAGCACCTGCTTTCAATACACTTTGTATCCCTCATTTACATTATTTTGGCAGTTACCTGTACCTCCTCTCTGCTGTTGGAGTATGTTGCATGTGCTCTTTGCTTACATTTGGTGAGTATAATCTAGCTCTCTACCATGTGACCTTTCTTCTCCAGCAATACTTTAAACTGTTCATAAAATTTTGTTTTGGTGAGAATTTTTTTTGTTAAATAAGGACAATGGCCCACCGGTGTGATTTGTAGTGACAAGATTTTTGAACCAACAGCGTTACGTTCCGCACTCAACTAAATCACCCTATTGATGGTCATCAAGAATTGCAAAAATAGAATTGAAGACAACATAGCAAGAAGCTATTACAGGCGTCTTCCCTTGAGTCCACTCATAGGGAAGGAATGACAGGATTTACTCACAGCTCATTGAGCAGACATTTTTTTCACATCTTAATGCTTCGACTGACCAACCTCTGGTAGACTGTACAGACTGCCAGCATTTCCGCTTCCTCTTTACTTATTTAGTTCTATGATATAGGCTTGAGCTAGCTCGCAGTAGCCCCAGGATCACATTTCTAGGAACCCCCCCCTTGTCAGTTTGGGGCCCTACGTTTGATACCATTGGGCCCTAGATTTCTCCATCCTCAGTGGTGAGATGTAAAGGCTTTGGCCTTTGGGGTATATTCAGTAAAGCTTCTATTAGTAAATGATCGCAACATATGTATTGCATATCACACTATTGTTGATTTGCAAGGCGTGGGTGTGATGTTATACTATTCGCTATACAATCGCGGTTTTGAACTCAGCCCAAGACCCCTTGCGAGGGCTCCTGGCTGTAGTTTCACGCTGTTTGAGTTTGTTGAGATTGCCGAGAGAGACGGTGCCTCTAAAACACTACAGTGGCTGTGGTTCACAGCTTAGTTTAACCCGTTTCTAGAAAAGGGATTGGGCTAAAACGTATTAGTCTGTCTCTACAAAACGACCACAACAGCTCTGTTTAAAAAAAAAAAAAAAACGTTTGTTGAGAGGAATGCCACCAGATCATAACTCATATCATTACCTATCATCAACATAGGAATATACAGTATTTTAGTTACAGTACATGTGTGCATGCCTTTGCCATTAGACCATCACACACACACACACACACACACACGCATACTGAAATGTACATTATGTTGTACATGAGGCAAGTGACAAAAATCGGAATTGTGTAATCGTCTAGTACTGTGAATATTATATACATTAAACAACGTAAGGCAAATAAAACAAAAAGGGTGGGAAATAAACTACAAAAATATATACATACACATTATATATGCATATATGATGCATATATATACACACATAATGCTATACATATATACTGTATTTATATATACATTTACATATTACACACGGACTGGCCTCTAATTTGGCGGTAACCACGGTAACATGCGCTCTAGTCCCCCCCTGTCCAAAAACAAGAGGGGATGCAAGGTTGTTTTTTTTTTTAGCACTTGTTTTTTTTTAAATTGTTTATTTTTTTTATCTCGTTTCGTAATTGTTTTAGTTTTTTGATTGGACATTCTAACTGTAGGTACTGTAAGCTCTGTGTAATAGGTGTGTAAAAAAATGTCACTTGGAAAAGGTAGAAAGAGTTGTTACTTTCTCACAGCGGCGCTGGCTGTGGCTTGAGGGGGAGGAGGTGGACGGGACATTGGTGGTGGGGGGGGGGGGGAGACACAGTGTTCACCCTCAAGTCCAGCCCAGCAGTATGGGTGGGTGGAGAGAGGAGGAGGACGTGATCTGGAGGGTTTAGTTCCAGATTCGGAGGAAACTGTCCCATGAGCCCGTAGCTACGGCCATGCCATCGTCTGTCACGCCTAAACAGCTCACCCGGTTGTCGTGACCGGCCAGGACACCTAGAAATAGAGGGAAGGGAGAGGGAGAGAGAGACGGGAGAGAGAGACGGGAAGAGGGAGAGAGAGAGGGAGAGTGAAACAATAGAAGGGTCATTGTGATACATTGTGAGTCAATGTGAGTAAATGTACAGCCAGTGTTTAACCAACTATGTACTGACTAAGTTTCTGTCGATAAGTGCAACTGCCAAATGAATACCTAGCACAAAAAGCTTCATTGATTAAAGCAATGTGGTGAAAACATCTCCCTTGTCCCATTCCAATCATGTCCCTTCCTCCAACCTCAAGGGGGGGGACCAAGAAAGGTTGCATTTAAAAAAAGGGATTTGAATTAGTGGCCTGGTGAGTCTCCCTCCACTACCGTACCTGCGCGCTCCGCCTTGAGGGTGTCCCACACGTTACAGTTGAAGTCGTCGTAGCCGGCCAGCAGCAGACGGCCGCTCTTGGAGAAGGCCACCGAGGTGATGCCGCAGATGATGTTGTCGTGCGAGTACATCATCAGCTCTTGGTCGGCTCGCAGGTCGAACAGGCGGCAGGTGGCGTCGTCCGAGCCCGTGGTGAAGGCGTTGCCGTTGGGGAAGAACTGCACCGCAGAGACAGAAAGGTTATTATAACAGAATGGGTTAGGTATAGTGAATTAAGTTATTATAACAGAATGGGTTAGGTATAGTGAATTAAGTTATTATAACAGAATGGGTTAGGTATAGTGAATTAAGTTATTATAACAGAATGGGTTAGGTATAGTGAATTAAGTTATTATAACAGAATGGGTTAGGTATAGTGAATTAAGTTATTATAACAGAATGGGTTAGGTATAGTGAATTAAGCTATTATAACAGTGTACTTTGTCATACAAATTTGTTATACTCACTGCTTTTTCTAATGTGTGTGACATGATGTTTTGTAATAATCTGTGTTAGTGTAAAGTGATTGTGATGCTAAATGTACATTTCCTTCTTCCGATGGACAAAGTGATATTCAAGGTCAAGCAAGTACAGACAGTTACAGTAGGTACGGGTTTCTCCACTAATAGAGTACATTTAGCATCCCTTTGATATTTGAAGTAGAAATTGTACAGCATGTTGCTCTGTATTGTTTTGAAAAATACTCATAAAATCCAAGTATAAAAAAAGAAATTGTGCACCAGTATAGCATTTTAAAAGCCTGTTTTATTAAATGAAGTGCCTTTTTAATATATAAATCATTTTTAATATGAATAAAAGACTTGCTAAAGTGCCAAGAATCTGCATTTTGACGTGTCCCTCGTCATGTTATTCCCACTTCTTTCATTGTAGAGCCCTAGTTATGTTCTTGCTTTTACAAAGTAATTTCTAAAGATTATTATTTATTTTACATCTTGAATGAGCATTGAATGGAAACTGAAGTTACAGTGTGTAGAACAGCACTTTCTGTAAAAGCTGTTCACCACTGGCACCAACTTCCAGAATGGTTCAAATGTGTGGCTAGTGTTGGCGAGGTCGAGATACATACAATAGTCTAATCGTATTTTCCTTCTTTTTTTTTTTGTGTGGTGGAAAACTGAGTGCATTTAGCATAACACGTCAACCCTGTTACCAATAGATAGATACATTGAATTGTTAAAACATATCTAGGCTGTTTGTGAAGCTTTCATTCAATTGCCCATCCATGTTGCACACAACAAGCTTGCCTTCCCCTTGTCACAAGGGGATCTATGGCTGATTTTAAAATAAAAACCTCAACCCTGTTACGGTCAAACCTGTTACTTAATAGCACTTACTATAGTCTTTTTTTTCGATTTAACCCCTTGAGACTTACTATAACAGAGACAATGGGTTAGGTTGTGCACCGGGGCCTCCCACTCCTCTTTCTATTCTGGTTAGAGCCAGTCTGCGCTGTTCTGTGAAGGGAATAGTACACAGCGTTGTACGAGATCTTCAGTTTCTTGGTAATTTCTCGCATGGAATAGCCTTCATTTCTCAGAACAAGAAAAGACTGACGAGTTTCAGAAGACAGTTCTTTGTTTCTGGCCATTTTGATTCTGTAATCAAACCCACAATTGCTGATGCTCCAGATACTCAACTAGTCTCAAGAAGGCCAGTTTTATTGCTTCTTTAAATCAGCACAACAGTTTTCAGCTGTGCTAACATAATTGCAAAAGGGTTTTCTAATGATCAATTAGCCTTTTCAAATGATAAACTTGGATTAGCAAACACAACGTGCCATTGGAACACAGGACTGATGGTTGTCCATAATGGGCCTCTGTACGCCTATGTAGATATTCCATAACAAATAGTTTTTCCAGCTACAATAGCCATTTACAACATTAGCAATGTCTACACTGTATTTCTGATCAATTTGATGTTATTTTAATGGACAATGTTTTTTCTTCTTCCGAAAACAAGGACATTTCTAAGTGACCCCAAACTTTTGAACGGTAGTGTGAATACATATAAAACTCTACTACTCACGCAGACAGCGTTGATGTCGGACACGTGGCCAGTGAAGGACTGCCTGCACATGCCGTCCCTGACATCCCACAGTTTGGAGGAGGCATCGCAGGCCCCCGACACGAAGGTCTTGAAGTCGGGACTGAGGGACAGGCTCATCACGTCCCCAGTATGGCCCGTAAAGCTGGTGGCCATCTGGCCCGTCTCGATGTCCCATAAAGCACTGATAGAGAGAGGGGGGAGGGGGAAGGGAGGTGAGAAATAGAGGAGGTATGAGGGTACAGTGGAGATGTTGAGACTTGAAATTAATGGATGGGGAGGTGCACCGGTTTCTCGTGTGTTTGTCAGTATAGTCTGTGCACAGCAAATTTGCAAGTGTCTAGGTGTTAAGGTAAAACGTGTTGAGTGTTATATCTGAGTGTTGATTCTAGTGGGGTTAACACCAGTGGGATTGAAATTGACACCACATCCTGTGAATAAATTACATTTTATAGCGGAATCAACATTACGTGGTGTTGTTGTTACTCAACTGTGTTGAATTCATTTCCGTTAACTCTCTCAGAGTGAAAAAGACCTGGGAGGGGCCTCATGATCATTCTTCCCAGAATGCTTTGTTGCAGATAGATTTTTTTGAATAGTTTGTTTTAATATATCTCTGTTTCCTCATGCACATTGATTGATTAATTGATCTTATACTATACAAAGATAAATAAATACAACAATTCTAAACTAATCCACCCGTTACTGAACTGTTCCAGTTTAGGTCAGGGATTGGCAAATGTAGGCCCGCGGAATGCGTAAAATTGCAGGAAATTAACTCTTAAACTTAAAATATTTTCTCTACTCTGTCAAGAGGGGATCCGCTAAAATGTTTTGCTCGAGAGGTGGGTGGTGCTTAGGGCCCCCAAAATGCTAGGGTCGGCTCTGACTGCATGTGTGGGTATGGATGAGGTTAGCAGACCCCTCATGATGATTTCACATTTTTGGTGGCCCCCACTCCCTTCAAAGTTGCCCATCCCTGTTTTAGGTAGTCTTCTTTGTCAAGTCCTTCACCATAGCAGTCATTCTGCAGGTTGTCGGTGAGGAAATATTAAATTATTGGATATCCTCCCTCTGGCTGGATTCTGATAGGAATTACTAATCACTTCACAAACCAGCTTATTGTGACTTGCGGGTTTGATGTGTAGACCATTGGCCAAGATTTTCAGACCACAATATTAAGGATAACTAGGCCATACCTAAAGGCCTTCTGACATGTATAACATGTGGTCATAAAGGGTTTACTTTTTAATTGAAACACATTCACTTAGGCAGTCACTTGATGAAGGCTTCATGAATATAAGTTATTGAATGCAATAACCATGTCTCTGTCACTAACAAACACAGTCATGGGTGGGTATCTCTCACATTCACTTGAAAGGCATGCTGGGAAATATGCAAATAGGGCTGTACAACCTATAATATTATAACAACAACACCCCCAAAAAAAATATTTATTCCCCAACACTAAAAAAGTTTAACAGCATCAACTCTAATAACCTCCTGAGTGGCGCAGTGGTCTAAGGCACTGCTTCGCAGTGCTAACTGTGCCACTAGAGATCCTGGTTAGAATCCAGGCTCTGTCGCAGCCGGCCGCGACCGAGAGACTCATGGGCGGCGCACAATTGGCCCAGCGTCGTCCAGGGTAGGGGAGGGAATGGCCGGCAGGGATGTAGCTCAGTTGATAGAGCATGGCGTTTGCAACGCCAGGGTTGTGGGTTCGATTCCCACGGGGGCCAGTATAAAAAAATAAAATAATGTATTCACTAACTGTAAGTCGCTCTGGATAAGAGCGTCTGCTAAATGACTAAAATGTAAAAATGTAAATGTAATAAAGTGTTAATTTAAGTGGGAATTTGCAACACCCATGGTGTTAAGGCATCCGCACGCTTCAGTTCGGCTGGCGCCTAGAACCAAACGAGTGTTTTCGCATACTCCCTTAAAATACCTTTGCTTGAAAAACAATTAAAAAGCGGCAATAGTACCGGTTGTCCATTTTGAGACGCGATAGCCAGTACACACTTCTTCAAAATAGTCAGAATGAATCTAAGATAATTCAAGAAACCTGTCATTAATTTGGACGTTTTTGCCAAGGAGATCTTAGTCGCGCAACTTTACATCAAACTAAGATGTTTGGTGCAGTATTTCTCAATGAAAAAAAGTGCACGAACACGAGTCGTCTCTCGTTGAATGACAACAAAGACTTTACTGAAGAATCCCTACTGTTGACCAATCACTGACGAAGGGGCTACCAACTTCGGCTAATTACTTCGTCCAAAATGTTGACTCAAGTTTGCCAAAAAGCACCTGGATGATCATCAAGACTCTTGGAAGAACGTTCTATGGACAGATGATTCAAAAGTATAACTTTTTGGACGACATGGTTCCAGTAATGCCTGGCGAAAACCAAACTCTGCATTCCACAGTAAGAACATCATACCAAAGGTCAAGCATGGTGGTGGTGGTGTGATGGTTTGGGGATGCTTTGCTGCCTCAGGACCTGGACGACTTGCCTTAATAGAAGGAACCATGAATTCTGCTCTGTATCAGAGAATTCTACAGGAGAATGTCAGACCATCCGTCTGTGAGCTGAAGCTGAAGTACAGCTGGGTCATGCAGCAAGACAATGATCCAAAACACACAATCAAGTCTACATGAAAATTGCTAAAAAGCAACAAATTGGAAGTTTTGGAATGGCCTAGTCAAAGTCCAGACCTAATCCCAATTGAGATGTTGTGGCAGGACTTGAAACGAGCAGTTCATGCTTGAAAACCCACACGTCACTGAGTTAAAGCAGTTCTGCATGGAAGAGTGGGCCAAAATTCCTCCACAGCAACGTGAGAGACTGATCAACAACTACAGGAAGCATTTGGTTGGAGTCATTGCAGCTAAAGGTGGCACAACCAGTTATTGAGTGTAAGGGGGCAATTACTTTTTGCACACAGGGGAATTGGGTGTTGCATAACTTTGTTTATGAAATAAATATGTAATTGTTGTGTTATTTGTCCACTTATGTTCCCTTTATCTAATATTAGGTTTTGGTTGAAGATCTGATAACATTCAGTATCACAAATATGCAAAAGTATAGAAAATTAGAAAGGGGGCAAATACTTTTTCATAGCACTATATATATATATATATATATATATATATATATATATATATATATAATTTTTTTCTCATATAAACACACATAAGACATGGAAGAATGCATAGAATTGCAGGAAATGAGCTTTAAAACAGCAAATAAAAATCTCTGTCCCATGCTAAAGTGTAGAATTGCGGGAAATTAGCTTTAAAACTGCATATTTTCTCTCCACCAACAAGAGGGGTCTGAACAGTTTGGGGTCGCATGGGTTGTAAGGTGGGGATTTGTTACTACGCCGATAAATTACATTATCCATCTGGACCTTTGCCACCTAGGAAATTTGTGTGACCTGACCTTCTCAAATAGTACTTGAGTACCCCTGACCTAGAGAGTCAAGTTGTGTTCTTCCTCCCACACTACTTCAATAAACTCACCAGGTGGTGTCCCCGGAACTAGTGACAATCTGGTTGTCATCCAATAAACTCACCAGGTGGTGTCCCCGGAACTAGTGACAATCTGGTTGTCATCCAATAAACTCACCAGGTGGTGTCCCCGGAACTAGTGACAATCTGGTTGTCATCCAATAAACTCACCAGGTGGTGTCCCCGGAACTAGTGACAATCTGGTTGTCATCCAATAAACTCACCAGGTGGTGTCCCCGGAACTAGTGACAATCTGGTTGTCATCCAATAAACTCACCAGGTGGTGTCCCCGGAACTAGTGACAATCTGGTTGTCATCCAGGAAACGACAGCAAGACAAATAGCCTGAAATATAGAGGTTGAAAATAACCATGCAGGCTAACACACTGTGTTAACATCAATCCCATAATATGTAATTACCTATACATTTCAGTGGTCATCAGAGCATCCTTTTTTAAAAATGAAATAGTCTTAGCATAAGGTCAACTAGGCTTGAACCAATCAAAAGACGTTGACGAGATGAAATTGTTCCATTTCCTCTCTAAAATGGTGGTATTCCGCCACTTAAAAAAAAAACTTCTCCAGTGTGTACCTGTGTGTCCAGGCAACTCGCGGGTGACGCGCACGTTGCCCTCGCGGGTCTTCAGGCTGTAGATGGAGCAGATGTTGTCCAGGCCTCCACACGCCACGTAGTTCCCAGAGGGCGCGTAGGCACACGTCATCACCCAGGAGGAGCGCAGCGGGATGGCGTGCATCTACGGAACACACGATCATCGTCTGTTAGCTCCAGGGCTGCACAAAAAAATGTCTGTCCATTCAGAAAGGACCAAATCCTAACTTGAGATCTGCATGCGTAACCTGCATTCTGGCCTCCAAAAGTCCAAGTCCAAGTTAAGCGTGCAGATCTTATGTCAGGATCCGTCCTGAAGTGACAATAGAAATATCCTGGTAGGAAATTAGAGGCAATTCTTTCAGGCAAATTCACTTCCTGATATAACCTAATTGGAAATTTTGTTGAACCCAACCGTGCTTAACTCAATCACTCAGGAGAGTGGAATGTAAGACATTATGCAGAGGAGAACCAAGGACAACGAGGGTGGCAATGTTTGCTACAATGTGAGTTACTTTGCTGGTGCTCGTTTGTCATGATGCTATTTGAGAGAGGTTACACAGGTGCAGTATAATGTCTCTCTATTTGAGAGAGGTTACACAGGTGCAGTATAATGTCTCTCTATTTGAGAGAGGTTACACAGGTGCAGTATAACGTCTCTCTATTTGAGAGAGATTTACAGGTGCAGTATAATGTCTCTCTATTTGAGAGAGGTTACACAGGTGCAGTATAACGTCTCTCTATTTGAGAGAGATTTACAGGTGCAGTATAATGTCTCTCTATTTGAGAGAGGTTTACAGGTGCAGTATAATGTCTCTCTATTTGAGAGAGGTTACACAGGTGCAGTATAATGTCTCTCTATTTGAGAGAGGTTACACAGGTGCAGTATAATGTCTCTCTATTTGAAAGAGGTTACACAGGTGCAGTATAATGTCTCTATTTGAGAGAGGTTACACAGGTGCAGTATAATGTCTATCTATTTGAGAGAGGTTACACAGGTGCAGTATAACGTCTCTCTATTTGAGAGAGATTTACAGGTGCAGTATAATGTCTCTCTATTTGAGAGAGGTTACACAGGTGCAGTATAATGTCTCTCTATTTGAGAGAGGTTTACAGGTGCAGTATAATGTCTCTATTTGAGAGAGGTTACACAGGTGCAGTATAATGTCTCTATTTGAGAGAGGTTAAACATGTGCAGTATAACGTCTCTCTATTTGAGAAAGGTTACACAGGTGCAGTATAATGTCTCTATTTGAGAGAGATAACACAGGTGCAGTATAATGTCTCTATTTGAGAGAGATAACACAGGTGCAGTATAATGTCTCTCTATTTGAGAGAGGTTACACAGGTGCAGTATAATGTCTCTATTTGAGAGAGATAACACAGGTGCAGTATAATGTCTCTCTATTTGAGAGAGGTTTACAGGTGCAGTATAATGTCTCTATTTGAGAGAGATAACACAGGTGCAGTATAATGTCTCTCTATTTGAGAGAGGTTACACAGGTGCAGTATAATGTCTCTCTATTTGAGAGAGGTTACACAGGTGCAGTATAATGTCTCTCTATTTGAGAGAGGTTACACAGGTGCAGTATAATGTAGGTCTTACCTTGTTAGTTGTGTAACTGTCCCAAATGATTAATTTACCATCTTGGGAGGCGCTTACGAGTAACCTAGACGCCAGGGGAAAAAAAGAGTATGGTTTCATTATATTGAAGGGTTTGACCTGTCAGCATAGCACACTGGCATACATTCGCAGGACCAAAAAAAAGCTATGGAGCTAGTTAGAGCATACCTAATGCATGCATAACTAATGTAGCCAGAAAACCTGCTGCTTCCAAAGCAGTTGAAATGCGGTGCGACTCCCTCCCTCCTCTCCCTCTCCCTCCCTCTCCCTCTTTTTCTTCCTTCCTTCCCCCCCTCCTCCTCCTCCTCCTCCTCCTCCTCCTCCTCCTCTCCCTCTCTCTCTGGTGGGACACCCCACATGCCAGGATCGCTGTACGAGCCATCCAGGATAGAGACCACTTTGGATGAGCCATTTCATGTAATATTCATTGCCTCAGTTATCTGAAAGGCTCTACAGTCAAGAGGGGGGGCAGGGAGAGACAGGAGAGAGAAAGAGAAAGGTAGAGAGAGAGAGAGAGAGAGACAACCCAACCCCCCTTTTTCTCCTGCCACCCACTGCCCGTGTTTCCGTCTCTCCAGTGATAGGAAGTGGGTTGGCCCCCCCCCATCTGTAGCGCACAATAAAGGGAGAGCTGTGCTGCTGAAATGTCAACTGCTGTATATAAAATAAACACAGGCTGTTTGTCCTCCAGGTGGTTCACCAAGAGTGCAGACGCACACTCGGATGTATTTGGGAGCAGCAAGAATGAGCCGGTAAGCAAACATACTTGTACTCCAATGGCTCACATTTAAAATCAGAGTATCAATTGGAAATCAGTCGGTCCGACTGTACTAGTTTGCCTAGCAACAGTACAGTGACTGGTTAAAATGTGCCGCTGCTCTATAGGGAATAGTATTGAACTAGTAACACATAGCTAGCTATGGGCTAAATCCAGTTCTAACAGTCTGAGTAACTTTTATTTGACTTTCTGTCTAAAACCCACAGGACACGAGCAGCCTGTGCTTAAGAATATGGAGTTTTAGTAGTAGTAGTGGTGGTAGTAGTAGTATAGCAGCCGTAGTGGTGGTAGTAGTAGCAGTAGTAGTAGTGGTACAAACTAGTAGTAGTACTAATAATAAAAATACATTTAATTTCTATAGTGCTTTTCATTTTACCTCATAGGACTTAAGCAAAAATAAAAAGACAATAAAAAACATTTAGAATCAAGGAAGTTAAATAACAACAGTATCAGTAGAAGTGTAGTAGCAATATAAGTATTGTAGTAGTATAAGTATTATATCAATATAAGTATTGTAGTAGTATAAGTATTGTAGTAGTATAAATACTGTAGTAGTATAAATACTGTAGTAGTATAAGTATTATATCAATAGAAGTATAGTAGCAGTATAGTAGTAGTAGAAGTATAGTAGTAGTATATAAGTAGTAGAAGTAGTATAGCAGTATTAGAAGTATAGTAGTTGTAAAAGTATATTAGTAGTAGTAAAAGTAGTATAGTAGTAGTAGTATAGTAGTATAGTAGAAGTAGTAGTATAGTAGTAGTATAAGTATTGTAGTAGTATTATATAAGTATAGTAGTAGTATAGTAGTAGAAGTATGGTAGCAATATAGTAGTAGTTGAAGTAGTATAAGTATTGTAGTATTGTAGTAGTATTGTTGTAGTAGTAGTATTGTAGTAGTATAATTATAGCAGCAGTAGTATAGTAGTAGTATAAGTATTGTAGTAGTAGTATAAATATTGTAGTAGTAGTATAAATATTGTAGTATTCTAGTAGTATAGTAGTAGTATAAATATTGTAGTAGTAGTACAGTAGTAGAAGTATTGTTGTAGTAGTAGTATAAATATTGTAGTAGTAGTAGTAGTTGTAGAAGTATGGTAGTAGTAGTAGTATAATTATTGTAGTAGTAGAAGTGTAGTAGTACTATAGTATCAGTAGTAGTATTGCCAGACCTGGAGTCGGTGCCCCAGTGCATTGCATAGATCTTGGCGAGGTGGCCCCTGAGAGTACGCCGCGTCCTCATCTGTATCCGGCCCACTGAGTCCAGACCAGCTGTGATCTGCCAAGAGGCCAGGCCCAAAGGAAACATCATCAGCATAATCCACCACAGTCATTCATAAACTTCAGGCTAGTCTGAAGTTCAATCCAAATATGTCAATGTTATTTCATTGCCTAATAGCTAGGCTATTTGCTTTATAGCTATGTTTATTTCATAGCTATTTGTGTCTTAGCTTAGTGACTAATATTCAAATCGAAACTGATACAGGGTGTACATGGTAAGACTAGAAAGACCTTGGGATTTCAGATGGTCAAAAGAGGCTCAAATTAAAGCGTAACAATGTACTTCCTTATCCTGAAAGCCTGTTTACTGGTTGTGATTGGAAGGAGCCCAACAGGTCATGTTTATATAGACGGTGGTAAATGTTTGGCTGTATCAAGCACACAAGGAACAGGCATTTCTTTCTATGTAAGTAAATATGTAATCTCAACTTGTTGAATCCTTTACCTGCGAAAGAGTGGAGTCACTACAGGCTTTCCTAGCATCCTGTAAAACAACAACAACAACATGGCAGAGTTCAGAGTTGAGAGCCTGAAAGAACATTAGGAAGGTGCTAAGGAAAGCGGTCCAGTATTAATATGATATGATTTAAATGGCTGATCGATAATGCCAAAAGAATTACATTGAATGCTCATCTGAAACAATATTCCGGATAGATCTTTACTTGTTCAAGGATTCAATACAAACACACACACAAACACACCCACACACCCCCTACCCGGATTTGATTGCGTAGTTGCTCCGCTTCCTGCCGTAACTGTTCCAGCTCGCTCATTGTCCCTCTGTGATGTGTTCAGGAATACTGGCTTTGTAAAAAAAAAAAACACACACACACAGACGAGTTGATACCTGCAGAACACAGACAGACAGACAAACCTTCAGAGAAACACTTCCCTGGGCTGGAACAAACACGGACATCCTGTGGATGGGGCTGCTTTGACCTAAGTGGAGGGGGCGCCAGCCTGTACCCAGACACAGGCACCACTAGGGGAGGCCTGGGTTTTCAGTAACCTCCAGTCTGGTTCAAAAGGTCATATAGAAGCACAAGGCTCAGAGTCTCTGACCTTTTCCACTCAATCAGGCCTGGTGTTTTGCATTGTGCTGTTTTAGCTCCCTGCCCGGCCCTGCCATTGATTCTGTTTGAATATGATTTGATGTGCAAATGAAGGGTAACTGTACTGTAACTGTATTGTAACAAGTGGATTGGGTTAATATACACACACACACACACACACACACCAGGCTGTGTATGTGTGTGTGTTGCCACTTCCTTTACCTATGGGAGCCTGAATGTGGATCACAGAGCACATACACACTGTTTGGAGCGCCAGGCCCCTTCCCTTTTCCAGGACATTTTGCAGCATTCTGTCCAGAATGCAACCCTGTATTCATGTTTTAGTTCACTTTCTATAATTTAGCAATTAGTCTGCTAGGGTAGGCCTGTAAGATGGTATTTTTGTTCCACATTGGAAAAGAAATAAACGTTCATGATGTAGTACAAATTATTTTGCTACACATTTAATAACTTTCGTCAAAGCATTCATAGCAGCTGGCATTTCTGTTTATTGAATGACCATGGATGCATGATGCTTTATGAAAAATCGTTAACAAATAAGCGTTAATGGCCTGTGCGCTAATAACCATGTTAAATCATCTTTATTCCACATGCTTATTTTACATAACATCGTACTACTTCCAGCCTACATAACAGAATGTAGAAGCTATGCATATACAGTACCAGTCAAAAGTTTGGACACACCTACTAATTCATACTATTTACTACATTGTAGAATAATAGTGAAGAAATCAAAACTATGAAATAACACATATGGAATCATGTAGTAACCAATAACCAAAAAAATGGTTAAACAAATTAAACAGATTCTCCACCCTTTGCCTTGATGACAGTTTTGCACATTCTTGGCATTCTCTCAACCAGCTTCACCTGGAATGCTTTTCCAACAGTCTTGAAGGAGTTCCCACATACGCTGAGCACTCAACTGATGCAGCACTCCATCACTCTCCTTCTTGGTAAAATAGCCCTAACACAGCCTGGAGGTGTGTTGGGTCATTGTCCTGTTGAAAAACAAATGATAGTCCCACTAAGCCCAAACCAGATGGGATGGCGTATCACTGCAAAATGCTGTGGGAGCCATGCTGGTTAAGTGTGCCTTGAATTCTACATAAATCACAGACAGTGTCACCAGCAAAGCACCTCCACACCACAACACCTCCTCCTCCATGCTTTACGGTGGAAACTATACACACGGAGATCATTCGTTCATCAACACCGCGTCTCACAAAGACACAGCGGTTGGAACCAGAAATCTCAAATTTGGACTCCAGACCAAAGGATACATTTCCACCGGTCTAATGTCCTTTGCTCGTGTTTCTTGGCCCAAGCAGGTCTCTTCTTCTTATTGGTGTCCTTTAGTAGTGGTTTCTTTGCAGCAATTCGACCATGAAGGCCTGATTCACACAGTCCCCTCTGAACAGTTGATGTTGAGATGTGTCTTTACTTGAACTCTGTGAAGCATTTATTTGGGCTGCAATTCCTGAGGCTGGTAACTCTAATGAACTTATCCTCTGCAGCAGAGGTAACTCTGGGTCTTCCATTGCTGTGGCGGTCCTCATGAGAGCCAGTTTCATCATAGCGCTTGATGGTTTTTGTGACTGCACTTGTAGAAACTTTCTTGAAATGTTCCATATTGACTGACCTTCATGTGTTAAAGTAATGATGGACTGTCATTTCTCTTTGCTTATTTGAGCTGTTCTTGACATAATATGGACTTGGTCTTTTACCAAATAGGGCTATCTTCTGTATACCTTGTCAGAACACAACTGATTGGCTCAAACACATTAAGAAGGAAAGAAATTCCACAAATTAACTTTTAAGAAGGCACACCTGTTAATTGAAATGCATTCCAGGTGACTACCTCATGAAGCTGGTTGAGAGAATGCCAAGAATGTGCAAAGCTGTCATCAAGGCAAAGAGTGGCTATTTGAAGAATCTCAAATAAAATTGTATTTGTTTAACACTTTTTTGGTTACTACAGGATTCCATATGTGTTATTTTTTGACTGGTAGTATATATATATATATATATATACATACATACTGTATATGCACTTGAATGCCACTGTATGTACAACCTTCTCATTCCAAAGCTACTCTATTCAAGGCTCTGGTCAAGACTGTTTGCCATTCTATTTCCACTGCAGAATAAAAAAATTAACAAAATTCTGCATCCTTTCGTTGTCAGGTAGGAAGCACACTGACAAAAGTAAGACAGCGGAGAAAGCAA